CGTTCAGCCGATACCTTTGCCATGTTGACCCCATCTGGAAAGCTCCCGTCCGCGCTCTCTGGTTCCAAGGAGTCTTAATCGCTCTGGTTGGCATTCTTTTCCTTTTTGCCGAGACAGTCTTGAATGCGATTCTGAGCGTTAGCACCATCGCCTTGACGATTTCCTATGGTTTGCCCATTCTCACCGTGCTGGTGGTTGGTCGCGATAAGCTTCCGCCAGGAGGAGAATTTCATCTTGGAAAGCTGGGTGTCCCGGCTTATTGTGTCAGTCTGGTTTACTGCGCCATTACCTCGGTCTTCTTCTTCTTCCCATCCGCTCCGAACCCGAAAGGTGGAGATATGAACTACGCCATCGCTGTCTTTGGCGTGATGCTGGTGATTGCCATGTCATTCTGGTTTATCCAGGGTAGTCGAACTTACCTAAACACCGAGGAGTCTTCGATTGCGATGATCATCCAGGCAACGGAGGCAGCGAACAACGAGGTTCCAATTCCCGAGGCGAAGAAGGATAAACGTTAAATACGGGCTGGTGATACTAGCCGTCATTCATTTTGAAGATTCGTGAAAGAGCGAAGCTTCCGGAATCTATTCAAGGGGGATTGGTTCAATGTAGCTCCGGGATACTGGTAGGTATCAGCGGTTAGCTTCTGCGGGTCCAGTTGGAAATTTTGTCGTGGTATATGCACATAGAGTACATAGATTGGGAGATCAGGAATGTACATAGACAACTTGAAATTTTATCTACTGCGCTCCATACTAGTAGCCACAGTCGACCCAGTGTTTCCTACCTAGGTAGTAGTATACAATCTCCTCATTTCAGCCATTCTACCCCCAAGGGCTCTAAAACACGCCTTACACAAAGAAATAATTCAATAAACAAGGCAACTTCTACTAAAACACAAAAATAAAAAGGACAAAGAGCAAAGACATTCACAACTTCAAGTTGATTGAAGTAACCTCGGAACTTAAAGGCAGAACACCTCGGTTGGCCGCAAACCCCCCCAAAGAAAGAGAGTAACCGGAATATTGTAGAAGTACTAGTAGCATACTACATAGGGCTAGCCCTGGAAAGAGCACGATATCTACCCAGTAATACCTAGGTACTAGTTCTAATACTATTAGTTTAGTCCTAAACGGTACCACTGCCAGTGGTACTAATATACTATACTTTATCAAATTATACTAGCTATGCAAGCGGTATCTAATGATTCTAGTAGTCCACTGGCAGATTTGAATTTTGGGGCCATCAGACCCCGTAACAAGTTATCAAAGCGGCAATCGGCTGCCTAGCCAAACTTGAAGGTGCCCAGGCGAATACTAGTAGGAAGAAAACCAACCAAAAATCAACCCCACAGCCAACTACACTGACAATCCCAAACTCTCTCTACCGTTCTGAAATACAATGGCTACTTCACTTCACCTTTTCTCCAACCTGCCTACGGAGTTGCACCTCATGATATGGGAAGAGGCACTGGGCAACGAATGGGGCTACACCACAAATCAATCGACAAAAGATTGGTCAGGCGTGCCTTGAAGCTCATTGGGCCATAGAAAGAAGCTCTACTAAATTCAAAGGGCTTGGCTGGCTGAAATTCGATCGGCATCTCTTCTGCCTCGACGACCTTGAGTTAGCTACAGGCTGATGACATATCTTCTTAACCGCTACGGACTGGCACCTCATATTGAGCATATGCTCATAAACCCCAGGGATTGGGGTTGAGCTGTGAGGACTATGATACGCATATCCCGCGAATTCAGGTCAATTCGATCTATGGTCGTTGTTGGGCCGTGGTTCACTCCACCACATAGGACAGGGCCGTTTGGCATCAATCAAGACCTAGCTCCCGCCGTGGACAACGACTGGGGGCATGTGATTTGCAAAATCGCCCGGGGAGATCAATCTTGGCCCCCTCCTCCACGCGATTCAGAATCGGTGACGAGAGAGTGAAGCCCAGCTCGCACAGTACAAAATGATACTCAATCAAGATATAGATAGGCCACCGGATCCATTGCCATTTACCCTGCGCCTAAATTGACCACTGTTCGTGGCGCTTCCGAGAATGGATAAATGTGATGGAAGATTTTTGTAAAGAGTCTGTCGCACCGCATCCACCTGCATTTTTCTTGAGAAGTCGGGAAGAAATTCGCAACCCCCCTCACCATCAATTCCCTTTAAGTGGGTCGTGTTGATACCTGAACAAGTACAAACTAGGCAGCGAAGAAATTGGTACACAAGACAAAATTAGAAAATTTCCAGAAGAGTCTTTTTTATTTGAAACGATATACCAGTAATTTACATATAGTCAATCTAGAGCTTCGACTTCATATTGACGTGGATAGCCTTCACGGAAGAGTAGGCATCCAAGCCAGCCTCGCCGAGCTCGCGGCCAATACCACTCTGCTTAACACCACCGAACGGAATACGCCAGTCACTATCATTGCTGGAGTTGATCCAGACCATACCAGCCTGAATCTGCTTCGCAACACGGTGAGCGCGAGTGAGGTTGGTGGTGAAGATGGCGCTGCCCAGGCCATATGTAGTGTCATTGGCCATCTGAACAGCCTCATCCTCAGTGCTGAAGCGGGCAATGACGCAGAAAGGACCGAAGACCTCCTCTTGGTAGATGCGCATCTTGGGATCAACGTCCGTGAAGACAGTTGGCTCGAAGAAGAAGCCCTTGCCATTACCAACACCCTTGAAGGGCTTGCCGCCGACTGCAAGAGTAGCCTTCTCCGACTTGCCGATGTCAACGTAGGACATAATGCGCTCGTATTGGGCCTGGGTCACCTGGGGGCCTTGGAAAGTCGACTCATCGAAGGGATCGCCGACCTTGGAGACATTCTTGATCTGGGCCTTGAATGCTGCGAGGAATTTGTCGTAGATCTTATCCTGAACGAGGATTCGCGATGTCGCTGTGCAGATTTGACCTTGGTTGTACATGATTCCGATGTGTGCCCACTCGACGGCCTGCTCGAGATCCGCATCATTGAAGACGACCAGAGGACTCTTACCACCGGTTTCAAGAGTGATGTTCTTCAGGTTCACACTAGCCATCTTCATAATGTGCTTGGCGGTAGCGGTGCTGCCAGTAAATGCGATCTTATCCACATCCAGATGCGAAGCAAGGGCCGCACCTGCAACGGCACCGTGGCCGTTGACAATATTCACGACGCCGGGAGGAAAACCAGCTTCCACGAGGAGATTGGCGAAGAACAGGATTGAGAGAGGGGTCTGCTCGGCAGGCTTCAGGACGACGGTATTACCGCAAGCAAGAGCGGGACCAAGCTTCCAGGCCGCCATGGAGAGAGGGAAGTTCCATCTGGGACTGTCAGCTTCTATCTGGTATTGGAATCTCGCTGAGTTGAAGAGGCTTACGGGATGATTTGACCGCAAACACCGACTGGCTCGCGCACGGTGTAGGCAAATTTGTCTGGGGTAGTACCAATGACCTGTCCAAAGATCTTGTCGGCGTAACCGCTATAGTAGCGGATAGTCTCGGCAGTCTCGGTCAAGTCATCGTCGCGGGAAACAGTATAAGGCTTTCCGTTGTCGCAGGTCTCGATTGTCGCAAGGATCTCGCGGTTGTCCTCAATGAGCTGCGCCAGGCGGTTCATCAACTTACCACGCTCAACACCAGGGAGATCCCTCCAAGTTGGGTTGTTGAGTGCGGCGCGTGCAGCCTTAACGGCGGTGTCGACATCCTTCTCGGAAGCCGCATAGACAGAGGTGATCTCTTCGGCAGTCCTATAGGCAAGCAGAAAGTTAGCAGTGTTGGGATTTTTGAATGCGAGACGGATATCGAGTTCACATACGCAGGGTTGATGCTGGCAATCTTTTCGCCTGTTGACGACTTCACCCATTGATTGTTGATGAACAAACCGGTGGGCTGGGTCCAGACACGACCGTTAGGTGCCGTACACTGCACAGATAATGAAGCCATTGTGTGATTGAGAAGATGCTTGATGAATCTTCCAAAGATTTGACTTGAGGGGAAAGAACAGGCGATCTAACACAGCTGGGGTCAGTTCTTAAAATCCACTTGAATCCCACTTCAACTCCACGCTGTAGCTACATCACCGATAGGCGACATTGATAAGAGATTCGGCACTACATGCCCAAAGGAGAAGGTCGAATGGCCCCGCCTTGCAAGTGTCTGGAGAAGAAGACCCACACGGCATCTCCAGACGATCAAATTCGATGCCGACTCGGGGCACGGGGCTGTACGGGGAGGCTAAACCTAATGAGGGAGGTCCACGCAACCAACCAGACAGCGGGAGACCGAGGAGGTCCTGCAGGATGACAAACTCAGTTAGATCCCCAGATGGGATGGTAGAAGCTGGGTTTTTTGTTGTAGAGAGTTAAGAAAGCTGCATGATATTACCAGTATTAAAATATTGCCTTACCTTATAGCTAGTCAAATATATCATGATCTATCTCAGAATGTGCTTATTCTAACTAAAGGATTCACGTGCCCGCCATGTGGCAACCGCCCGTCACGTGGTTTCCCCGCGAAACGATAAGCTTGACTGCACCACCTTGGCAGTTACACACACATAAACACACGGACAATAATGTAGTGGAATTAGTCTATAGCTATTGGTCTAGAGTATGCAATAGGGTCAACCTGCCCTATCGGCGTAAGTAGCCTGTCGCCCCTGCATGACACACGGATCCTCTCTGGTAATTGGCCACCACTTCCGCCAAAATGTCAGTTTACGCAAGAGATATTGCCTGACAGGAATGGAAGAAACATGCAGCAGAAATGACCTTCACCTTCTCCAGTCTTTTGCCAAACTGAGCCAGATCCACTCGCCTACCGTCGGGAAGAGTCGCGAGATACGCGCGATCCAGCCAGATGTTCCTGGTCTACCTAATCGGGTAGGTACATGCGGATATCTATGGATCTGGTTCAAAGTGCCACTGACTATATAAGGGTCCGCCATGGGCGAACTTCATAGTTCTCCAGCTTCTCAAGTTCTTCTCATACAATAACCTACACCATGGCTTCTGCCCCTGATACCACTTCCATCCCGGGTTACACCATCTTCCGGGGGGGAGACTATGACAGCGTTGCTGCCGCTGCCATGCTTCCCCAGGGCACTCCCCACCCCCTCGGTATGTGATAAGATAAGAAAAAAAAATATTCCATGATTATTTTCAGCAGGACTAACATTGAACCCCACAGATCAACTCTCCATTAAGGAAATCCCCGAGGTCGCGAAGATTGTCCGTGACTACATCAACCCTAAGACCGTCAAGTTCAACTGCATCACCCTCCGTGAGCCCCGCAAGGCCGAATATGCTGCCTTCAAGGCTGGCAAGATCCCCGCCCCGGATCGCCGCGGATTCGCTATTATCATTGTCCGCGAGACTGAGCAAGTTGCTGAGGTCGTTGTCAACCTGAAGACCCACAAGGTCGAAGAATACAAGGAAATCACAAATGCTATGCCCACTCTCACTCTGGAGGATCTCGATGTTATGGAGCGCATTGCCCGCAAGGATGCTCGCGTCATTCGTGCCTGTAACGAGATTGGCATCACTGATATGTCTAAGGTTTTCCTGGACGCCTGGGCCATTGGTATCGACGAGCGATGGGGCTACGACCGCCGCCTCCAGCAGGGTCTTGCCTACTACCGCAACTCCGAGTTCGACAACCAGTACGCTCACCCTCTGGATTTCAGCGTTGTTGCCGATACCGAGAAGGAAGAGGTCCTGAGTGTTGATGTGCGCCTCGTCAACGGCGAGCGCACTGCTCCTCCGCTGGAGGAGCACAACTTCCTCCCCGACTTTGTTGGCGACAAGTACAACCACGACCGCCTCAAGCCCATCGATATCACCCAGCCTGAGGGTGTCTCCTTCAAGGTCCGCGGTAACGAGCTGTCTTGGGCCAACTTCAAGATGCACATTGGCTTCAACTACCGCGAGGGTATCGTCATCTCCGATGTCCGCTCCCACGACATGTACGAGGATCGTGAGCGCACCCTGTTCAACCGTATCTCCGTTGTTGAGATGGTTGTCCCCTACGGCTGCCCCGAGAAACCTCATCACAAGAAGCACGCCTTCGATGTCGGCGAGTACGGTTCCGGTCTCATGACCAACTCCCTCAAGCTGGGTTGTGATTGCAAGGGTGCCATCCACTATATGGATGGTGTTATGTCCACTGGAAACGGCGAGGCCGCTGTCATCAAGAACGCCATTTGCATCCACGAAGAGGACAACGGTCTTCTGTACAAGCACACCGACTACCGTGATGGTACCGTCATCTCTGCCCGTGACCGTAAGCTCATCGTGTCTCAAATCATCACTGCCGCCAACTATGAGTACGGTTTCTACCATACCTTCACCCTGGACGGTACCTACAAGCTCGAGATGAAGCTCACTGGTATGCTCAACACCTACTGCATGCACCCCACCGAGACCGCCGCCCCCTACGGTACTCAAGTCGCTGCCGATATCACCGCCCACAACCACCAGCACATCTTCTCCCTCCGTGTAGACCCCGAGATCGACGGAGTCAACAACTCCGTTGTACAAAGCGACGCCGTCTCCTCCGACCACGCTGTCGGCTCCCCCGAAAACCCCTACGGCAACGCATTCCTCAGCAAGAAGACCCCCCCTCCGCACATCCCTCGAAGGCGCCGCCGACTACTGCTACGAGACCCAGCGCTCTTGGGACATTGTCAACCCCAACCGCATGAACGAGATCGCCAAGAAGCCCATCGGCTATAAGATCCTCAACAACAACTGCCCCCCTCTCCTCGCCAAGCCCGGCAGCACCGTCTACAACCGCGCTGCCTTCGCCCGCAAGCCCCTCTGGGTCACCCCCTACAAGGACTACGAGCTCTTCCCTGCTGGTGACTACGTCTGCCAGTCCACCGGTGAAGAGAACCACCCCCACAACTCCACTATCCTGGACTGGGCCAAGCGCAATGAGAACATCGAGAACACCGATATCGTCTGCTACATTCAGTTCGGTCTCACTCACTTCCCCCGCACAGAGGACTTCCCCATTATGCCCGCGGAGCCTGTCAGCGTTATGCTGCGTGCCTCTAACTTCTCCATCAAGAACCCCGGTCTCTGGGTGCCTCCTAGTGCCATCTGTGTGGACACCATGTCCAAGAATGCATTCGCGACTTCCTGCTGTGCGGCTAATGCCCCAGCAAGCTCGTCCAGACTGTAAATCTTAGCATTGACATTGGGTAATGGTGTTATGTGAAAAATTGTTCTTGGGTTTCAGCTTGCGATGATACACTGTATATAGCTATAAGTAAATTTCTGTTGATACGAAATATTTCTTTTTTATTTGAACCTTATTTCCAAAATCTTTCCTCTGGTATACAGCACTAGTCTGTAATTTATTGACGCCAAATTTGCTACTTAATGCTCACAGAGACTGAAATGACCCTCTTGAAACTTTTCGTTCTGCTTCGCAGATGCGAGACCACGCTCTTCCATAAGCTCGAGTCGGTACGTCTTAGCTTCTCCCAAAGACATGGTCGGACAATCGACCGTTTTAGTTTCGGCTTCATCGACTTTCTGCCTTTTAATAGGTGGTTCAGAGCTGTGACTCTCGGCAGAAGTCTCGGACTCCCTACTCTCTTTCCAATCCTCTTGTTGCGGTGGCACATTAGCAGAAGAAATAACGCGTCGATGTGGATCAATCAGAAATAAAGCAAGAATCTTGCGATGGCCGGGCTTGGACTGGTCCTCCAGCGAAAACGGAGACACGCAGTGCTGAAGCGTATTGGGGAAGGTGATCAGTCTACCTTCCTTGGAGACCACGCTGCCGAGATCCTGCGTTATCAGACAGGGATAGTTATTTTGCAAGTCGCTGGAATAACCATACACCTGTTGCATGAATTGGTGTTTGTCCTGTTCGTACTTGAGCTTGTCCATGTTGTTCATTCCGCGATGGCGGAAGGCGAGCGAGCTGGTGGTGATATTTTCGCTATCGTAGTAGTAGATTGCCGAAGCGGCGATGCGCTCGTTCTGCAAAATATAAGGTTAGATAGAGCTTTGGATATAGCTGCGGAAAGGAATAGAATAGACTCACAAGTTGGCCCTCGATATGCCAGCTTCCACCCTCATACTCTGGTTTATCAGGCGTCAATTCGATATTCGCCAACTTGACAATGACCTGCAGTCTGCGATCGGCAAAATCCGTTCGGAAATTGATGGGTTGGACCCGACGATTCTTCGAGTCTGGCTCGGGGATTTTGAACTCCCCGGGCTCAGGAAGTTTGACCTTGCGAGTGGCCTGGTATTCTTCATGTCGCTTCATAGTTTCTTCGTAGCGCTTCATATATTCGCCTTCGTCCTCGCCCTCATTTGGGTCATACTCTAACTCCTCTTCATCCCATTCCAGAAATTCATCATTTCCATAGCCTTCTTCCCATTCGACTTTACGGTACGGGATTCTCTGAGGGTGATTCTTTTCGCTAAGAGACGCCTCCCACAAGGGCACGGTTTGTGATATGATCTTTTCAACGGCTCGGTAGAGCGCGCGGTGCTTGACCGGGTGGGCGTTATTGATGTACGACAAAACTTGACACACCCCATCCTGCAAAAGGTCGATATCACATGGCATCCACTGGAATTTCTTGCTCAGCAACGGTAGGTCGAATGATTTTTTCCCGTGGCGCCGGCCACTAGAACTGGCCTCAGAATCGCTGTCCGGCGGAGTAGGAATGACTTCGCCTTCGCCGATATGATCAAGGCAATCTTCAAGACCAAGAATCTTATCCGGGAGGACTCGTGTCTTGCCGTAGACAACCGGGAATAGGGATGGATGCACAAGGTCGAGGACCTTTCCCTCGGAGCCGGGGTGGTAGTCTTTCTGGTCCTCGGGAACATCTTCGAGAGGCTTCACTGCCTCCTTCAGAGCATCTTGAAGCTCTTTGGCAACGGCGGTATCCGATTTGATTACATTTTCAAAGACTTCGACGTATCCATCTTTCTCGAGAAAAGAAGTCTTCCACTGCAGCTCTTTGATAATCCAGTCCATCATCTTGGAAGTAACATCTTGCCCGCTTTGGGCGATTTCGTCGCGCCATTTGTTGGTGATGACCTCATCAAATACCTTTCGTTCCCAATCGGGCTTGTCGGTGATAGTATTCATTACTCGCATCATAATTATTTCTCTCTTGACAACAAGCTTGCTTGTAGAAGGGAAGAATAGAATGTTAATATAAAGGAGTGTGAAAAGGCTAATTTTCGTGATCAACGCACTCAAGTCTTTTATCTTTCAGATGATTCGGATCCAGCGCGTTGTAAAAGCCCTTAGTTATGTCGGTGAAGGTAATCCCTCTCCTTAAAAGCTCGCTAAACGAAATAGTACATCAGCATCATCGGGTATCTACAGGCCTGGACTGACGATCAGAACCAACTCAATACTAGTTTCATAATCCATTCGGCACCACCGCCGGCGGATATTATTGATGTTTGGCTGGATTATTTAGCATTCACCGGTGAATTTAATCCGAGGAAATTATGAATAAAACTCACAGCCGGTGCAGCATCCACGGGTACATTGAACCCGGGCATTTGGGTTTGAAACCATTCATAGGTAGGATCCATTGCTGAATATTGAAGCTCGGATGCTGCGATTTTACTGAAAGTTCGCATATTGCGATCGCGGTGGCTTTTATCTCAAGGTGTCTCAGATTAGCCACGCAGTGATCAGCCTTCCAGGGGCAAGCCAAGGAGTCCAGACCTCGGGAGGTTCACGAGATTCAGTTGGCGCGGGTGCCTGCCAAGAACCTTATGCCTTAGTGCCTTAGTGCCTCGTAACTCAGGTGTCTACTTTCTCTTTCAGCCGCAGCCCCACGTTTATCTTAGCCTCGTTACCCACTTCCCAGTCATACTTCACTTACCTTCATTCGGACCCCGCCTCTACTAGCTACTCTGCTCGTGACTCATCCAGTCATCCAGTCACGCATGCGTCACGGACTTGACTGGTACAAATATTCTCTCACATACCCAACGACACTTCCGATGTCACTGGAAAGTAACAAGCTGATCACCTTCATCAACAACAATGGAGAAAGTACGAAAAACCTTCTTCAATCCACTCGTCACCTCCAAGGCCAAGGTGATTGAGATTCTGGAGAATCTACCAGTCGGTTCAGCACACCCTTTCAGTCCGGAACAGATTCTTCTTTGTCGGTCGGAAAATGGAATCATTGAGATTGACACCTCGTCGTACCAAGAGGACTTCTTCTTCAATGCCGTCGACTTGGGTGAAATGGGGGAGATTCTTTTGACACGAATGGCCAAGTTCAATCAACTGAGTACGTTCTTCTCCCAATTAGTTTCCGAGAGAGAAAAAACCCCGATGCTAACCGTTACACAGAGATTTTCAAGGACTTCCAGATCATGCAAGCACCAGATACGACATTCAAGATCCCAATAGCCCCAGACCGCCAGATTACCCTTCTAGCAGTGTCTAAAAAATATCCAACGTACTGGGACTTTTGCTTCGTAGACGAATCATGCCACGCGTGTTGCTATAATGCGACGAACACCTTTAGCGGAATCACCCACAGCGGAGATATTATCAGAGACAACGACCTCCTCCACTATGCTCAGATCAACAAGGAGTTGCCTGCGGAGAAAGAAATATGCTTTTTCATATCTGGCTATCAGAACACTCATATCTCGCGTTTCGTGGGGACGTACCCCGCAATGCTTGTTGCAGACCATGAGGATAAGGTATGTTCAGAGACCGCGTGCTACGTACTTATGATCGACTGGCCAGCTGACCGTTAAACAACAGATCCTTTACATCATTCCAGTTCCTCTGGATGCAGCAACAATCGGGGATGCGACGATCTGCTGTCCAATGGTAATCAAACGGGATGGAGATTCGTTGGTCTGCTCGATACTGCCAACAGCAACCACCGACCGAAACATGCACTGCTCTGGGAATAGATTGGATAGCCCTGCCTTCCCGGAAGCCATCCAGCGCGCCAACTTTACCATATCCGAAAAGGAGACAAGAAAACGATGTGAGTCTGACACGGATCAACCTATCAGAACTTCAAAAAGAAGGAAATTTACAGAAACAGACCCGATAGAAGATTTGGCCGAGGCGGATCAAACAACGGTTTCAAAATGCATGGACAATATCGACAACCACAGGAATGCAGTTTTGACTACCCATTCGGCCATCATCCCCTCATTCATCGACCAAAGAGAAGCCCAGATCATACGATTCGGCACGGGTCTCGAATTTGAGTCGTCCAGCAACGAGCCATTGGCACAAGCCAAATCTTCCAGTGTCATCCTCCCATGCATTTTTGGCTCCGAGCTGCAAGGTCCGGTCCTACTGGCCACCGGAACAGTTCCTTCAAACGTTCCATTTGACAAGGACAGCTCCCTTCAAGATTACTACAAACAGCTGAAAAGCGCCGTGGTGATTGTTGACGACAAAATGACAGACAACGCCCGCAACCTCGCGTCGCAGTACCGAATCAACGCGCTCTTCATAGTACAGCTCAATCATGAAACAGAGCCTACGGATTCAGGTAGTGTTGTTTCGTTGCTGGATTCGGCGAACATAAATGCAGTAACGGCGCTTGCAGGACCGCAATCTTTGGTCTTAGTTCAAATATCTGAGAAGTTTTACTTCTACCGAGGCATTGCCAACCGCGAGCACCTTGACACATCGAGGCTGGAGTTTGGCACCGAGTTGACGTCTCTACTTCACACAGTCGGAATGGAATCGATACTCGACCCCCGGGTTGCGCGGATAGTCCGACTGGACCAGGAAAATTCAATCCTTCTCCCCGCGTCCGGCCAATCCGTTCAGCCTCAGGCTCTGCAAAAGGTACTGGAAGAGATATCGCTCGAGCAGATCGAAAGCCTGGGTCAAGATATCCTAGCTGCCGTGCCACAGCTCCAGGTACTTCTGAACCAGAAAGAGTTGCAAGAGCTTTCCAAGTCTCTTATAACTACACTATCCGCCAAGATCAGCAGTGCAGCTTCTCCTTTGAAAGAGAAATATGTTCGCTTTTTGACAACCGAATACAATGCCGAAAATCGAAACTCAGTGTTGATGAAGGGCAAGCTGCTCGGAGAGCTAAGAAAGATTACAAAGGATGTGCAAAATACTCTCGAGCCGATCATTTCTTGCTTGGCTAATATGATATCGTCCCAAACGACTTCCAAGCGAACACACGACTTGAAACGACTTGTCCGCCAAACGACGATCCAGAATAATGTCGAAGCTGCGAAGTACATGACCTTTGACACTCTTTCCGAATATCTCGAGACGTATGCAGAGGACATGGGCGTTATGCTGCTGAATATCGAGACGGCAACATTCCAAGAGCTACTGGGCAACCTGAAGAACAATACAATCAATGCTAGGTACGTGGCAAGCTTTTCAAGCACCCCCGTTCCCTCCCCAGAAGCTCCCCCTGCCCAAGTGATGAACGAAACTAACCATTTTCCTAGCCAATGCTGCGCTTTAGATTCTCGAATTCTCCACCTGCAAGGCTTAGACGCCGGAATAATCATCGAACACTCCCAATCAAAGCACGACGGCCCCCTTCAAAGCATAGCTGGAGTATCGCAACCTATCCTGGCTCTATCTCAACTAAACAAGAAATCAGGACAAGGATCAATGTTAGCATGGGTGTGTTGGGACGAATTCGTCAACCTCGAAAGCCCCTACAAGGTGCGCTGGATGGAAAAGTGCAACGAGCCACACATTGCCGCCCTGCGAATCATTATGAGAAGAACCTTGAGTCAAGCCGTCGCATCAAGAGCCTACAATCTTCATGAAAACTCCCCGGAAACAGGCACCCTTATGAGCTCCCTCTTGATGGCTTCCATGTCCAAGCTCGCAGCAATGCGCACCTCTCAGCCCACAGAAATAGTCGGTAAAGCCGAAGACACCGTTACCCGACTCATGCGTGGGCTTTTCGGCAATCTCCTGACAATTGCCGGCTCCGGGCTCCGTCCTCTCAGCATGGTCTGGCAATTATTCGGTCAGCACCCTCAGTACGATGTCCCCGCCACAAGGGGCGACTGGGTCTGGTACGAGACAGTTGTCAACCTGTACCCATACACGGGGTGGCCGCTTGCTCAATTCCATGACAACCTAGAGAAACTCCTAGACAAAGTATTAATCCGCGTCGTGACCAAGAACGAGAATCTGGAACAGATCAAAGCCAGTCGCACAGAGGAAATGACGAGATTCCGCAAACTTCGCAACGTCCACCTCACCCATTCCCGAACAATATTAACGGTCTTCATGCGGATGCTCACAGCCGCCAACGACAAAGATCCCGAAATCGACATCGCCGCTGTTGCAACCCGTCTACTTGCACACATCCCTCAAACCCTCGAACGGGAATTCGAAAGTTATAAAAGAATGATCACCTACTTGAAAAATCTAGCAGAAGGAAAGCCAAGACATGCAGAATCCGACACCATCCCCATGAATCTATACACAACGCGCTCCGGCGCATTTGCAGAACTAAAGCGTCAAGTTCGCGAGGCATGCAAACAGAAAGACTGGGATCAAGTCAAGAAATCCTGCCAGGATATTTTAACGAAGCGAAGCGAAATTGCCACACTCTGGAGCGTCGCGCCTGATTCGGTCAAGGTGCACAACATCAACGCATACCAGGCTCTACTGGCGGCGGATTTCAACGAAGATGAAAAGGAAGAAATTGCGAGTACAAACCAGAGGATCGCGAGACAGATTGCCGGAGATGCGGAGATCGATCTTGTTCCGTGGCGTGTTGGGAAGAAGGGTCAGTATGGAGATATTGAGCCACTGGATGAGAGTGTTGTTCAAGAAATCTTGACCGGGGAAGCAGCTATGAGCGGTCAAGAAGGAGAAGATATTGATGAGGCAACGGAAAAGGTCGCAGAAAAGGAAGTCGTGAACCTCGGGGATCAATTCGCTCAGTTCCAGAAGTCTCTCAACCCGGATTTCATCCTGAAAATGCAACAAGAGTTCTCTGTCGAAGCAGTGTGCGAGGTTATCATGATTCCTGTTTCCGCGATGCGTGTTTTCGTCAGCGCGCTGAATCCAGAATTCGAGTGGGCGGAGTTTGGGACCAATTTCCAAGGTGTTGTCTTGGATTTGGTGAGGAACCGGTCTGGTCGGGAAGAAAGTCGACCGGTTAGAAAGCTGTTGCGACTTGAGAAGGGCCTGTTGAATGTATAGGGCTCATTCTCATTTTGCTTATGAGAGGGACAGATACCAGGCGTTTTCAATTTATTGAAGACATTCAGACAGAGAGCAATGAAAGAGAAGTTTTTATTTCCGTTTACCTGAACAACCAACTATAGGGTTCACGCATAATTTGAGGCTTCGAAATCGCGGTCAAGACCATGATAGTAGGTACTGTAAATGCTTTCCACTTTTCATGACTCATCTTTGTTCATGGGCATCTATATACAGGAAAGCCCGAAGCGGTACGAGGTCGAGGTATTTGGGAGATTCCCTCCAGTCGACAGGGACAGGGTCGTACAATACGTCACGGTCTAGTTCGGAACATCAGAAACGATAAAGGCAGACCACTTTTTGAGTCCCGAGCTCCTCGAATGCCATTGGCAACTAACCAAGATTCTACAAGCATCTGGAATGCCAAGTCGGAAACTCAGTTTTCGACCGTTGAGGAGGCGCAAAGGCATGTAAGCCAAACTCGTCTAATGACGCAAGCAAGTACATAGGTACGCGCTCGGTACTTCGACTACTCTGCCCAGGGCAAACTCACCAGGTAACTCATTGCCAAGAATGAGCTGAACAATTCCACGCTTGGCAGAGAGGGGTCTGAATGTCGATCGCCCAGAGCGGGACGCCTGAAAAAGACCAAGGTCAAGGCCAAAACCAAAACCAAAACCGAAGCCAAAAGCTAATCACAACCCCGATCTTGACGGGTAAATACCTAATTAAACATAAGCCGCAATGCGAGCTTTAATTTTGCTACTGCTTGGGCTTGGGGCCGCAATATCTACAGTCAAAGCAGACTCGGATTCAACTTGCTACTGGCCGAATGGAAAAGAGACCGGCGATAAATATTCGCAATGTCCTGGGAGCAAGAACTGCTGCGTTAATGGAGAGGCTTGTCTCTCGAATGGACTCTGTTTTCGCCCCAAGGATATGACACTTTACAGAGGTGGATGCTCAGATTCATCATGGCCTTCGGAATGTACCGGTGCATGTTTCAGTGAGTAGAGTCGCTGGAAGCTGGAAGCTGGACTTATCTTAGGCTCAGAGCCCCTTTCCTAACAAGTCTTCAATCTCCAGACATGCAAACCAGATACGCCAACATGTGGCGTTGTGACGAGAGCCAGAAATACAACTTCACCTGCGGCATCTTAGGCGAACCTTCGACTTGCGGCGATCCGAAAGACTATTACATCTGGGATGAGTCCGATTTGACGAATATCACGACGCCTCAGCTGGGCCTTTCAGTCTTAGCATCCGAATCAAATAATACGTCAACTTCGTCAAGCAATAAGAATGCTTTGGGGATTGGATTGGGGGTTGGCCTTGGTGTGCCTTTGGTTTTTGCAGGTGCTGCTCTGGTTTGGCTCTATTGCAGGATTCGGAATTTGCAGGATAGATTCAAGTTGTTGCAGGAGCAGCAACGCTTGGGGACACCTACGTCGAACTTGAAGTTCCAGGCCATGACGGAGCTTGATACGGGTGGGGTTTCGGGTTCTTCGGAGTTGCAGTCGAATCCGAGATCAGAGTTGCCTTCATAAAACTAGCCCGAGTGGAGTGGTCCTTCTAGTGTTACCTAGGTAGTATTACTAGCATAGCTACCGTCTGTATTATTAATTCGGCCCTAAATCTGCTACGGTACAGGCTCCAGGGCTCTCAAGCCAAAAAACTATTACTAGTAATACCTAGGTACAATATATCATGCCCGACTCCTTACAATAAAGCGTATATCGTGCCCAGCTAATTAGTAATGAGAAGATTTCGAATTAGAGCAATTGAGAAAGGTGAGCTAGTACTAGTAGATAACGATGATGAAGAGAGTAGATAACTTGAACAAAATGATCTAGAGATGGTAGTGCATCCCGCATGAAGACGCACAAACCTTGGAAGATCCATGGGAAGACTCTGACTATTTCAATCCAGCGACCAAGCCAAAACCAAGGCCAGAAAAAAAGAAACATACAAAAAAAGAGAATGGTGGTGTTCACCTAGCCCCATGAGTCTGTCCCAGACGGATCGAAATGAACTCCTCTTTAATAACACACATTCTGCAAGGGGAAGAGTTCGTCCAAAAAACTTCCGTTGTTGAGCCTAAAGTACAAAGATCGTAAATAGACTATAGGGCACTCGTCTACGCCCCGGTATGGGCGAGCATTTGGGTCGTCTGGCCATTCAGTTGGCTCACGAACCCAACAGACATCTATAATTTTGATGCTTTTCCCTTTAAAGGCACGATAGTCTTTCATAGTATCCTCTTCACCAAATTGAAGACCTGCCAACATGGTAATGGCCTTCTCATCAAGGACAAGACAAGCCATAGTTGATCCTATCATAGGACGAGGACAGTCCTTTTCATCCATAAGATTAAGCCCACGAAGTAATGACTTGAACTCCTCCCGAATACGATCATCTGAAGCACCTTCCAGGGCTTCTTTATCTTGGATCACATTAAGCTTAAAGCGGTGAGCTGCTTCGCTTATATAGGCTGGTAGGCTAAGACCTAGGTTGCGTTCAGTGACTTTCACTAGGTTTTCCATTGCCTGGGGTATTTTTTCAAGAGCTAAAGGGGAATATTCTGTAATAAACACCCAATAACCCCATGTAGGAATATGACATGAGACGTCGTCTGGATTTGTATCGAGCTCTTGGTCGCAGACAACCGCCAGTAATTTGCGCACTTCATCAAGTGATCTTTGATAGGCTAATCTTCTGGATAATGCAGGATCGGCTTCTGGGAGATCATCTAGTTCAAGCACTGGTCTGAATAGAATATTTGATGCTCCTTGCCCAAAAGAAAGTGGCCTAAACTCGCGATGGCTTGGGACTGGGCGAGTAGCGAGTGAGGGGTCTGGTGGGGTGGTTGGCGGGGGGCGCTGCCGGGGGGCCGTCCGCGGGTACTCATTGGTAGAGCGTAGTTTCCAGAGACTAGAAATTTGGAATAAAATTTGCCGAGGACTCTCCGGATACGATGGTACGTGAGGGACGATAGTCATAGAAGTGTGTTATGGGCAAATAATTGCTGACCAAGGAGGGATGGATGGAATGGATGAGATCCGAGATAGATGGATGACAATCGAGCAATGACCTGAGGGGCTATATACACGGTGGGCACGGGCTGACGCAGCAGTATGGCGCCTGAGCCCTCAGGCCTCAGCACTAATCACTACCCCCTGAGCAGGATTCACCTGAGCGGAGGTAGAAAAATAACATGATTCTGGAGTGGGTCAGTTTCAAGGGGTTATTAAATTTAGCCAATTAAGGCTGGCTTGGGGGGGGTTGGAGTGGCTTAGGGGATTCTAGAATCCGAATCGCGTTATTTTTCTACCTCCGCTCAGCTGTATGCCCGGCTATAGGTCATTCCTCCCATACTAATAGTCATCCATCTATTTGACTCATTTCATTCAATTCCACCATTCATACCCCCTTGGTCAGCAGAAACTACCATCCAATTGCGACCGTGCATTGACTGCAATTACTATCTACGGGTAGGTATTCTAAGCCCCATTGGTCACACCCACACAAACATAGTGGTCCGGCCATAATTCCGAGCAGTCGTTTTTCACCGCAGGATTATACTGGTGAAAATCAGCTGGCGTGATACCATTATGTATGGCAATAGCGTAACACCCATCGTCTTTAACAACTTTGTAAAACTTGGTGCAGTTCGAATCAATGCCAGATTGAGTGGGTGTTGGTGTTTCGACGCCGGTACTAGTTGGAGTGGGCTCGGTTGAAGTAGGATCAGGTTCATCGGCAGTTGTTTGGAACTCGCTTGCAACTGCAGTATTCGTCGAAGAGGACTCGGTAGTTGAGGTGGACAAAGTGGTACTGCCTATCTTGTGTGTTAAACGTGAATAGCAGATAGTAAAATACAAACATACCAGCATTCTTCAGAGAGACACAATAGCTGTATCCTTTCGATAATTTGCAGTTGTCACGTTTTAGACTCGGGTTCCATTTAACGAAATCATCAACGTTGATATCATAGAATTGAACAATCGAGCTGCAGCCGTTGACTATTTGGGTTATCTCATCACGACCAGCGTTGATGTATTCGATATACTTATCGCACTTGGATGATGACAGTGTCCCCGAGGCCCTTGGCATCGCGGTGTATTTTGGTCTAGTAGGAGTTGATGTTGAGCCCGGTCGGGAAGAAGACCTCGTCGAGGAAGCATTGGACTCTCCATATCCCCCGAACGGTACGGGAGATAGCGTAGCCCAGTCTCCGTAGCAGGTTGATGGCGATCCAGCTCCGGTACATTCACCTGTAGTTGCAATACTATTTGATTTTAGAAAGTTGGCCATTTGGTTCAAGAGAGTTATCATACCCGTAACCTGTGTAAGTGCTGATATCTCCCACTGCTTCAACACAATAGTTATCCCCAGGTATAATGTTCGAGCAATTTTCGTCTAGTCCCGGGTTCAGGAATTGGAAATCCCCTGATTTCAAGCTTGGAGATATTTTTGTGATTTTGTCACAGGTATCGCCTTTCTTTGCCACATAGTAATTAGCACAGTGAGTAATGGTTCCATTTGCAAGATTGCTTGGACGAGGTCTGTCATAGATTAGTTGACAGACTCGAGTTCGATGGGCTTGGCTACCTAGGTACTCACGCTTCTATTGTGGCCAGTGGGGCTGTATTACTAGCAGTGGCTGACACACTCGAATCATCAAGGGTCTGCCCAGGTGGGCTAATATACTGATCAGCCAACTTCGCAGGAAAATAATGCTGAAACTTACCTAACACATATTTGCATTCCTTCCTGCTGCTTCATGTTTGTACATAGTGCATTCAAATTCGGATTCCAGGCTTGGATCTGGGTTACTGTTACGTAGCCGGGTTGCGCGACCGCAATGGAGTGACAGGTATCATTCCCCTGGATGGTGTATATATCGCACGAGGGAGGCATGCAGAGTTTCGTGCCTGAAGAGGGAAAATCTCTACAATAGGCATTGAGTCTATTGTAAGAGATTAGAGAATATGTAGAGACGTTTTCTGCCTTGCAAATGCCGTTGCAGGTATCGTCTGCACGAATGGTGTACGTATCCAAACAAGATAATGCTGTAGATGATGCCGGTGCTGATGCTGAATAAGATGTTGAATAAGGATTCAGAGCTATTGGCGTTGCAGTTGAAGGAGCAAATCCTTTCTTCCCACAACTTGAGGTCAGGGAGGAAAATTCCTTCTCAAATTCGCCGCTGTGGGAAAAGCCCGAGCTTTGATCGAGTTGGAGGGTCCCCAGAAGACAATCAGAGCAGTTTTGCTGGTTTGTGAGCGTTGTTTCATTTTGCCATTCTCTCATCACATCATAGCAGAATTTTCGAGTTCCCCTATAGACATTCATCAGGATAAGAACCTAATATATTCGAGTTATTTAGGATGACTCACGGATCCAGTAAACATGTTTTATTGTATGTATCCATCAAAGTATCGATCCGCTGGGTTGCGGGATAAGAAGTATCTTCTATATCAATATAATTGCTAGATACTGGACATGCAGATTCTATCGTCTTCCGGGATTGAGTCAAAGATGTCCAACAGCCCGAAGTACAAATAGTGGACAAGTTCTGAGTGGACAAATCCATATATTCTGCCGCATAAGCAGGGAGGAGCCAGCTACACTCAACTGACTTGTTTAGTGCCTTTTTGCATGCTGTATCAAGGGTAGATATGTTTGTGTCGTATGAAAAGCCATTGGAAAATGTTTGCCCGTCCACAAGAAGTAGAAGGTAGAAGTTGAGCCATCCGTAAAGAGCACGCATTGTGTGAGGAAGACTGGTAATCGTCCTAGAAGATGGAAGAGAGTATTATACGTTGTGCGGAAGATCAAATACTTCAAATGAAGAGAGAGGGGCATTGGTAAATAGTGGCACCGTCAAAAATTTTGGCCCCTTTATGGTGAAACATCCTCCAGTGTAACTGTAGCAAGGATTGTTTCTTAACGGGCCTATATTGTGTTACATATCTAGATATTCTGGGATGAATTTAGGAGAGGAACTTGGACGTGAGCCATTTTTTGGGCTAAAAATTCTTTAATAACAATCTTCGCAATGCATTGGGCTCATTTTCATTACGATGTTGTCGTTGGTGGTGGTGCCGGCCTCGGTGGAGTTCGGAGGGTCTGCCTTGTCGCACCATATTGGGAGCGGCAAAAGGGAGAATACACCACTCATACCGGAAGACTTAATCAAAGGTTACCCGATAGCAGCTATCATCATCAATGTACGAAACGAAAATGAGGGATCTGCAGTTTAGACTAGTATTTGTAATGCACTGTGGTAATTTTTGTTGCCTTGTGCATACGCTAATTCTAGACCCTGCGAACACGGCCGTCTATCTAACAATGAAATTTGGTGAGGCTTTTTCTGATCACTGCAGATAAACTTAGGTCCACTTCTAAAACATACTTATGCAGGTTGAGATTTTAGGGCTCTTGGGGCGGAAAAATGGAGCCTCAAGCGGAGAAAGGCAATGCATCTGGGCACTACTAAGTGGACACCCCATTTCGCTATTTAAACACCGTATTTTGTACATTCAGAAAAGGTGCTGTATTTGTATCACCACAGGGTCGGTTGTAATTAAAGTATAGTAGTGATTTATACACATTTCCAAGGGTTTTAGCCACAAAGTGTGGTGCAGTAGATATAGCTAGTTTAGGGTATAGTCAGCTTCTGCTAGTAGGATCTACCCGATCAGATACCTAGGTATACTATTAGTTACTGATATAGTTAGCACCGGTAGATACCTATGTACCTACTCAGCTACCTACCTGAAGGTGAGAAAGTAGAGTTCTGGCCTCGTACTGTAGTTCGTGGTAATACACATACAGCACCTTTTCTAAATAGACAGATAGGGTGTTCAGATAGCCAAATGAGGTGTCCACTTAGTGATGCCCATGCATCTTAGTTAGACTTGGCGAAAACTATTGTTTGAGACTAGTATGGGGACTCCTGAGCTCAAGGGGGTAGCTCGATACTAGAAAATACCTTTGGCCGAGCTTTTAAACAGGCGTTAGAGCCGCTTTTAAGCTAATGATTTTTTGAAGTCGATAGTTTCTTCTCCAAATCACATGCAATGCCACATTATGGGTCCCAATACTCGGCATGTTTTGTGGATTATGATCTGTCCTTTAGTTCTTGGGTTAGTTATATGGAACTTGGGGCTCTTTCAGAATGGTTTAAGTACCAAGGCCACCATTTTACATGATGATATCAGGTTCGACCAAGAAATTGACGGTATTAAAATTTTCACGCGCGATGATTATACATGTTCTGAAAACAGAACTTGTGAAAACGGATCCTGCTGGTAAATATTCGCTCCCTGTAATTATAACTAAGATTCAGAGACAAGAAAAACTTTGCTAACATGATTCTGTTGTTAGTGGAAAGAGTGGCTATTGCGGATATGGTATGTTAAGACTGGCGACTTCCAAGTAGATGACATGAACTGAATGGAGGTTACTTAGAACCGGAATACTGTGGGAAGGGATGTAAATCCAACTGTGATGCGAAAGCACCTTGTGGGAAATATGCCGCAGAAGGCAATTCAAAATGCCCATTGAACGTTTGCTGCGGAAAGTATGACACACACAATGTCCGGTAAATAGCTTATTACACCCGCAAAGAAATACTGACAATTGTATAGATCGGGCTACTGTGGAACTACAAGCGAGTTCTGTGACAAAGACCAAGGATGCCAAAATAATTGTGGCCAGCCGAGCATACCAGAGGGCAAAAGTGAACATTCTGTCCGAAACAAGGTTATTGGATATTATGAAGCCTGGTAGGTTTTCACCCCCCCCCCCCCAAAATTATTTATGTTTCAGCTGCTGAATCAACACTCAGGAGCTCGTACCGAAAATGCAACAAATTCCAGCCCTGGAACATCCCGATCAATGGCCTTACTCATGTAAATTTTGCATTTGCATATGTAGATCCTGCCACGTATGAGATCACCACGATGGACAGCGAAACGCCGACCGATCTGTTCCAACAAACGACTGCCCTCAAATCAATGAAGTCCGGCCTGGGCCAAGGTATCGAAGTCTGGATCTCTATTGGAGGTTGGACTTTCTCGAATAATGGCACAGATACACAAGCTGTATTTGGAGACATAGGTAGCTCCGAGACCAAACGAAAAGCATTTGCCAACAGCCTTGTGGCCTTCATGACACGATATGGCTTTGATGGAGTTGATCTTGATTGGTAAGTGATCTACGATTGAGTGTTATCTGAAGTGAACTAAGCATTAGTATACAGGGAATATCCTGGCGCTAGTGATCGTGGAGGTCACAAGAAGGACACGAAGAACCTTGTCAGTTTGATCAAAACTATGCGAGAGATATTTGACAAAAGTCCTCGGGGTGGCTATGGCTTGACATTTACTATACCATCAAGCTACTGGTACCTTCGTTGGTTTGACGTTCCTGGGATGCTGAAAGCCGGAGCTTCGTGGGTTAATCTCATGTCCTATGACTTGCACGGTACGTTAAAGGTTCGATTCTTTCAGGTCCATAGATGCTGAGAGCCCTTAGGTCAATGGGATCAACACAACCCCATCGGAAGCTACGTTCATGGTCACACCAACTTGACAGAAATCAAAGAGAGCGTTGGTCTCCTCTGGCGGAATGATGTTCCCCCAGGCAAAGTGGTCCTTGGCACAGGATTTTATGGCAGATCCTTCCAACTCAATGATACATCTTGTGATACTCCGGGTTGCCCGTTTGGACAAGCTGCAAACAAGGGTGATTGTACTGATGAAGGGGGCATTCTCGGATACTTTGGTAAGAAACAATGCAAAGCTTTTCTCATGCAGTTGACTCACCTATATCAGAAATTCAGGAAATTTTAAAGCGGAATCCCAAGATTACCAAAGTTCATGATAAAGAAGCCGCGGTCAAGTACTTCAAATATGACGATAATCAATGGGTATCGTTTGATGATGCGGAAACCTTCAACCAGAAAGTGAAATGGGCCGATTCCATTGGTCTCGGTGGCTTGATGGCCTGGGCCATTGATCTTGACGATTCCAACTCCACAGCACTTTCTGGATTGATTGGCAAAGATGCTGGCCATGGCCTCGACAAAAGTCTGATAAAAAGGTCAACCGAGAGTGCTAGCTGGTCTTCAGACAATGGACAAGATTGCTACGCCACAAAATGTGGAGACAGGTGCCCGGTAGATCATTCTGTCCTGGACAATTATCAGTCAAATTGCAACTACCCCCAAACGAAGCAGATATGTTGTCCACGTGACCGAACACCTCGCGACTGCCTTTGGCGTGGTGGCGAGTCTGGCGGATCTGGTCGAGCATGTCATGGCCAGTGTCATAATGGCGAGTTAACAATTCTTCTCGATGGGTATGGCAATAGACACTGTGCCACAGGCAATCAGGCCTATTGCTGTACTGCTGACAGGTATAAAGAGCTTCTGGACGGGTGCCGAGTGGGAAGTTGTGGAGGCTCATGTGACGACGACGAGCACGAAGTTGCAAAGCAATATGACTTCAGCTCATGCTGGAATCATGCAATTCATGGGTATAAAAAGCCTTGGTGCTGCAAGACAGACTTGAAGAACTGCCATTGGGTTGGAAAAGGCAGCTGCGATGATAACAACTGTGCTGACGATGATATTCAGTTGTCTCTCAGCACTTACGGAGATTCTTCATCCATGTGTGGAGTGGCTGGACGAAAGAAGAGTCTTTTGCTGCAACCCTCCGGACGACACAGAACTCTTCACCCCAGTGCCCTTGGAGTACCTTTTCCGAGATCCTCCGCCAGTCACAGATCCAGTGAAATGGGACCTCCAAATCCTTGGAGGCTATGTTGGTTCAGGCGAACAGGGAGCGATGATATCCAATAATCCAACAGCTGATCCCAACTACGGTGCCTTTGGCTTTGTTCTAATTTCTGGGCCCAAGGATGTCGTTTCCACGTTCTCAAAAAGGGATAATTCACATATCGAAATTCTTGATTGTGAATCGATTGTCTCAGAGGAAAAACAAAGTCTTCGTTTTGTCTGCACTAACGAAAATGATAACAGCAATTGCGACGACATCCTGGATGGCGGCCTCGAGGGTACGGTGATTCGAATGCCTGAAAATTGTGGCCCAGGATCTTATATTGTTGCTCACTCCATGAAGATATCTGAAGATCAGTCCATCCCGCACCATTTGTTTAAGCGTTTAGTGCCGACCAGAGAGGTCATGGACTTGGAGTTCTCATATGACTTCAAATTGATGAAGCGTTCTGATGAGAAGGTCCAGTTTCGTGTCGACTATTCCAACATTGCTGGATATTGGGAAACCGTGGTTGATGCACCTGGAGAAAAGCGAAAACGCAGCAGCTTACCTCCACAAATGTCGCAGAGAGACCTGATCGACAAAAGATTTTTCTCAGGGGATGTTGCCTCCTGGGGTGATAAGTTCGATGATCTAGATGAGCAGGCTTTCTTTGTCAATCTGACTGAACCTGCTACGGAGGTGATCATTGACGAAAAGCTCAAGAAGTGTGATGGTGAAGAGTATCTGCAAGTTCAGTCTGATGGAACTTGTACGGCCTATGCCAAGTTTGGATTCACTATCATTGGTACACTGCAGCCATTCAATATTGATGATGCTTTCGGGCTTGTTGACTTCAAATATGATCTTGCTGCCACGGTCAGCGTCAAAGGCAACGCGGGAGTTGACACCGAGTACAAAACCACACCTGCCCATATAATTCCAAACTCCGAAGCGGCATTTTCACACCCGGGCATAGTATCATTTAAACCGAGCTTCGATCTTCAAATTGGTATTAAGGCCACTGATGCCTCATTTTCAGGGTCAGTCAAAGGCCAGCTCTGCCACTGCCTCGGGAGCTCTCAATGTTTAAAAGCTAACCTCCCGCCATAGGGAATATACTGCAAAAATGCGTACCCAGTCGGACCCAGCATTGAACAAGGGCTGGATCCGAGTGACACTTCCTTATGGAGCTGGCGGTACTCGAGGGGGCTCCTTGGCTTCTTCTGTCAAGAACCCGTCAAGCGGACATGCAGTAACAACTGGGGGCGAAATTGAGCTGTCTCTGATTCCCGATTTCTCGATGGAAATTGCTTTCAATCAGCAGTCTGATGTCTCACTTTCCAAACGTGCGAGCTCTGATCTTCAGCGCCGTGGGTCCGGTTCACTTATCCACTACATGTTGGATATCTACTCTCCAAATACCATCGAGCTTGACTTGGATGGAGTCTACTTGAGGGCTGACTCGGCATACTACTCTCTTAGCAATGTTGGAGATGCTGATGTTGACCCATGGGCGAGTACGGAAACTGCTGGCGATCGGATCGGCAGTCAACCAGGTCGCATAACCCTTCATAAACAGAGTGGAAAAGACAAGTCATTTCCAGACTACACAAGCACCAATATTCCATATCGTTTATTCAACAACCAAGTCCTCACTTGCACGACGACTGAAGAAGGTAAAGCATCCTGCAAAGCCGATCTGTGCGAATCGAATGTTATAAACTGCAGCGGCGAACCATCAGGCAGTCGTCGCGGGACGGTATCTAACCAGAAAAGAGACTCACTGAATGAGAAGAAGACTCAGTCTCCAGAAAGGTTTCACAAGAGACATGATCGGGTTTCGCATTCCGGTCATGGCTATCTTCACAAGAGGCATGAGATTGGTTCATCCAATTTGATAACCCCAGGGTGAGTTAAATTTGAATTTATCATCATTACATGGCGAGAACCTCGCTAAATACCGTGAAGCTATGAGACGAAGGACTGGGAATCTTCTTATCTGGAAAAGCGCGAACCAACAGGGGCAACAGGCGGAGTTCGAACCCCTTACACATTTAGATGTCGCGAAGATGCTACTCACTACAGAGGTGGAGAGTACAAAAACTTGAACTATCCAACCTATGGAGACTGGACAGTGGATGATGGTCGCTATGACAACGTCTTTGATGCTGGTGACCCAGATATTTGCACAGACGGATCAGTGACAGGACATATGATACCCCATGATGGAACTTACAAGGGCATATCGTACGTCTGTGAGCACATAATGGAGCTACAGACAATGAAGCTATTCCTAAACGACGTTTCAAAAAACGTCTTGGCAGACAAGAGCAGCTCAGGCTTATCGCAGATACACTGTGACTTTGTCAAGTCTCTGAATACGGCCATGCTTAGCAACCCTCCGACGACACCAGGAAGTGAGACGAACATCAATATTCCCATGGTGCGCATCATGCAGCTTCATGGCTCGGCGGAAAACTGGAAGCACTTCGTTTTCCTTGAAAAGGCCATCAATCAATACAAAGCTTCGGTGAGCTAATGAGGTATCCTTTGGAGATATCGAATCCCAGCCCGGATGAAAATTCTGGTCTCCCCAAGACACTTTGAGTCAAATATGGGACACCACGCTGCGCTTGTGTAGCCTTTTGCTAACTTGCATGTAGTTTTGGAAACGCGAAGACCCCATTGGGGAAGGAAAGCGCGTGGAATTAAACGAAGGGGAGGGGACATATTCAGAAGCCTTGGTCAACATTCGGACTGTCATCAACGTCTTCAATTATCTCAACGAGGACCAGTGGGTGCACGGCAATCTGACCTGGATTTCCAAAAATATCCGAACGGAATTGCAACGTGCAGATGATGCCTGGGTTAGCAAAGGAAAGACCAGAACAAACATCGCCCAGTACTGGAGTAAATGGATCAAAAGTCACCTCAAGGCAATGTCAACTGAAGCCGCGGGATGGGCCTCCCAATGTGTCGGAGAAGTAAGGGGAAGTTGGCTTCCTCGCGAAGACTCTCCAGTCAGAACCTTGGTATTGAGCTCTCTGGTAACATTGGAAAGCCAGCTCGGTGGTATCACAGTGAACACTGCGAATCTAGATTGATTGAGTCCGTGAGCTTTGAAGAATTGATTGCTGCCAATTGTGGCCTGTTCAACTTAGTTATCGCTTGGTGCTCTCGCTTTTCTGGGGCCATATGATGGTAGTGGTACAAGTATATCCTACCGTGACCTAGGTATACCAAATGAATACTAGTAAGGTATTGGAAGTGTAAATGCCTATATTAATCTTATACTAATAAGTAAAGTCTTACTAATAGAGCGAAATAGAATAATTGGTAAGTATATGTCCTTTATTACCTAGTGTCCCCGTCGGTAGTAAGCGACCACATCTTCTGTTCAGGGCGTTCAGGCGTAGACTTTCGCAGAACCCAGTACTAGGCCTTAGGTCTCTAGAATTTATAAAGCTTAGTAACGTTTCTAAGGTTACCTAGACTAATATTTATACCTCTAGCTATAGGAACCTCTACCTAATATACCAAGATACTTAACTATCTAATTATTAATTACATTATAAACTTAATCAAATATCAGACCTTACCAAAGTATTTTATTTACTTAGTTAAATATACCTTTATTACAGAGATAAGTAAACAGGTACTATATTTTAGTTCTGTAACGATCGAAGCCTTCGGTGCCTGTGGCACGTGACCCAGGCAGCCGCTCATATGTAGATAGCTGCGATGGGAGCTTCTCTTCTTCTCTTCTTCTCTCTCTCAGCTTAATACCTTCATTCAATACTACTGCTATCTTTCTGAGCATCTAAGTCCTTACAAGTTCCCTAGTTAGTTATAACCTTATTCTAGATAGACTAGACAGTCTTCTTATCTTTAGTATACTTAAGGGCTATCTTAGTAACCATGTCACGGCAAAATGATGTCGGCTCCCTATCACATGACTTTATATCCGATTCGCATACAATTGCCTCACGAAACAGGGGGCCGCTTTGTATTATAAGTAGGCAACTCATGCTTGATTCTTTGAAATTTCTTCAAGAATCAGTTTTTGTTTTACAATCGATACCTAGGCTTCTTCTCTACTTCTTACCTGGCCAATCAGTACTGGCTCCAGGGCTGATACCTCAGTAACCCTTACACTCTAATATACTACACTATAAAAGAGTAGATATATAAGGATATTTCTTTTTATATATACATTCAGTTCTTTGTGATTAATCAATCTGATTACTATAGTATACCTTTCAGATTACACTTTGTTAAGTTTTGTCTCTTATATCAAACATACTACAAGTAAAGGAGCTCTTCGGACTAAACTACTTAGCGCACTGCCTGGCACCTCCTTCGAAGTTATTCAACAAGATCCGAGTCCGTGTAAGGCTTAGCACAGCAACGGTACGATTGAGAATCGATACTTAAGGAGTACATCAGGTGTAATCAGGATCACCCACGACCTAACAACACAGAGAACATCTGGTAAGTTGTTTACCCACGATCTAACCACTCACCGTGACCAGTGAGCCCCGCGTAACAACGGAGTCCTAGTTTTAGTCCTACCTCCCCGTTAGGGGAAAACCTCCGCAATACCTACATCCATCTCTATATACCACTTCTTAAGTGTCTTGTTTTATTCTCGTTGGAAACCATCTAGGGTCCACCCAATAGGATCAGGAGTTCTCAACGAGCCATAGTTAGAATCTATGCCCTAGTAACCCTAAGCTAAGTGGTCAGAAAGTCCTGTTCTCTACACCCTATGGTCATATATACTAGATGTCCCCCGATAGATGTCCCCCGATAGAGGGACATATGGTAGGAAAACTACTAGTTGGAGACCTACCTTGGGAAATCGCGGCTGCGGCGGATATATAAGTGTGAGGATGCTCAAATACTCACAGATCGAAGAACGACATAGAGGATCATGCAATGAAGTAGTAACGATTTGACGAAAGTAATAGCTTGAGGAGAGAGAGAGAGAGAGAGAGAGAGAGAACGGACGAAAGCTAGATACAGGAGGCGTGGATGCCTATGTGGATGCCATTTAGGTCAGGCATCCATAATGGTAACAATTCAGGTTCGTTACACTCTGAAAAAGGTTATCGAGCTCCACTCCCATGGTAGCTTGGCATCGCTCGATTTGGTGTAGTAGTATGGACTACTAGTACGTACCGCGATATGTCACGTCAGAATAACCATTACTGCTCTCGGTGGGAGCCATATCAGGCGGCGGCGTGCTTGATGTGGCTGCCGAAGCTAAGATGGTCAAAATTCTTTTGCCATTTAAACCCAACCTTACAATCCCAGATTTTTCCCGTTTCAAACACTTTCCATATCTTCCTTGAGCCAAATCTTACCATACAAGAATCGTCTATTCCTTTCCAAAAATGTTTAAAACATCTGGCCAAGGCAAACAATCAAGCACCGCTCGCCGCCGCGGTGACCCCCCCTCCACCATATGACCCATCCAACCCGGGCCAAAATATAAAATTTCCGAGACATATCATGAAGAATGAGTTTCTTCGCCAGAAGTTGTTACGAGAGTGTGAGAAAATGAATCAGGCGTTCATTGGCATAAATGAGCTCCTAACCGAAAAATACGATCACACTCCGTTTGAAGAGTTCCATCTACTGGCCGCTCGGATGTTTATAGATGCGGCTTATAGAGCTAGGAAGCTCGTGGATATTTACAAAGGGCGTCCTTCATAACACCGAGTACTACCCCGGATCATGGAATTTCGCTATTATAGATGGGTCCTTGAGTTGGTGAGATCAAATTGAGATACTACTAGCAGTTGAACTTGCTTTATATGAGATCGAACACTGCATATAGGAAGAATATGCCCCATGTGTACGCTAGCTTTTTGAAATAAGTGTTGGTTTTTATCTTTCTTAAAACACTTTCTTCCCTCCATAGTACAAGTTTTTCAGTACCAGGGTCTCAAAGTCCAATGCTCACCTGGGTTGTGAGTCCCATTCAGGAATCTTTTTCGGGATTTATGCACAATAGTAGACCTGAAGGTACTAACTACAATACGTAACTTAGGCTCGAGGCTACAGACAGGGAACTACATATCCAGAGGAAAGGTTCAGGTGCCTCTAAAGGCCAACAGCGTTTCTCCGAAGAGGCCCAACGAGTCGGGATAATTATATACAAAAAAAAAAACAAACAACAAACAAACACGGGGAGATTGTGATACAAAGTACACGTTTTTCCCTTCATCTCACCTCGCTGAGGTTCTCGGAGAGAAGCAAAAACGGTCAAAAAGCAACAGAGGAACGCCAGTGGCCCCGACGGCATCTAGGACATCTGGTCAATCCAGTGGGCGACGTTTCGGAAGACTTGGCTGGCCGAGGCCAGCTTGGCAACATCAAAAGAGTTCCAGAGGCGGCTCCAGTAGGTGGTGTGAGGGCTGTATCACGGTATGTCAGAAGGTGTGCAAGGAATGCCTTGGAGAAATTTCACGGAAATCATTATCTTCGACTTACGAGGCGTCATTGTCCTATTGTCGCCTGCCGAACGAGGGGGGAGGAGCCCGAAGAGGGATGGGAGGAGCCCGAAGAGGGGACGGAGGAACGCGAAAAGATGGAAGAGCCGCGCGAAGGGGCAACAGAGGGCGACAGAGGGGCAGGGCTGTGTCATGACATCTCAGAGTGTGTTCAAATAACCTCAGGGGTAGCTTTCAAAGAAATCGATATCTTCAACTTATGGAGCAACAGGGGCCTCTCCGGGCCCAAGCAGGGGGTCGGCCGGGGCGACAGAGGGCGACAGAGGGGCAGGGCTATGCCATGACATCTCAGAGTGTGTTCAAATAACCTCAAGGGTAGCTTTCAAAGAAATCGATATCTTCAACTTACAAAGCAACAGGGGCCTCTCCGGGCCCAAGCAGGGGGTCGGCCGGGGCGGCGTTGGTTGTATTGGGGGGGGGCGTGCCCCGTCGGCCATAGGGCCGAGCCTGTGCCATAAGATGTCAGCTTTTGCACAAAGCACCCCAAGCAGAGATTGGACTGAAATCATTATTTTCAACTTACCGGAACCCATCATCATCCCGGGCTTGGGGGGGCAGGGGGGGACCTCTTCCGAGGGAAGAACCACATCGAGAGACACACCGCTCCCACGAGGAGCAAGAGCACGACCGCGACAACTGCGATGGCGGGGGCGTATGCGTTCAGGACATCGAGTCCTGTGGTGGTGGTGGAGGAGGAGGCGGTGGCGGTGAGGGTGGCGGTGGTGGTGGTGGTTGTGGTGGTGGTGATGGTGATGGTGATGAGGGTGGTGAGGGTGGTGAGGGTGGTGATAAAAACGCTCTCCATTGTGAAGTATGGGGAGATGCTGAAGAAGAAAACATAAGGTCCTGGAGAATCCACTAAGCCTTTTTACATTAGACTTGGTGACTCGCAGGGAAGAAACCAAGCAGGGCAGGCACGACCCATACCTCCCACCAGCTGCAGTGACACAGGTCATGGGCCACTGGGTGATGATATGGTGTACGTGCTATACGAATTGTCCATGATAAGTACGGGGCTCTGCTTTTATCCAAACGATCTATGTTACTAGGCCGAATGTCAAGATGACGGAAGCGTGTTCAGCATATTTTCATCGTACTGATCCTCAAATAGATAGAGCTCTGCCGCTCACGATACTTAGACTCTGTAATGGTCGGGTTTCTTGGCAATTTGGGTTCTCGAAAGAGGAAAACGATACTATAATTAGATAGACAGAGAAGCATATATTTTTCCTCAATGAGTGATGAATGTCCATCTGTATGAATAGAATTCCTGGGACTTTCTATTCCCCAGTCTCTTTATTGTTGTTCTCTGTTCTGGAGATCTTCACAAAAAGAGCAAAGGAGATAATGTTGTGTAGGCAGATTCTCAGTGATCTATAATAGAACTCTGAGCTTTCATTTTCAGGATCATTTGGATCAAAGTCACAGTCGATCACAATAATGTATCCGACTAAACCAGAGTCAGATATTTTATCCGATTCTGAACTTGCTAAAATTGACCGGATAGAGCAGACGTCCAGAATAAAGCAGTAGTCAAATTGAGGACTTGAAATATTACGGAGGTAACCATTTCCCTTAACCTATTTAATATATCATTTACGAATGGATTTATTGGGGTGATTTCTAGATTTAGATCCTCGACAATCATATTTCGAAAGCCCTTCTAGATAAGTTCACGGATGTTTAGCTGGAGTGGGAACAGATACTCGAATCCTTTGTTACAGGAACATATTAAGGCGTAGCAGTACCGATTAATCTTTACAATCACGGCTGTCCAGTCCTGGTCAGATATAATTCCAAAGCTTGTACGTTAAAAAAATACCCACGGCCAACCTGCAGCCCCTACAGACTAAAAATGGAAAGATAGAGGAATATTACTATTCCGACCAGATCTCCATCCCGGTTTTGTGAGCAATCGTTTCTTTCTCTCATGGCAAAGCTTCTCGAGAGGAATTCGGGTGATTGCCATGGTGTAGTCCACGAGTCGTCGTGGAAAAGCTCCTAGGCCATGCTTCCAAGATTTCCGATAAAACGTTCCAGGGAGTATGAAATGCCTCAACTACCTAGGTAGAAGGTGGTGCCTCGCTTAAATATTGTTGTCCGATGGGAATTCGCTAGTTGTCTGGAGCCTTTGCGGGTGAATCACTAGTTGCTCTTAGGCTAGCAGTTGCTCTTAGGCTAGCCTTTGTTTGGCATTAGACACAATGACCGAGGCGATACGTAGCATAGCTGGCTCCGGGTACATTCGATAACTTTCAAGCTGGCGGTGAATCCAAGGTTTTGATCAGAAGCCCGGCAGCCTAGCAGCTTCTGGTGTAACCCCAATACCGCGTGGCAAGGGCGGAGTCGCCACACATTTTCCAAATCTATGCCCATTAGCTTTCATATATGGTTTTGTAGTATGGAATGATTAGCAGCTAGGGCGGCAAGGACTAAAACCAACCGAAAAAAGATCAGAAAAAGAAAGGAAAGGCATACAACAGAAATTTATACCAATCCATGATACCTAGGTATCAGTGGCCACCAACGAGAGGCTAAAATATACTTAAGCGTATAATATAGACATGTTTTACTCTTCTTTATTTCCTCATTTTTACTTAGCTATTGTTACTAGAAAACTGACTAAGATATCAGTAATAAGGTATCAGCTAGAGACTGATCAGTCAGGTGAAGATAGGAGATAAGTCTAGGATTCGATTGGTAAACAAAGACTGATTCTTGAAGAACATTCAAAGAACCAGGAGCATATCGCCTACTTTATAGAATAAAGGGAGCCCTGCGATTGAGGGGTATTAGAATACGGAATCCCGCTCGATAATATACTGACTTCATTCAATTTCATCCGACGATGGCCGGGACACAGTTCCGCAGGAGCTGTATTTCGTCCATTCGACTTACTTTGATAGAGGATTCCACGTCCCGGAATCGTTTATTGACGGGAGAAATAGGCGGAGTGTATGGCAGAATACCGAAGGACTATACAAGAACTCTTAGCTTCGATTAGGTGACTTTCCATACAAAACAGGTGGAAAGGTACACATAAATAAAACAGTTTCTTCCGCCATTCCGCGTATGCTCCAGGATAGGCTTTCACCGCTTCTGACAGTTATCAATCTGATATCATATGACCGCTTGATATCCCGTGACATCTAGCTTCCTTTATATTCTTCTAGGAGTATCTTCAGTTAAGTAGCTAGGTGAAATCTTTTTAGGAATAGCAGACTAGACTTACGCCCTTAGGTCTTTATTATCTACTATTACAGATTAAGAGAACGCAACGTATTACAGTAGGTATTTTCACCCCGGTCTCCAGAGTTTTCACCTATATCGCCCGCACTCACCCTAACACAGAAACTGACGCTAACTTAAGACCCAGGGCTCTTTAGTTTTTGACTACGTTTAGTATGTGGCTTAAGTACGGTTGAGCGGGACGGGAAGCCCTATTGTCCACACCCTATGGTCGTATGTACCAAATATCACTTAGAATAGATTCATGTAGCACATAAAAGAGGTAAGCGCTGTCAATCCCGAAGTCCAGCTAGCGCTAGTATGTCAGTACTAGGTGGTGTAGATGGCCAGCATTAGAGATAGTGTCAACATTATACTACTCGGGATCCTATCCAATTATACTAGTATTATCAATGCCCTGAATTATTAGGATCGAGCATTGTGTATCGCTAGAATAGCTTCGTTAGGGGGGCGATAGAGCCTTATAGGGAACACTAACAATTATAATAGAAACACTAGTGGACGTCTACTAGTACGATGGACAATTGCAAGCTCATTGTAAAATAAACAACCTTGATTCTAAGGTTAAGATTTCTTCAGAACAAAATATCCTAAAACCCTCTCATCAACTTGAACTTGAAGCTGGATGAGCTCATTTCTTAGCGTCGACCGCGAACGAGTAGATAGGCTTCATCGAGTTTTTAACAGGGTACAGGTCACTACCTTCATAGGACATGTCCCGAGCGTAGTACTCAACGTTGACAGACTTCTTGCTAATGTCCATAGTCACGAAGCCGTTACCAGCGCCCTGGGAGTTGGCACCAAGGAACTTGGCATACGGGCCCAATGCGACTCCGTAGTTGCAATCGCCGGGCTCGGCGTATCCAGAACCACCGGTCAAAATGAAGTTGGTGTTGTTGGAGTAGTAATGAGCGAGACAGTGATCGTGGCCATTAACGACAATGCCCTTGTACTTCTCAACGATTTCAACAAAGGGGGCAAGCTCAGTGTAGTTGGTGCTGGAAGACATATAGCCGTGGTGGATTTGCAGGAACTTCCATTGGGCATCGGACTTAGCAAAGGCCTGCTCGACAAAGTCGATCTGGACCTGCTTATCTTTGTAACAGGACAAGGTGTATTCGTTTTGGTAGACTGAAGTGTCCTTTTGGTATTTATTGATGAAGCAATCAGAGTCCACAACTGCGAAAGTTGCCTTCCAGTCCTTACCAGCCAGGTCGTAGGTATAATAGGGAAGTCCCTCTGTACCGAAGTACCATCTGCTGTCGTAAAGAGGGGCTATCTTGGTCTGAAAGTCCACACCAGCTTGGCCCTTGACAATATCGTGGTTACCCAGTGTTTGGTACCAGCGGGTGTTGTTGAAAATTCCACCCTCGTACATGGTGGACCAAGCCTTCTCAAAGCGATTGACACCGCCGGTAGAGAAGTCAATGGCGCTAGAGTAGAAGTTATCACCGACGGACACGATGGCGCTGCAGTTCTTCATGGCGCAAACTTTGCCGATATAAGATGCGGTGGCAGCTTCATTTAGTTAGCCAAGTCCACTCATATGAGAAAGCGGAGTGAATATTATAAACATACTCTGCTCCGCGGTAGCATTAACAATATTTCCACGGTCACCAGGATCACAATCATTCTGGAGCTCTCGAGGAATGGTGATGTTATTAGTAATCAGGCGAGGCATCACATTGTTGCAAAAGTTCAACGAAGCGGGCTCCCATCCAGTCCAGCCGTAATCTGACAAAAGTTGCCCAAGTTAGTAAAGTCGACTCATGGAACATTTCAAGCTGAGAATGATAACAATACCGCCAAGAACCCCGACGGTGAGTACATCACTTCCTGCGTGGGACTTCGAGTCCAAGGAGGCGGCACTAGCCGCTGCAGCCAAGGCCAAAACAAAGCTTTTGATGGCTGACATGGCGTAATCACCAATTATTATTTCGCAAGCCTAACGAAGTAGTAAATGGTGCCACTCAATTGGTATACCCTGGGGCCGGTCGGTTTTATAACGTCAGTGTTCAACATGTGCTGCGTATTTCTCACCCCACATCCCTTGTCAAAGTCCTGTTTGCCATGAACTGACTATCTCAATTTTATGGAAACATTCAGAGATCGTGTCTAATGAGATTTTATTTTCAGACCTCGTGGTGATATTCTGCTTTGCTGTTGGGTGAAGTGGATCGTCCTACCGTGTTGCCAGAGATGAAAACGAATTGTCCGTGCTCCTGGCTGGAAAGGGAAATTAAGCAAGTTGAAATTAAGCTTTTTGACAGGAGATTAGCTTTTGCTTTATTCTGTCAGAAATTAGGCGAATTGAGATGCAATGATTTAAGGTAAGTGAGAAAGAAATAACACGTCATTACGAAATTCATTCTGATTGTATTGCTGCAAAAATGAAGAAAGGTGTTACTATCAAGTGTCCTTATTTTTCTTTGAGAACAGAAGCGATCATTGCTTTAAACGTAGGTAGTAGTATTCTTGATGCCTAAAACCAATTCCAGGGCAAGCTTCTCGAGTGGACCCACCCCGAATAAGCCCCCATCTCATAGGTTCATTAAGCCTTACATTAAGGGTTTTATATTTTAGCCGGTGGCCAAGCCGGTCATCTTTTGTCGTCAAAGCGCAGACTAGAAGAACTCTAGAATACATACCTACCAGATACCCGGTCCACGTTCTAAGTTTGGCCAAGCTAATTGGCGGGCCCACCCCGAGTCGAGCAAGACAGGCCCGAGACCAACATTTTACATATTAAACCTACGTAGGTAAGAAACACAAACTAGACGGGTTCATTGTTGAAATTATCGCTTGTTATAGCTTTGTTATTCTCTAAAAAATAATGCCTGAGGCATGCTGGTCTCAACAAAAAGTTCCGAAGCTGAACTCTGAAGATGTTCTGTAAGATTGTACTGCTTGCAAAGCTCTAATCTAAAATCATTCGAGTTGAAATGAAAAAGTCGGCTAAACCACCGCATCATTTGGCTTGACAGCTTCTCTCGTCATCTGGTTCATGAAGGGGCTCCGATTTCTGACCTCCTTTCCCCAAACAAACATCAAAGAAGGAACAAGGGAAAGCACCAAAGCAATCAAAGCCAACAATGTGCTTGCCCACTGGAGCCCAAGATGCTGATACATGCTCATAGTTGCCAAAGGCAAGAAAGCAGAGAAGATATTTTCTCCTGTGGCGACTGCTCCCATCGCGCTTCCAGCGTAGCTGCTATACGCATCAACAACATAATCAGATACTCCTGAGACTACCAGGACACTGCCAGCGCCGACCATCGCAAGTCCGATAGCGGGCGCGATCCAAGGAATATGCGCGTATGAAGTCCAAGCGTAAGTGAACATCCCCCCCAGATATACCCAGGACGCCTCCCAATACTGCCATGTAAAGCCTTGCTTCTGGGATTGGTGCGCCGGGAACTTCAGTGTTTTGTGAAGCTGATCCAAAGTAGAGCTTTCGAGAGATGAAGTTCAGGGACCATCCTATAAGTTCTCCAATCACGATTGCGCCTTGAATCAAGCCGGTTTGCGTAGCGTTCCAATCGTATAAATCCATAAAAACTTGCTCGACCGACTGGGTGAAAAAGAAATAGTGTTCCAACTGTGAAAGCGGACCACATAGTTGACACGAATAGAACGGGTTCAGTGAGCACCAAAACAATTGGTCTTTTCGCGCTTGGTATGAGTTTTTCTGAAAGTAGGATTGAAAACGAAATCTTTTCATTGACTTCGGTATTGTTCTGAGCTTTGACTCGTCGTGCAAGAATCGCAGTTCCCCGCGATTCGTAAAAAGAGAAGAAATAGATTGGAAAAAGTGCTGTAAACCAAATAATCTGCATATAACTGATCCATCTCCACCCAAGAGCTTGGTAAATGGCAGCACCCATCACCGGGCCCATGCTGCTTCCAGCCATGTAGCCGATAATGTATAAGCTGACAGGCACCGACCTGGTCCATTCAGTATCCCACAGGTTACCCATCACGCCAGCAGCTGTGTTTGCCAAAATGGCAACGCTGCCACCGGAAAAGAAGCGGGTGACTACCAATGTCGCATAGTTCTGGGCGACAGCCTGGGGAACGAGGAAGCAGATGAGAATGAGATAAGTGGAGAGAAACACGGGTCGGGTTCCAAGATCCTCGGCAAGTGGAAGGATGAATAAGGCGGAAAATGCACCGCCAATAGCCCAGGTCGTCACGGGCCAGTAGGAGTGTGGAAATGCAGTCTCGTCGACGTTGAAAGTATCAGATATTTCGAAGTGTGCGACTGTGATAATAGTTCCATTCATCATCGTGAGAAACGTCATAAAAGCGGCGATATATGTCAGAGCCCATTTTTTCGTGACTGGCCAGTTGTAAGGATTTTCGGGATCGTGTTCATCTTTCCAAGCTAAAGTTTCTGTTGAACTATTGTTGATATTGAAGCTTTCCTGGGTAAGCTCCACCGGCGCTTTGCTCTGCAGTGATTCGTCCGCGCGTAGTTCCATTTCGAAGCCAAGTCAAATTCCAACGAATGGTTCGAGTCACCAGGGGTGAGAGAGATCAATGAAGAAATATTTATTTGAACGAGTCAAGGTCATCGGAATATCAATCTTTTTACCAATGGGAATCCAATAGAGTACAAAAGAAAGAAAGAAAAAAGAGCCCCAGGATCGACGGCTCCATCTCCTCCCGTCGTCCTCTTTGGGACAGGCAGGTGGGGGTTGGCATGCACCAATCGAGAAGCGTCTCCTGGTTCAAATGCTTGGGTTATGCCGCTTCTATTGGTTATAATGAAATATGTACCAATCTAGATTCTACATACTAGTAGCAACATGCCATTTATTACCCGAATCAAGCTCGAGCACGACATGCATCTCTTGGCGCTTTTGTCGATTTACATAATTGAAAACTGGAGTATCACAAATTCTCCAATGCGATCTCGGATGAGATCTGCAGTACTAGTAATAGAATTTTCTGATAGTAAAGCAAGAAAAAAAGAGATATTGGAAATACTCCATCGCGTTGTTTTATTCTGTAGCTAGTTGTCAATTATTTACTGACAGGTATGCCATCATGAAGGTGAATGTAATGAAAATTGTTGAGTCATCGAGGTGAGTGGAACTAGATCAGCTTGAAGTTTCATGTTATGCATGGCCCAGCCAGCTCCCCGCGGAAGCTTCCGTGTTGTCATGAACATCCATGACTTGGATTGGTTTCCTTGAATCGGAAGGAAAATCCGAGGGTAGACCAATGTGGAGCTCTCGGGTGAGAAGCCGAAGCCAAGCAAGGGACCAAGATCCGAGCCGACAGTTGATACTAGTATACCCGTACGGCGATCCCATATCGGCAATCAACCCAGCATTTATGCCAGGGTGGAAGCGACACAAAACAACTGGTGCTCTCTGTACGAATTCATGTTTGAACTCAAAATAAATTTTTTTTTGTCAACTAACTTGAGAATACCTAAAATCAGGATGAGGAAGCAATTACATGGTGGGTCATTGTAGTATTACCGTTGGTAAACATTATACGACCAAATGGCAATTTCTTAAACAAGCCAAAAAAAACATTCCTTTACAACCTTGGAAGGCGGACGTCCCAGTGAAGTATCTTTGCGCGTTGGCCTGAACACCTTATCCTGGCAATAGTCAAGGCGGACCGATAAATGGAGATCGAAGGCAGTCAGTTACTTTGCATATCGACCGGCCAGTCCATGTCATTTCAGCCATTCCGATTTCCTGGCGAGGACTATTGAGTCTAGGGCCGAACTGATTGCACTCTGTGGTACGACAAAAAAAGGAGATATAGAGGCCCAGCCATCATGGACCAGATGGACTGGAAGATCCTGAAGCTTATCCTTATCAATAAACTCATTGATATACTGGCAAGCCAACTTGAAGTGGAAAAGCTGTTCCTTAAGTCCTATTTAGCCTTGACGGCATGAGATTATGGGGGTAATAACTTTTCGGGAAGGAAATCATGGGTAGTACTTTCATAAAAGAATTGTATAGTATTCCCAACTAGAAGAACGGCACACGTTAAAGATGCCAGTACTATGTATGACTCTTCTGAAAATAGCCATGCTATAATTATTTATTTAAAATGATTCGTCTGGATTTGGCACATCAAGCACGTACAGACACTCATAAAATCAAAGCATAAGCGACAACATTTTGCAAATGAAAGAAAACGCATCTCGATGGCTGCAATTTGGCGAGAGCTATCGATGCAGAAGCACATCACAGTTAATTCACCATCTAACCAAAAGTGTACACAACACATTCAAAGAGGTCTCAGAATGTTTCAGGGCTTTTCTCATGTTTATCCGTTCCCTCGAAGGGGTTAAGAAACCCCCTTCGTCTCATGCAGAAAACCTCGAGTGAGGGTTTCCAGGAATTGTTCCCAATATCCATAGTGCCAGCCGTAACAGTGAGCATGTCCTCATATCCCGGGGTCCCAGTGGAGGTCGTAAAGACCGGAGAGCCGCAGTTAGAGCAGAAGTGACGATGTATCGTATTTCGTGACTCGGGGGGGCTTATCGTCATAGACTTTGAGAACGTCTTCGCCCGTGATAATTTTGAAGTTCTACCTTGTGTTAGAAAGATGTGGATCAATTTGAGCTTTGGATAGATTTTAGACTTACCTCTCTCGTGTATGCGCTATTTGCCATGAATACAGACCCGGTGACTTTCCGGCAGGTATCGCAGTGGCAGATGATGTTGGTGATGGGCGATCCGGTGAGTTCGTAGCGAACCTTTTCGCAGACGCAGCTGCCAGTAATGGTGTTAGGCATAGTGGCCGCGAGTGGTAGATAGAATTTCGAGTTGAGATTGCCTTCGAAGGAACTGGAGTTATCCAGAATTGAGAACTGATACCGGATTGTAGTTACTGTCTCCCCCGCATTTGGAAAGCGGGCGTTTTAAGTTAATCATCAATCATGATTCAGGCCCCCAATATGCAATGAAAAACCTTGAGAAATTAATCAGCCTCTTACTAAATGGACGAGAATATTCTGGAACTGCATAGACTCTTCTCGTATTTTCTATCAAGACTACAATGATATTTTGTCTTCTCATTGGATTACACTCGAGATAAATCGGCATGACCCAGGCTGAACAATTCAGTAATCCAGACGGGATTCTGCTTGTAATTGAAAATAAATTGTGAAATACCTAGTTTTGATTATTTTTGTCTCTTCTGTACCTTGAAATTTTTTGATAACCAATGGACTGTTCACTCATTCTGACTCATTGGCGACAGCAGTGAGCTATAGTTAACAAACTACCTATGGATTAGTCACCCGACACGGGGCAGCGGTGGGGCAGCATCGATAGGCATCGCGCTATCAGCTCGACATCCATTCACATCCACTTGGACAGCTTGCCTGGCAACACACCACTTCCTCACAAGATGACTCGCTGAGTCCCGCAATGCCGAACGGGACAGTACGAATCCTATCCAAAGAATTTATCTACTCCCCAAATATCTCCGCATGGCCCGCCCACGAGCTGCGTCGAGTGCCGACGCCCAGAAGGAACCCCATGCGGTCTCTCTGAAAGGTAGGCAAAGCTCAAATGCGGGGGATGAAGATGAGCTAACCCTTGATTTGCAACACAGTTCTTCGGTAAATCTACTAGCACTCCTCGCTTTCCTGCCCGCGCGATCTCTAACGCCGTTCTAGTCTTTCGCGACCGTCACTGGCTCACCAATCCCCCCCTACCCATCGCAAACACCAAGATATCCAACAAGGCGCCGTTGAGCTTCCCATCTACAGACTCCGACGACCAATTCATTCTCACGCCCAATGTCAGTCAGCTTCTCCCTTCCTTAATTGGCGCTTATCTAGAATCTGCAAAGTATTAACCGGCACTAACACTGCATACTAGCTCACCCTCCCTCCGGCCTTCGGATCAGTCTATGTTGGCGAAACCTTTGCATGCACCCTAAGCGCGAACAATGAGATAACCGACGATGAAACGGATAGAGTGGTCACATCTGTACGGATCGTAGCGGAGATGCAAACTCCCTCATCCGTCGCCTCGCTAGACCTGGAACCAGCTAGCGACTCGGCCCAGGTAGAGGGTCTTGCGACCGGCGAGTCGCTACAGAAAATCGTCCGATATGACCTTAAAGAGGAAGGAAACCATATTCTCGCTGTCAGCGTAAGTTATACGGAGACGAGAATTGGAACGGACGCCCAGGCTGCTAGCGGTCGAGTCCGGACCTTCCGCAAGCTGTATCAATTTGTCGCTCAACCTTGTCTGAGCGTGAGGACGAAGGCATCCGAGCTGCCACCGTTGGAGGTGGATAACAAGTCGCTGGGTCCGTATGGGAAAACCCGTCTGCTTCGTTTTGCCTTGGAGGCACAACTGGAGAATGTTGGGGACGGCGCGGTTGTTGTCAAGGTGAGCATTTCGCAGCATAGCACAGCATCCTCTCTTCTGTCACTTCCTATCATTCCACACCCAGTGTTTCCCGCACCAAAACGGAGTGCTGCATTTCTCCTCCCAGCCTCCAAACCCGCTTCAAATCTCAAATCCAGAAATTAAAAGCTAACGTCTACAGCAAACGAGACTAAACCCAAAACCACCCTTCAAATCCGTCTCGCTGAACTGGGACTCCTTATCAGACAACCCGGGAACAGGACCACCAACGCTCAACCCGCGTGACGTACTACAAGTCGCGTTCCTGGTGGAGCAGGAGGAAAACCGAACGGAAGGGCTAGAAGCTCTGCAGAAAGATTTACGGAAGGAGGGGCGGGCGACGCTAGGCCAATTATCGATCGAATGGCGTGGTGCGATGGGCGACAAGGGCTTCCTAACTACGGGCAACCTGATGAGCCGGAAACGCACCTGAAACACGGTGTGAGCGCGTTGCGTGGCACGGCATGCGCGGCGAGGAATTCCCGAATCCCCGGTGCATGGAACCGCATTGGGTTGCAGACGGGGCAGATAGAGCAAAGCAGAGCAGAACAGAGCAGAACAGACACGAGTCTTGGGCGTAGCGCAACGCAAAACAGCACCGCACCGCACAGCGCAGAATAGCCCAGCGCAGCGATTGGAGGAATAGGAGAAGAGTCGGCATTGTGCCGTGCGTGCTGCTTTGTACATACATACCGTTGCAGTCGTGATTGTGCGTACCATCCATATGCACAATAACCGAGCCTGCCATTTCTACATAGTATTCAGCGGCTATGATTTGATTTGACATGATTCAAGTCCAAGTGTGATGCGCATGGCGATGAATACTAGTAGTGGAGTGGAACTTCGATCTGGGATGCCTTGGATTTCCTCACTGGTCAGGTCTGATCTGATCTGGCCTGGTCTCTAACTCAATCCCCATCCCCCCACCCAACCCCCCCTGCCACCTCCTTGTACGACGGTCTGGTTAAGGTCCTGCCGAGCCGCAGCGCCCTAGTATGGCGGGCCTGAATCCTGGCGCCAGGGGCATGGGGTTCGGCAACCGGCGTGGCCATGCAGCCCACGCTTAAGTGGAGGGTGTCACACGCGATGTGGCTGATTCGGGCGAAGAATCTAGAATCCTATCCAGGGCAATGGACGGATGATGCACTGTTCCCTGTCATGTAGTATGAAGAAAGGTGTAGACAGATTAGGCGACCGTAGATTTTCAAGTTTTATTTCTTGAATAAAATTTGAAGAAATTTGCCGGACGATGCAAGTGCCCAGTACGGAGGACATTGATATCAAACTTGAAATGTACATAGATGCGTTTATCAGATCAGGCATGAATACATACCTTAAGGTACACTCCATAGGATGACCAGCAGGTCTGGACGGGAGTCTAGACCCATCGATAAATCCAGAACCGCCGCTGTGGGATTTTCAGCTCAGCTGGCCAGGCCGAGAAGCATCTAGGCGTGACGGGGATTTCCTTGTTACCGCAGCCCAACAGCAATCAATGCTCATCACTTATGTACCTTGTACGAGTACGGAGTATGGGAACGCGTGTGCAATAAGAAACAGTCCAGATACATTTCAGTATTGAATCGTCTTTGGCCCCAGATTCATTCTCTGTGACTATTTTCTTACATGCCCTATAGTAACACCTGGGCATATCTTAAACGGTCGCCACCGCTTGTTCTCAAGAAGCCTGACTTGTAGTGCATGCAGGTCGCGATAACCTTGCTGGGGCCTTGGCTTTTAGCCCTGCAGATGCACCGAACGGGCTACTGGGCTGCAGGACCGTGCTGAATGTGGCGGGCTGGCCATTTCAAGTCGAGGCCAATGGTGATACACTGCATTTCCCAGCGGTAAGGAGTCTATACATTCAAAGTTGTACGGGGTATGGAGGACAAGAGTGGACATCCACTACTGTAGTATTGCAGTACTGTATTAACTTGCATACTAGGACTATGCTGGCATTAGTTAGTCCTCTCTCTGCCCTCTTGGAAACAATGATAACTAGCCATGATTCTTCAGTACACAGTACTTGAATACATACGACCCATCTCCACTAATGGTACTAGTATCAAAATAGGTATTGATCATCTCTGGCGCCTCCCCCCACTACAAGGACAGACCACCTCCTGACTCCTGCTGAATTCCCCCCGCCAAAAGGGCGAGTCAGAATCCCTAATCCGTTAGTCGAACGTATCGCTTCGCCTGTTGTGATCTCGGCAAAATTCAGGGGAAAGAATCGGGACGCATTATTATATCCATGGATATAACATGTGATCCAAATTATGTATGTATAAAGCAGTGACGGAGGACGGAACCACAATGTGCAAAATATATGCAACCTTGAAGACAGCCTCCGTTCGGCAGCCTCCGACCCATTCTTCCCCTTCCAGGACAAGAAAGGAAAAGAATGCCCAAAAAAGGCCCACGGGTGAGAAACCGAAACTGGCCCTGAAAACTGAAAACTGAGGACGAGGTTACAGCCGGACGAAACCTGCCCGGACAGTCCCGCCTCACTGAGTCTGCTCTCTAGCGCTGAGCTAGGGCAGTGGTCGCTGACACTATTCACTGCCATTGTTGCGGCCACGATAATTATTAGTCTCGAATTACGGAGTACAAATACAAGCCATGTCTCACGGAGCGACGCAAATCCTCGACGATCTTGCCTATGTATGTTGCGCCGTGCCCCGAGCGCAGACGCCGTTGACGGATCCCCCCTGAGCCCTAAAACGGGAGCGATGGCCGGGACGGACATAACCATGGATTGGACCACGCACAGCTTGTTTGGTACATACCCATAGAGTGTATCAAGTCTACCCAGTGTGGTTGTGCTTTTGTGCCCAGTACCCCTGGAACGCGGGTGGGAACTGCATATGCCGATGGGCGCGAACCATTCACCGTGGCGGATGAGTGGGATCGGTGTGCGCTTGCGCTCCACCGAACCTTGAGAGCTACCAGAAGTATGGGAGGTTTGGTGGGGAGGTGGAGAGGAGATCAGATCAGATCAGTATATGTAGATAACCAGAATGAGGGTATGGTGTAAATTATAGCAAAGGAGTTTGAGTGCACAAGGAAGAGGATCGTGGAAATAGGATACAATATGCACAGTACTTTAGACATTCCGAGGTATTCGAGTCAGGGCTCTCCCGCGGGAACCAACGCCAACGGTCCTGGTCTAGTGTGGTACTACGGAGTAGTCTCATGGACTTTCTCCGTACTGAGGAGAGTATGCCTGGATGCCCTAAACCTTGGAAGCTCAGGCATGAATTTTGCAGCGATTTAATGAGCAAAGCAGAAATAGAAGAGTGGGGAAGTGTTGCTGGGCAAACTTGAACTACTCCGGAGTAGGTTAATCTACACACGGGCGGTACGGAAAGGACAATACCATGCATACGCAAGCATCCGAGGTGTAGATAGGAGTGGAAGTACGGGAGTAAGAAGATGAGAGAAGAGAAAAGGAGAATGGGATATGATTATACATAATTATAATTATAAAATTATAAATAAACATCACTAGTAATAACAAAAAAAAGCAAAAAGCGGCCAATCTGTGCACCAATGACAACGGGGGCAAAAGCCAACCGCACAGTACTTCAGTACTCTTCAGTACTCTCATCATACATGGAGACTCCATACACTCCGTACACTCCGTACAGTTCATACAGTTCTTACCAACCCACCCCCAAAATTGATCTTCACTCCTGAACCCCTCCTCTTGGGACTCTCTTCTACACTCCCTTCTCCCTCCCGCTCCTGCGATCTCACCTCACTCCTCTCACCTTCTCGCCTCGCCTCTTCTCTTCTCTCCTCTCCTCTCCTCTCCGCGTCTGTACAGTCTTGCCAATTCCTTTCTGTTCACCCCTCATCGTCGACACCCCCCTCCAAAGCTTCAATAATCCATGCGGTAACCACTTGCTCGAAATTGACACCAAGCCTGGGTAATTGGGGAGTAAGTGAAAGAGTCGAGCCCACTAGCTCCCACAATGCCATCAACCAGTGTGCCCGAGGCCGCCCCTCTCGCCGACTATTTCTGGATAGCCGGCGTGGACGGATCTGAGGTCCTGGACACTTATCGCCGCCTAGGTGATGACTACCGCATTAACGGCGCTGCTTCCCCCGGTCCCGCTTTCACAGACGCCATCCAGGAAGATGCCGACGCAGAAGAGGAACACCTGCCCCCCGGCACCTCGCGGCCCAGTTCCACCCTGTTTACTGGGAACAGCTCCAGTGGTCGCGGCTCGTCGCAACGTCTTTCCACACTGTCCCGCGACTCCGAAGGCCAAGCCAATGGCACCGCCAGCAACCGGAGCAGTATGACCGTCAAGGGAGGCTCGTCGCCTGCGCGCGGCTCGACTCTCTTCGGCGACGATTTTGATTTTGATCAAGCGCTTGTAAAGTTTGCTTCGGAGCGAGATACCTTCTTGACTGATTTGAGTCTGAGTGCCGGCGCCATCACCAATAATTCCCGCCCACGGTCGCGCGTGCGCACCCAGAAGATTGTCGCGGAGGACTCGCCCTCTCAAGGGTCGAATCTGCTTCGTTCGGGCATTGGGAGTGTTCGCCGTCATATGGCCTTTCGCGATTTGAATAGTATGAAGAGGCAGCCGTCAATTGCTCGTCATGGTGGGTGTTCCCGAGCTCTTGTGTCTTTTCTCATGTCTTTCTCCTATTCCAGCTTCCATTTCTGACATATTTTCTTAGCTTCGGTGCGCACCTCCCGACGACTCAGTAACTACAACTCGGTCATCCCCGTCCCACAACCTCTCGAAATTTCCCCTACAATGCATCCTTTGAAACGCCGCTTTGAACCTGTCTTGCTCGACCGATACCCCACCCGAGGAATGACAGATGAGTTAAAGCAGCGCGGGAACTTCCCGGACTATGTCCCCATGTTTGCATTCCCCAACGATATCAACATTGTTTCCTCCGATCAACGGCCGCGCTCGACATGGCACGGGTTTGCCATGACAACAGAAAATGGCTCGAAGCTGCACGCGATCTGTGTGATTATGTGGATTCCGTTGAATTCGCAAGCTGCGGACGAATTAGAAAAGCGCTGTGAGGAATGGCGAAAGGATAATATGACAGACGAGGAACGGGAGTTGGCTGCAAGTCTCGGCGAGCGACTTGCACAGGAGCGGGCCAAGCTGTCTCAGCTCCTGGCCCAGTTACCGAACGTGCAATCAGGATCCGAGTCTCGAGAACGGCTCGAGGACGAGATCAGCGCGGTAGAGGAGAAGATCGGACTCATGAATGATCTCCTGCGACCGGTCCGGCACGGTGCAGCCTCAAAAATTGAGGGCCTCACGGATGGTGACACCGGGTTTTGGATTCCCCGCGCTTACGGAATTCTGGGCCGCGAAGCCAACATGACCAGCTTCTGGAAAGAGTGGTTAAAGGCGATTGTGGTGCCTATGACCGAAGGTGGGATCCAGCGCGTGCCGCCGAGCTCACCCCGAATGGGCATGTGGCAACCGATCGAGCGCTATGTAATGAACCTCTGCACCGAGGCATTCTGCCCTGTTTCTTCCAAAACTCAGGTTGAACTCGCAATCCGTGAGCTGCGGCTATTCGCCCGACAGGAGGCGTCCAATGAGCTTCCTGGCTCCCGGAACACGGATCTCTATGCCTTGTTCCGCGCTCTCTCCGTGCCTAATATCCTTATCCTCTTCGAGTACGCCTTGACCGAGTCGCGTATTATTTTCCTATCATCACACACCTCGATGCTCTACCTTGCGACGAGGGCGCTGGTCGACCTTTTGTTCCCCATTGAGTGGACCGGTGTTTTGATTCCCGTTCTCCCAGCTCGCTTGGTACAAGCTATCGAGGCGCCTTGCCCTTACATAGTGGGCATCGAGCGTCGTTATGAAAAGGTGGAATTGCCGACAGACGACTTCGTGTTGGTAGACTTGGATAACGATATGATTGAAAGTACCTTGCAACCAACCCCTCTTCCACGACACCAGCGCCGGAAGCTCTTGTCGCTCTTGCAAATGGCAGCTCCTCACCACAGCCGCTGTGGGGTTCCAACCGGGCCTCCAGCGTATGCGATTGAGACCTACCCATGGGACACCTTTCTGTCCGAAAGTAGTGGCACATATTCCTCCAAGGCACCACCCACCAACCTTGCCAAGTATGTCGGTCTGAATTCGAACGCGTTCGGTTCAACCGCCGTGGTCCCCGGCTCCTACCAACCCCCAATCTTCAATGCCTTCCTGCATGCTCGTCATGAGCAGGTATCTTCCCGTGGGTATTCCTCGTCTAGGAGCAACGACCGTCCAGGTACCAGCTCTACCGTCAGAGCAGGAGCTTCTCCCCCTTCCCCTAGAGAGAGCTCCCCCACTTCTGGTCATTTCCCTCCTCCTCCGCCTACTCCTTCTTCGCGAAATGATTCCGGTATGGCTCTCCAGGCTTCGCTACGCGAGAAACGATCGGGCCACTTCGATTCTGCATCCCGAAGAAGCTCCTCGTTTGGTATGACCCGTCGTCCCAGCGCGCCATTCCTCGGCCACGCATCTAACTTGTCGGTCACGACCCTCAACACCGATAATGGAGGATCGACCTATGCTCCATCTGTGTATGCCCAGTCGACGATTGCCGCTTCAACTATCGTGCCACAAGCTTCCGCACAGTATGTCAATACCACCGAGGGGACTTGCTGGGTTGAAGGACACTATTTCCAAACACAGCCATGGGATGACAAATTAACGTGTGCCATCTGTGATGACCGGGCTGAAGAGGGCATGTACAAGTGCTCATCGTGCAAACTGACCGTTCACAACCGGTGCGCGTCCCAAGTTTGCCTGGTCTGCGATGCAGCCTTCCACCCTGATCAGATCCGGGCTGCCTTTGTTAGATGCTTCGCCAGTTTGCTCTACACCTACAAAAAGTTCCTCACCCCGGCGACTGGCGAAAAGAAGAAAGCAGGTCTTTACTACTCCTTTAACATGGAGGCATTCATGAAAAGTTTGCCGCATGATCAGGCCGAATACATCGCCCACCTCTCCCAAACGCAAGGTAAGTACACCGCCACCTACCTCACCAAAGAGTTGAAATTCAAACCTGACACTGTATAGGATTCATGGAGTTCATCAGTGAACGCGAGCGGACGAACCCAAAGGCCAAGGATTCCAAAATGGCACTGTTTGACGAGATCGTTCTCTCCAAGCGGAACCGTGGCAGAACATCCATCTTCTCAGGTCGATCCACAACGGACTTTTTGTCAGATACCTCGAACCACCTGTGGCGAACTGCCAGCGCAACTTTCTTTGCCCCAAGCAGTCGTAGCCAGAACAACCTTGCCGCTGACTACAGCCGGGTAGCCCAAAGAGGTGAGTTGCATTGATCCATCTACCATGATGATACCTCTATCTCCACCCACCACCCATACTTACCAAAACATAATAGCGCCGGCGAAATTAGACACGAGCCTGATGACAGAACCCCGCATGATACACGGAGCGCCTCGGGTGTCCAAGACGGCAAATACTGCCCGAAGGAAACCGCTGCCCAAGCTCATGAATGGGCTGGCGATCTCTCCGCCGAGTTAATTGGTGTGAATTTGTCTGCATATCGTCCGACCATTCGACCCTACCCAGCCAGTCCTGTAGACCGAGGCTCTATCTTCCTGCAGGCTTGGATTTGGCTCATCATTGTGCCCGCTTTCTGAAACGTACCGACCGGGCCCGTACGACAGAGTATCAGTGTCTTTGTTTAGGCTCCGAGGTTTCGCCCTTGACGGGTGGAGCACACATGTTCCATGCCGAGACACAGGCCGCTGGCGGACTGGCACTTTGCCTCGAACTTTCCTTCTTCTTTTCAGTTCTGTCTATATATACGCCTGTCTCGATTCTGGCAGACTTTGCATGGTTGTATCGACAATGTCGCTATGGTAGTGACAGTGAAAGCATCTGGGGAAGCAGCATCGATTATGTTGCTAGCAGGCTGTCACTACCACTGATTTTTTCCCCAGGGCGCACGGCTCATATCTGCGCTGAAACCTCGCACCTCCTCACCCCTCCTCTTCCTCAGACACCCTCGAATTGGCCAGTTATCTATTATCTGGTTGACAATTTTCTCGTACATAGCGTCACATGCCGCTACGGGGCTTGAAGCCCGCGGAATGAACAAAAAACTAAATAAAAAGGCGCAAGATGGCCAACATAGACTACAACCCGAACCTGCCATGGTGAAGGTCACAGTCATGGATGTGAAAATTCAGATTTGATTCCCCCAAGAAGATGCATTTGCGCAGCATCTCGAAAGATCTCTATTGCGGTGGAGAATGTTTGACTATTTCCTGTTTGCCCTTTTTGGATTTCTCAATTTACTCAATACCCCCCTTTGGTATTTTTCTCTCGTTTTCATCTTCTGGCCACTATACACTCTTCGTTGTTTTCGTCGTTACTGGATCTCTCTTCTATCTCTGCCTCGTACAGTGGGTGATTATTTTTTTCTAGCTAACCTACTTCTAACTCTACTGTGTAATGTGACCATGAGACAATACCTGACTTGACCTCGCTTCCCTGATTTAACTTGATTTTGTTTGATTTCGTTTGATCTGTCTACCCTGATCTATCTGTTTTGCATTCGCATCTATGGATGCATATAGGTTTCATGTAATCTGCAGGCCGTGGCGGAAAAGAGAGGGAGGGAAGCGGAAGAATTCAACTTGAGCATGGATTCTCTTTACTAGTTAGTACCTAATTGATGTATTCCAAGCTTCTATTTTGATTGGATGGGACTGTGACATAGACTGACAATTGGTGACAATGGACTGGATGGATATACTATGATATTATTACTAGGTACACCCTGTTTCATGCAATGTTACCGTGACCCAATAACCTCGGGACCCTTGATTCTCTACTATAATTTAGAGCAGTAATCTTGTGGAGCTCGATAATAGGCTAGGTAGTACTATGTAGGATCCTCACTCAGGCTATACTATACTACTACTGGTGGTTAGTAATGCTGAATTAGGCTGGAGATAGTGGGTTACCCCGGGCAAATCCCTCGATTGGCTATTGGTGCTTGGTTCAGCCGTGTCTCTGTCCACTGTCCAGTGGCAGGAGAGATTTTCCCCGTATCAGGGACCTGTTCGGCCGGGAATACTAGTAACTATAGCCGGATGACTAGTACTATATAGATACTTAGGAGTAACTATATTGTTAGACATAACGGAAGATATACTAGATATAATGTTATATCACATTATAGAGTATCAAATGACTCTATAGTATGTCCAGATTATATACTATAATGTATACTCATATCCATGCCTTTCGTACTTTTCCGATTTTGTAGGGGACCTGAGTATCTCCATATCCGATCTGCTCATCCACTTTTCCCTTTGTTGTGATTGGCGGAAGAATGCATCCCCGTCCAACTCCCCCGCGCCTCCCCGGATCCTCGCCGTGCCATTTCTTCCCTCTTTTTTGCCCGACCCCGGCATCTCAGCACTCCAGCACTCCCTTTTTCGCCATATTAAACTCTATCTCACTCCAATTGACCTTCTCTCCCTACCAAGACTGCCAGTACTACTTCCCGCCCAGATCTTGTGCTGGGTCCAACCCTCCACCTACTCCAACCCGTCCACACTCCGCATACTTCGTGCGCTCGTGCCTTCGGTCAAAGCCCGCTCGGCCTATGCACGGGTATTACTTTCTGTTTCTACCTGCTACTTCTTTTCTCCTACACTGAAGTACTACCTCACTTCTCGCCTCTCCCAGCTATGAAAACGAGGAATCCTGCTATGCGATGATGCCCACAGCTCTCACGCCCATGGCGACACCTCTCCTTGACGAGACGTCCGTCTCCAACGTCCTCCGCAGCCCGCCTGCCCCCCACGCCTACCAATTCTTCGCCTTTGCCCCCGGTCACCTCCTCCCTGAATATCGCATCGATCGCCTCAAATCCGGGCCCTGCGCCCGCGCCCGCGCCCGCGCCTGCATCTTCGCCCTCTAATCTCCATGCATCCTACACCACAGCCGCACCAGAGACTCCCTCGGGCACCGTGGTGATCGTCTTCCAGCCCGGCCAGGAACACATCGTGCACATGGTAGCGGAAGTCCTAGGCAAGCCCTGGACAACAGAAGTCGTACTCTCAACCCTCTCCAAAGCAGACGTGGTCGTCGCAGGCGTCATCAAGGATAATCTAGAGCGCAGTCTGGAAGGATGCGATAGGGCAGCGGTCGTACTAGTGAACACGCACAGCGTAGAGGACGGGTCCGCCCCAGACGACGCGCTGAGCGAACGCTGCGACTATGAATTCCTATACTCGCGGACCCCATTCCTGCGGCGCGACCTGACGCGGTTCTTATCGTTGATCCTGGGCCAGACGAGGCCACACGAGGATCTGCGGACCAAGACTCGTACCAATTTTATTTCCACCACTTTCCCCGATGTGCACGCCGCGCTGCCGAACTTGGATATTCTTTCCGTGGGCTCGGATGCGGTTGAGATTCGCGTGGATTTGCTCGTTGAACCGGAGTGTGAGGGGAAAGTGCCGAGTTTGAAGTATGTTGGTCAACAATTAATGCTCCTTCGGCAGCATACTGAGTTGCCGATCATCTTCACCACTCGCTGTACAAAGGAGAATGGGAAATTCCCCATGGACGACCCCACGCTTTTCTTCAAGTATCTTCGACGCGCGATACAGTGGGGAGTGGAGTATGTGGATGTGGAATTGTGGCTTCCAGAGGAGATCCGACGAGCACTCGCCGAGTTGAAGGGTAACAGCATCATAATGTCTGCCTTCCACGATTTCTCCGGAACCTGGAAATGGACCTCACCATCCGCCGTGGAGATCTTCAACGAGAGCGCCAAATACGGCGACATCGTGAAGATGATCGCGATGGTCTCGACCATCGAAGAAAACTATGAGCTGGAATACTTCCGCTCAACCATCAAATCACGCGGAGCAGGCCACCCCCTCCTCTCCGCCGTGAACATGGGCCAAATGGGCCAACTCTCCCGAGCCCTAAACACAGTCTTCTCCCCAATCACGCACCCACTCCTCCCCATGATCGCCGCGCCGGGCCAACTAACCGCCGCGGAAATCAACGAAGCCCTGCACATAATGGGCCAGCTCCCGAGACGCGACCTGTACACCATCGGCTCATTCCGCCAGACGCCCCAATCAATGTTCATGGAGAAATGCATGAACGAACTCGGCCTCCCGCACTCATTCACCTGCATCGACCGCGGCCCAAAGGGCTCAATGGAATCCGTCCTCCTACACCCCCAATTCGGCGGCGCCTCTCTAAACCCCCCCGGTCTCAGCCTCAACATCATACATCCCATTCATCAGCGACGCGGCCCGCGCAATCGGCCTCATAGACACAATCGCCGCAACATCCAATCCAAACTCCTCATCCCCATCCCCGCCTCCCGCCCCCCTGTCCTCAAACCCAATGGCCTCCCCCTCCACCCCCACAACAACCTTTATCGGCGAAAACGCCGCCTGGAAGGGCATCCGCGCTACACTAACGCGCGACTACGTCCCTTCAGCCTACAAGAACCGCGCCGCGATAATCCTCTCAGGAAGCGAGTCCGACGCCTCGGCCACGATCTTCGCCCTGCGCAGTCTCAGGCGTCGGGTCAATCTACACCGTTGGGTTCAAGGCGCATGGTCCACTAGCCGCAGGTCTGGAACCATTTACGTCGATCCAGTCGGTGAAACTGGTTGAGTCGCCCTTTGTTATCGTCTCTGCTCTCCCGCCCGAGAAATCGCTGCTTGTGCAGCCCTTGCTGCGCCATTATCGGTCTAATGGGCGCGCTTCGCCGATTAGTACGCGGGGAAAGGTTTATCTGGATCTTACCTCCGGTGCGAGAAAGGGTGATCCGCTTGCTGTGGCGAGGGCGGCGGGGTGGACGGCGTATGGGGCTGAGGATGTTACGGCTTGGACGACTGTTGAGACGTTGAGGTTACTTGTTGGTCAGAATGTGCCGTTTGATTTCGTCAGGATGGCGAGTGGGAGGTCTTTGTTTTAGGCTAGGTTAGGTTAGGTTAGCTTCGCCTTAGCCGGCTTGGTTTAGCTTCGGAGTGTGGCTTTGGGTTGGGTCGGGTCGGCGCGCAGTACTGCTCTTGTTTTGGTGCCAACTTTGTTTGCCACTTGACTTGAGCCTTGAGCTGAGCCCCCTTTTTTTTGATTTCTTCCGCCAATTACGTAGCATTGGGGGTTCCATTGTTGAGGCGATTTTGTACGTACCCTTCTTTCCCTATGTGTCCGTCTCTCTGTATATGTTTGGTTGCCCCCTGGGTGCGATGCGATTTGATCCGCTTGCAGTAGATATTGTTGCGGTGGCGTTTGGTGCACTTGGTATTGGAATTGAATTAAACTGAACCTATAACACTACAGCCAGTCTTAATATCCTGATCTAATAACCCATGTAAATAATCCATGGAATCCTAGTTGTTCCCCATAGAATTTCCCCGCGCTGCCCTGATAAGCTTATCGACCCTAAATCCGGGGTGACTCGCATACCCGAGGGCCATGTGGCATACACTGGCATGGCATACTGGAAACCCTAGTAGGAACTTGAACCTTCCACTCACCCCTCACTTCACTTTGTACTTCGCTTGGAAATCTACCAATGATCAAAACTCCCCTCCAGCAAGTCCGAAACCTAAACCGAAACCTACACAGAGCGCTCGCCCCCAGCACAGCAAGCATGCATCTGCGCGCCGAACACGCCGTCAGAGACCTGCCCACCCTACACACTTTTATTCGCTCCCACCCACTCGGCGTCCTAACCACCTCACTGCCGTCGGAAAACTTTCCCACGCTGCAGTGTAGTCATATTCCGTGGGTATTAGATGGTGTGAACGCCGGCGCGGGCGCGGGGTTAGATGGGACGGGGACAGGGGATGAGGGGCCCTCGGCTAGAAATTTACCCGGGCTCAGCGATGAAACCAACAAGCAATGCACAAGCAAAGCCTCAAGCGGAAGGGACCTTGGCACATTGCGCGGCCACATTGCCCGCGCGAATCCGCACACAAAGGCTTTGATCGAGGCTGTGACGGAGGCGGGGGATGCGGGGGATGTGACCGGTCCTAATTCGGTTGTGAAGCAGGAGGAGGAGGGTGATCGACAGGGTCAGAGTCAGAGTCAGGGTCAGGGTCAGGGTCAGGGTCAGGTACTTCCTGGCGAGGTGCTGATTGTATTTACCAGTCCGGTGGACCACTATATCACGCCGCAGTTCTACGCGGGGTCGGTGGGGAGTGGAAAAGTTGCGCCGACGTGGAATTATGCCGCTGTGCAGGTTTATGGGCGGATGGTTGTTTACCATTCTGTGAAGGAGGAGGCGACGGGGGGAGTTTCTTTCTCGGCAGTTGGGGGATTTAGCGAGGGTTGGGGAGGTGGGGATTATGGGGTATGGCAATGCTAGTGTTGGTGCTGGTGCTGGGGGTGATGAATTAGGGCAGGGGCGATCTCCGTGGAGGATTGCTGATGCGCCGGTGGAGTATATTTCGATGCTGAAGAAGGGGATCGTGGGGATGGAGGTGCAGATCACGCGGGTGGAAGGGAGGTTTAAGGGGAGTCAGGAGAAAGGCGTTGCGGATCGAGAAGGTGTTATTGGTGGGTTGGAGGGGATGGGAGGTTCGAGGGCGAGGGAGATGGCTGGGTTTGTGAGGGATATGTCTGTATCCAGGGGGTAGATACTCGTAGTACCTGCCTAGGTACTAGTAGGATAAGTAGAAGTTCTAGTCCTTCTAGCTTGGAAGGATAGTTGAGTGGCAGATATAGAGTGAGTCTAGATGAGGCTATTCACAGTATTGGGAGAGCCTATACGAGGACTTGGGGCTATACGAGTACTCGTAGGTATACGTACCCTATGGACTATTGAATCCGTCTCCAAAAGAGTATAGTGTTAATTTATAACTATAGTAAAGTATAGTAAGGGTTCATACGAATGGGGAATGCCCGCCGGCGCTTAGCTGTTCCTTTCATCTTGTATGTTTCAGGTGAAGGGTCGATGGGTGTGTGAGTGGGGATATCCAGTGACAGCTGCAGGTATCTGCAGGAAATGTCAGAGCATGTGATGATGGTACTAGGTACTAATTACCAAAGGCTAGTAACAATTAAGTCAAGTAGTGCTAAATGTTAGGTGCTGATGCTAAGGCTCGGGGATGATGACAAGGATGGCCCAGTTGCCGAGACATTCAGGCTAGTCCGCAGTTCGGCAAGAAAGCCCTAGAGCAAGGCCATTATGTTATATAATTATCATAATAATTACGCCTTACATAGGTACCCAGACTAAACCAGACTAATCTAAACTAGTAATAGTACAGACTAAACTAGCTAGTAGACTAGGGTACCCTAGTATACTTTGCCCCCAGAACAACCAAACTCCGGTGGGCTCGCGGCTTCTCCGCATTTCGCCTCCACCTTTTTATTTCCCTATTCCTATTCCCTCATTCAACCTTTCCCTCACCATCATGTCTCGTCCACAGGTCAGCATAGACCGGTTGACACCGCGTCGCGCAACCGTTGAACCACGCGAGGCTATGAACTGCAAATCCTGTCGCAAAAGAAAAGTCAGTATCGCCAGCCCGAACTCACCTCAGACCACACGTAATGCCGATGCCGGCACGGCAATGCTAACCTGGCAATCCAATGCGAATGCCAATGCGAATACCCATGCTAATGCGATTCCAGATCAAATGTAATCGTCTGCGCCCGAGCTGTGAAGCCTGCAAGGTCTTCCAATGTCCCTGCGTCTATGGTGAGTGGATGAGCCCACCCACAGCTGTCTCGGCCCTGTCATGCCGATCACCTCTGACACATCTCGTCCTGTCTCTTCTAGATGCCATCCCAAAGAAACGTGGCCCCAAAACCGATGTCCTCGAGGCCCTTCTCAAACGCGTTGATGGTCTTGAAAAAAGACTCCAAGATGAGAAAAACCCCATCTCGCCCACTTCGCCCGATCCCACAGATGATCTCCCCCTCGGCAACCAATCCCGACGCAACACCATAGATGCCTCGTTTCATCCATACCCCTCAAACGATCGCCGACCATCTCTAGCTACATCTCTCTCTCAACCAGCCGAGTCTTTCCCCCGCGCGACCGACCAGGCCCTATCCCCGGCCCTCTCGCAGCCACAATCGTCGCATTCACAGTCGCAAACACAGCCCCACCATGTTATCTTGTCGGATGTCCTGCTTGATGCATATTTTGGGCGCTTACATGGCAAACCCTTTTTTGTCTTAGACGAAACGAATATCCGACAGATGTATCAACTGAAACAGCTATCCGCGCCTTTGTCTATGGCGATATCGGCCATGACTACGAGGTGGGCTTTTTGCCGCCTTTAAAGCACTCAATTTGCTAATTCGAACCCCACAGATATCTTCATACGGTTGGTCAGCCAGATCAGTCTTTGCGCATTGGTCTAGATACTGCCCTGCAGGCGCGTCGAATGATTGATGTCGACAACCCTACGGTCGAGGGGCTGCAGACTCTTTTGCTGCTTTCGCAGGCGTTTTTCGCTTACGGACTAGGGAAAAAGGCGTATATGACATTCTGTACGTTCTAGGCTATCCTGTGATTGCATTCTACATCTAACAGGATTAGCAAATTGTGCTGCTATGGTGGTTGCATTGGATCTCCTTCGCGAGGCACCGTCCAAAAGCAATCTAGCACCCCCCGAGAGAGAAATGAGGCGGCGACTCTTCTGGTCTGTTTATCTCATGGATCGCTTCATTACCTGCGGATCCCCTCGCCCTTGTCTCATTGCCGACCACTCCATTGTACTGCGTTTACCCGTTTGGTCCTCGCATACCCCCGGTCTCACAGTCGAAGGGGAGCTGTTCCACGTCGGCCCCAACATACAATACTCCGCTGATTCCCGGCGCAAATCACCTAGCGCCGCCTCTCTTTTGATTGATATTACTCGTATTTTAGGTGTCACGAACCGCTACTTGGCAGCGGGTGGCGTCAAGGGCGATTCGCATTTCCCTTGGCACGCATTATCGAATCTGTCCAAAATTCGACAAGAGCTGGACATCTGGGCCGCCGGGACGCAGGACGTCTTTTCCTCAATCGAAGCTCTATTCGGCCATCCAGAGAGCACTACTCTGCTCTTAAGCAAATTAATCTATCATCTCGTCCACTGCCTAATATATCGCCCTTTCCTGCCAATTGACTTGGTAGAGCTCCGCGGAACGGGTCAACATCAGTCCTGGCAGATCGAAGCCACCAATCTCTGCTTCTCGCATTCCAATGCAATCGCAGAGCTGGTAGAGCTAGGTCGCAACTCCCCCTTGATCGAGTGGCCTGCCTTTGTTGGATACTGCGTGTGCACAGCCGGTACTGTGCACGTCCACGGCGTACACTACAAGGGCCAGGAAGGCGAGGTCTTCTCCTCTAGTGCAGAGTTTCTCACTCGTGAGATGCACCAACTGGCATGGTTACGTAGTTCATGGGCCGGTGTCCAACACCAACGAGAGCTTCTCCAAGCAATTTACACCTGTCACTCAGAGCTGGTCCGTAATCTGGCTACCAGCCCGATGCGCTTCTCCCCGGTTTTCCACCTAGAGGACTTCCTCGACCGATACCCGGGCCTGGGCGTGGACGGCGCCCATGTCAGATTAATAGATACAGGCGACGAGCTCGTCTCATTGTAAGGGCCCTCCCCCTTCCACAACACAAAAAAAAAATAGAACACCCACCCATTAACATCCACACAGCCCAAATACCTTCGGACAAGAATACTACCAACGACCAATGGCACCACCCTCAGGCTTCAACTCCAACCCATTTTACCAACCACGCCCACCGACTCTAAAAACTCAAACCCAAACCCCGGATTCAACACACCCCTCCGCAAAAGACCTCTCCCCAGGCCTCCAATTCCACCCCTCCCCCTCCCTCCAATCCCTCTTCCCTGTCTCCCTAAACTCAGACCCCACACAACAATCGTCAGAACACCTCTCCCTACCAACCTCCTTCTCCCCCTCAGCCTTCGGCCTCTCCCCACCAGCCTTCAACCTCGCAGAGGGCTTCATAGCCCCCACGCCCCCCCTCAAACCCGCAGTACGCGACCTTCCCCTTCGACGCGGCGAATACGTCCGGTGGAGGTGCAGCCGCGACGCCGGGTGCGCAGAGCCAGACCTCCGGATCGCATACGGCGGGAAGTGAGACCGGTCCCGTTGAGAAGGATCCGTTTCTGAGCCTGTTGGAGCAACTTGCCGAGAATGAGAATTCGCAGGGAGGGCCGAGCGAGCTTGATTTCTTCTTGGGGGTTGATGAGGGAGAGAAGGAGGAGTTGTAGTCTTCACTGCGGGGATGTGGATTGGTGGTGCTGGATGTACAGATGTATTGTTATTTTACTTGGTTATGGTTGGGGACTCGGCGGTTGGTGGAACTTGTATATATGATTGGTGCTACTTGGAATTTAGCTTGGATTGTGTGCATGGATTGGACTGGATTATCGTCTTGTTGGCAGTTGATAATTGATACCATTTGATTTGGATGATATCTGTACGAGTTTATAGCGGAATCAACCTCGAAGCGAAAACAAAACTTCTACTTCACGACTCCGAGTCTCTGTCTGAATGTATGCAACAAACCTTAGGAGGACCGTTCGTAATTAGTGCACTGCCCCCCTATGTAGTGGAGACACAACTTCACAAGGTACATTTTCAAGTACAAATTTAGAAACTCCGTGTAATATACAGCAATGAGCTTGCTAGTTCCTTTTAAGACAAGATTTGCGAGAGAAAAAAAGCAAGCTTGCGTACATTACATGAGTAGATGGACGGCTACTAGCAACTTTCGACACCGAATCTTGGTAATGCAGCATACAAACAGGTGCGTTAAAAGCTAAAGATAAAGTTTCCTACAGATTCAACGCTGCTTATGGTAGTACAATGCCGACCTTAGGGACGGGTTGGTGTCCACCTGAGAACCTGGGCAGGTCCCTTTGTTTGGTACTGACGACCATGCGCGTTCTTTTCTTCGAGAGCTTCCACGATAGCCAAACTCACCGATTTCCTTTACTTGCTTCAAACTTTTCGCAATTAGTTAAAAATAGGCATCGAAGTTTCTTTTCTACTTCGCCGCAAGATGCTGTCGGCCAACTCATCTCACGATCGTAAGATGGTGCCCAAGACATCGGTCAACACCCTGCGCAAAATGGCAAGCATTTCGCCAGCTGCGACAGATGCATTGGACAAGGTGATTGATGCTATGTTATCTACAACAACTACCGCACTTGGGCTTTTAGACTCGACTTACTATCTGGGTGAAAAAATTACCATAGACGAGATAATACCTCATATTTGTATTGCCACCCTCTATAGACAAAATTCCACTAATGCTACGTCATTTCAGGGCTGACAGCGTGCCCCAGCGCGTGTGCCCTGAAACGGACGAAGTGAGAGGTTTACTACTGCGCGCAGGGAAGACCCTTGTAGTCAAAAACTTAATTTTATGCTTGGTGCCAGGCAGATTATAGCTTCTAAATCGCTAGTCTGATCCGCTAGTCACCTCTGATTCGCTCCTTTCTAATGTTTTCTTATTCCACGCTGGATTAGCGTTGGCGGCTTTGATCTTCATTTAATGGCTCTATCTTCTATAACCCTAACAGCTCATTGCCTATCCCTAGTGTCTGTGCTTCATACTTGCTGCTTATTTGTTATACCCTGGCAGTCATTGCTTGCATACTTTGCCTATGCACTCTTTGAAATTACTCATTGGCCTGCCGTCTGCCACTCATTTGCCTTGTCGATATTGGATGTATATATGGGGAACGGGCTCAGGCCGCAAAGCGTCGAACCCCTCTTTTGTGAGGATGGAGCAAAAATCGGCCTTTGATTTTCGTCGTTTGTTAAACTCAGAGTACAGGTTCACATTTAGTTTCCCGCAGAAACACCCGCGTCTAGCCATGAAAAAGAGAGAGTGCAAGTCTTTGTCTTTATCGATATGGAGAGCCGTACCCTTGCGAGCTCAGCCCTTCACCGACAAAAAAAGCTACGGCTACAAGCGGCCTGACCATATACCCTTATAGAAGGGTAGCCAATATAGAATGCTTTTTAGATCAGACCTATCTGTGATTGGGGGTGGTTAGCTAGTTACAACATAGGCTTATTCAGCGCTCCCCGAAAACTCTCCTTAGAAATGCCAACAAATCAAACAAGAGCTACCGCAGTGGATCTCAGGCATTTGGCTAGCTGGAGGGAGTGACGTGGAATGTTATATTTGCTGTTATGCGGCTGAATTCTAAACCATTATTTGCTTTATTATTGCTAATATGTGTTGACTTTCATGCACCAAGCTAATATGGGTAGGTTCAAATTTGAAAACAGTCGTTTCCTCAACCTACTAGCTCCACTAGTCGGAAAGGTTTCCTGGCCATCGTACCTACTAGGCAACCAGAGGCAATACCTTAGTCCTGGGCAAGGAAGATCATCATTGGTGTAATGTAAATATTCTAACATCCCCATACAGGTCATTGCAGCTAGCTAGTAGATATTTGCATAGCTTCTACATTGCTACAACGTTGCTCCAGCCTTTTTCTTAGCCTATATGAAATATTATCCAATCATTTATAGCATTAATTTCTTATAAAAGCAATATATATGTTGTGTTACAGCACATGCGAGGCTGTCAGATTCCAGTTATGTCACAAATTATCCCTCTACAATGCGCAAAGATAGATACATAGAAAGAATATTGGGTATAAAACCCCTCAATCAACACTTCCCTCTGCCCCTCCTAGGTAGATAACTCTTAACAATACACTCACATATTACCATTAAACTCAGCGAAGAAGAAATTATCTTCGAAATCTGCCCACAATGACTAAGTCGAACTCCCTCAAAGTCCTGCTCCTTCCCTTCCCTTCCTTCGACACACTAGACCTCTACGCCCCTATCGAAGTCCTCGGCAAAGGAGCCGCAACGGGCGGCCTTGATATCACCTTTGAGATAGCTGCAATCGAACACTGCACGCTATCAGCGGAGAAAGTCCCCGTCTACTCAACTCAAACCATTAGCGATGCTCTGAAAAAAATCCACGAATACGAGATTGTCATTCAGCCCGGGGGTGGGATCCAAGATATCGAGAAGTATTTGGGGGACTTGCGGACGAATGGCCCGCACCTTGAGTTGTTGAAGTGTTTTTCCGAGTTGAAGACTCCGTCGCCGCGGGGTTGCAATCGTTTCCTGATGTCGATTTGTACCGGGGCGTTGATTATAGGATTCTCGGGCGCATTTAGTCATCTCACTGTTACAACGCATTATGAGGGGCTGGATAAACTAATCCGTTATTGCGAATTGAGAGGAGAGGGCACAACAGTCGTGCCTGATATCAGGCAGAAGTCGGATAATCAGGGGTGCTCTGTTAACAAGAAGGTGTCGGATATCGAGCAGTCGGCATGGGATGGGTATAAGGCTGCGCAGAAACAGAATAAACGCTGGGTTGACGCGGGATGCAATAAATCTGGCGTTAGAGTGATTAGTTCGGGGGGGGGATTAGTTGTGGGATTGATGCGTCATTGTTTCTCATTAGTGAATTAGAGAAGTGGGAGACGAATGGTCAATGTGTGAAGTTGGGGATTGAGCAGGCGCAGTTGGGAGCCAGGATTATGGAGTACGCTTGGCGGTGGGCCTGAATTATATATACTCTGTCCAGGAAGACTAATGACGAACTTAGTGGTTAAATAGTTTTCACTAGGACCCTTTCGGATTGGATTATTTATCGTTCACCCAATTGCCTCTAGTAATTATTTGTGTGGGACTGGAAGTATGGTGTCATAACATGCGATCGTTCAATTATATAAAAGCCTTTGATCGCTCATTCGATCATTGAGCTCTATTGGAAATGTTTAGTACTAACCAGTACCTCAATTCCTCAATATGACAATATCGGATACAACCTCCACTGTTTTATATTCTAGGAGAACGCAAATCCCGATCTGCCTCGCCTTTTGTCTCACCGATCACAAAGTGCAAGGCTCGACCCTCTCTGCCGCGATTTGAGACCTAAAGAACGACACGGCTCGACGAGGTCAAGACTCCAATCGAAAATAATGCTCACTATACGTGCAGCTTTCCAGACTGCGATGTTTCCAGGGTCTCTATTTACTCAAAAAGATTACTCTTAATTACCTCCGCTTTTCTCCCGATCCTGGTCTCATTATGGAAATGGAAATGGAAAGGTCACATGGGTTAGAAGCCGAAAACCTTGCAACTTGGGCTTCACTAATCTGACTAGGCCTCTTCTAATTCACATCGCTAGTGTGTATACTTTCCACGTCCTTAACATCAAACGCTACTTTTACCACTTTCGCAAGTTTGTGACTTGGCTAATTCTAGTACTATTTTCGGTAGTACCAGGCGAAAGACAATGAATGACTGAAAACCATAAGATCATGAAAAGGCGGTATAGAAACCTAAAATTGAATACTGGAAGACAACATCAATTCGGATCGTGATAATCAGGTGGATCAATGGGTAGGCCGGGAGACCGGGTGACTGGACGAGACATCTCCAAATGTCGTTTCTTTCTTTCTTCTGGATGTTCTTCCAAGTCCCCTATTGTTCTTTTTTGCCTGTATATAATTGACGGTAGATGCTGGGACTGATAGTCAAAGACACTATAAGACTCTTGAGAGTCTTTGTTCCAGACCATACGTACCCACTCAGAAGATCCATCATCGTCGATAGGTGGAAGGAAGGAGATATTTGTCTGATCTCCCTGGCTCAAGCGAGGAATGTGACCAACTAGCATTGAACCAGCGACCAGAGCTCCATTTCTTGTGACATCTATTTCTGTCCTGGCGTGCATTGATCTGTTGGAGCTGAAAGATGGAGCGAGCTCCCCGGGCATGTACAGATCTAACGCTGTAGTATCTCCGGTCAAGAAGACCTTGTTCTGTTTCCGTAGGTGGACACTGGCAGGTGCTATTTCTCTATCACCCTTGGGCAGATCAGAAAACGTCCCAGGTGCCGCAGCACTTGGAATTCTTTGTCCAGATAAAGAGGCGTGATAAATATAGGCACCATTATTCTCGAAATGCAATTCGGCGACAGCATTTGGGAGCATACGAAGCCGTGTCGGCCGTCCTGAGTCGCGGTCAGTAAGTGGATATTCATTTTCTGCAGAGCGAGAAAGAGATAGTAGCTGACCTTCATTGAATCGCCACACTGCAATTGATCGCCATTCAGAGTACACCATCAAAGGAAGTGCCGGGTGAAAGGCAAAGAGAGGCTTTGACCTGATCTGCTAAGACGAAAGTCCACTAGTCCGAATTTGCCCCTTGTATACAAACTTTGGCCAGTCCTCAATTGCAGCAACATTGCTCCATACTTTGACCATTTGCGAGGGCATAGTATTTGACCGAGATTTTTCAAAACTCAGTGCAAAAGCCGAACCAGTAGGGGCGAAGGTGCAATTGAAGCTGTCTTGCTCTTTCCCTTCGTTGAAGATACTACCTGAATCCCCGTGGTTCAGACTTTGAAGCCTACACTGCATGTTTGGAACGCCGGATTGGACCGATGGAACCTTTCGGATCGCCAGGATGGACTGCAGGATGACGACATGGCGTAGATCATCACTAAAGAATACGGATATCGAGAGTCTGTGAGGTGTACCGCTAGCCAGGCATTGACATAGCATATGAGCGATTTGCTGTTCCGGAATTTCCTCATCGTAGTCCATTAAAAGACTTTCATCGTTGGCGTTTCTTATCTGTAATCGAGCTCTCCATCCTGAACTGCAGAGCCTAGTAATTTTTTCCCTTTCTGATAGAGGAACCAGCCCGTGATCCGACTGGCGGGTTTGATTTCCAAGAGCTGATAATGCGTCAAGCGCAATGAGATAACTCCTGTGATATTCATCAGCATTAAACAACGACGGAAGAAATACGTCAAGTTTACCTTGAAGGCACTATCATGGCTACTCCAATTGTCTCGCCTGTTGAGGATAGTTGGGATTTGAGCAGAATTGGTCGGTTGAAATCCCCACTCCTGTATGTGCCTGCTGCTTCCGAAGGTAACATAGATGAAACGGTGGTGTCCTTGGTCTGATACCAAAAGGAGGATTTTGAGAATGCAGTGATACTAGATCCCCAAATAGCCTTCGGATCGATCGCTAAAAGATGAGACCAATCCATATTGAGCTTCTCGAGTTGAACAGCGAATTCGTGAAGCATAGTAACGGTAATGTTTCCAGTATGAATCCATGAATCATGTATAGTGTCCCCGCTCGTACAAATATTGACCAGGTCAGTGAGACAAGGTTTGATTAGAAGTAACCATGAGCTTTCGATCCAGACAGTCACTGAAAGTGGTTTGCTCAGGAACCTCATCAGCATATCGTAAAGTATGCTCTGCACATCAGTCTCTGCGTCCTTGCGAGGTCTCAGATCTGAATTGCCAAGCCCCTTCGAGGCATGAACTGGCCAGTGAATTGAATAACCGAGAAGGGGGAAATGAGAAGAAAATAGGGTCCCGATCTGCCCTGGTATAGAAGATACAAAAGGGGATACAGAGCTTGAGGGAAGATCATACATAATGTAGGAGAGGCAGATAGTTGCGCAAGTGATGTTGGCCCGTCGCTCATTGACCGCGAAGATTGTTTTACCCCGTGCGTTTTGGTGAGTGAGGAAGTCGCGAAAGGAGGAGTGTACAAATTGCACAGTCCTATCCCTCTGCACTTCAACTAAACTTGAACAAAGGATTGGAAGAGACTCTTCAAATTCGACAATTAGATTCGATGCTTCTGTGATTTTCCCTGGTGTGACAGCCACAGAAAACTCCAGCTCTGATATATGGATAGGTCGGATGGAGACTGAGAGTATCTCGAAAATCTTGTGAACCTGATCTTTCTCTCTATCATAACCACGTGAAAGAACGCGAAGAATTTTTTCATAGACATCATCCAGTCCTTCAACAAGGCTAGGAGTGAAGATAGCATCTGATCGTTCTTTCGGGGATAGAGCACGGCAATTGAGGTATTGCGTCATGAGCCACGCCCAAAGAAACATCCCCTCGGCGCGCTCGCTGATTATATTGACCAGCTGATTCAAATCAAGATCGAGGGAAAGTAAACGCCGATCAGAAAGAGATTCGAGATGAGGGCGAACGAAAGTTTTGATATCTGCGAGATTCCATCTCTTATCGAGATGTAGGGGGAAATGAGGGAATCGGGTTGGTAGTTCAACACTCGGCCTGCATAGAAGAACTGTTTTCAGACGCGTCGAGCTGCTAATGGAGCACAGAATCTCGAGAAAATGTCTTGCATTTTCGCATTCATCAACTCCATCAAAAACCATGGAGACTTGCGGTGCTGTCTCTAGAAGGAGTTCCACGGCTGCTAAGACCTCCTCATCCGACGATGTTATCTGTCCACAGCTCTCATTGCTCGTCAATACCGCAATCTGGTCAACAACCTTCTTATTCGATCCAAAAGAGTGAATGAGCTGCACAAGTATGGCTCGCATGGCAGCATATGGACTAACTGAATTTCTTTTCTCAGAAGAAAAGTGATAGAATAAGACAGGGCGAAGTGAGGACTGAAGATCCTCGATAATCAAGGACGAAACAACAGTTTTCCCAAATCCGGGCTTGCCTAACCTCTCAATTAGTATCTTTGAAATAGTTAGAGCTCTCTCTGTAGGATGTTAACCTTTGATAACTAGCATTTGAGGCAAAGCAGGCAGGCCCATCGGTGAATCCAAATCAGCGGTCTCAACATTGCTTCCTTTCAATTTTCGATAGAGAGAACTTTCCAAAAGATAATCACCCGTGTCAGGAAGTCGGATTCGGCGAGCCTTTTCATATTCCCGCATGTACTCTGGAGCGTTGATCCATCGCTTTATCCCGGCGACTCTGGTCTCTTGATGATGTTCAGCTATAGCTTGGCAGCAACATGAAGCATATATGTACCCAAGGTCCGCCTTTCCTGCAGTTCGTCCATTTTGTTCTGTCGAGCATTCGAACTCATGTCATGGAATACGCGCTCAATTGTCTCCAGTCGGTTCGAGAGCATCGAGTCCATATCAGTATTAGTTTTTTGCAACTCCTCCAGTTGCATCTTGATTTGTTCTAAAGCCAGGCCATTAAGATCGGACTGTTTCGCCCTCTTGTCATGTTGGAGTTCCGTCCATTTTGACTCCTCCAACTGCACCTCATTCTGGAAGACCTCCCGGTGGGATTGCAGGCGAGATAGCAGCGCAGAAAATCTCAAATCAAATGGTTTCCAGAATACATCTGCTATTATTGAAGGGGTATATCTTGAACCTGTAGATGGTCAATAAACCAGGTCAAACCATTAAATAAGATTGCGTACCTCCTCGTTTGCTCCCAAATATTCTACAAGCCTCCTGGCAGAATTGAATCAAATCAACATAGACAAATGACAGAGCTTTGTACAATCGGTGGTGACGAAGCTCCAGAGAAGGGGCGATTCCAGTCTCCTTCTCCAGGGATGATCGGCGCTTGACAAACAAGTCAAAGAACTCCTCATACGCGGGTAACACATCTCCAATTTGTTGAAGCATAGTTACTATCTTCTCAAGATGCATAGTGTAGTTCGTCCCGAGCTAGGCACAGAACATTGTTAGTGTTGTTCGAGGATTCAACTTATTATCATACCAAAAAGACAAGACGAATAGCCCCCCAAATGATACCGGCGAATTCAGGATGGGATGACACGAAGATGGATGTTATTTCGAAAAAAGGCTCCCATGCTGTAGCGAATTTCTCTATCTTTCGGCATAGCCTAGAAATCTTTGACTTGTTTTGCACATCCTTGCAGTTATCATAAAGGTTCTTGAGCATTTCACTTGAGGTTGAAAACTTCTTGAATATGGACTGCTCTTTCGGGCTGAGCGATCTCTGGAAGCTCTCCGCGGCATCACTGAATACGCGCGACAATTCGGCCCTACTCGGATATAGATTAATAGGGATCTCGGGACGCTACCGCCCGGCGACAGTGAGAGTATGGAACATACGAGGTCGCTAATGACATATTTCCGATCGCATCTCAGCGAGAGAAGGGCCTTCAATAACAAACCTAATGGACGTGTATTCAAAGGAAAGAAAAAGCGATAATAAAACAAAACTTTTCTGGAGTTGAATAGCTGATGAAATCAATAAATATGGATAGGGGAGAAGAAAGAAAGCGAAAGCCCGGCGCTTCAATACAATAAGGGACAGGTCACCATCGGCACCCAACTAATCAATGACAACACCGGCGGTAAACACGGGTGCATTTCGCCAGGTTGTGTGACAGGGAGCGGACCTATGATAATCCCCGCTACTTGGTGGCTTACATGGCTTCAGTAGGCTGAGCCACGATTTCGCGGGGCCATGAATCGCCTACTACACAGCCACCCTTGGGGGGCACCCAAGGAGATCGGGCTCACAGCCTCGATTGCCACCCAACGCAAGGGCCTTGCCTGTAATCTCTGTTTTATGAGACTTTGTACACTGCATGCCTACTGGTAGGCATTTCCCATACTATGAGAAAATAATCTAATAGACTTTCATGTTAGAATCATATCCACATTCAACATTTAAAAGAATTACACGAAGTCTCTTTGAAAATAATTCCTTTGTACACTGGTATCTAGAACATCCCATCTGCCTGAATCGACAGCACGAGATGTTTCATCATGAGGATCCACCCAGGTTTTCGCTGAGAAAAACTAGGTCATCACTATCCTGCCAATTCACATTCAATTGCATCGAGTCCCATATCGAGAAGTCGAGATCAAAATGTGGCTCCACCTCCGGCGCGACAATTGTCGTCGCGACTTCGCCTTCGGCTTGTGCAGCCGCATGTCGTAGATTTGCCTTAATCATGCCCCTAGCCGCAACATCTGCGATAAAGTTATTTGCCATAAAGGAGCATGCTTTGCCCAAGAACGGCGTGTCCTTGTCCCAGTCTTCGTAGTCAACCATGTTCTCGATGATTCTGCAGACTCGCATGCATTGATTTCGGCGGTCATTAGCTGTTTGAGAGATATCCCTCATGAGGGTGAAGGCCTGCCTTATGGTGTTTCTGATAGCCGTTTCATCAATTATCTGAATGGGTGCTGTTCCAATGATGCGTAAGAGTAAGAAGACTGCGTAGCTTGCAGCGCGAAATACATGGAATGTCCCCTTTCTCAGTGTGTCGGGGAACGTTGTCAGCACTGTTAGAAGCTGCTTCGCCGTGATGCAGCTCTGTGTGATAATTTCATTCTCTGGGTGGATGTTTTTCAAGGGTTCGGCCTTTTTTTGGTCGAGAACGTAAGAATATAGGCTAAGCCGCGCATCGAGAAACGCCACTTCATCAGCAGGAGTCCATTCTGACGCATATTTTTCTTGTATCATGGAAAGCTCGGATTCAAACATCCGCACGAACGGAAGCGGGTCTGCTGTGAGTCCGGTGGTCGAAGTCTCACATTCACCCAGGGCTGCTGAAATTTTGGTGGCGACAATAGCAATGTGTAGGTGAATCCTCATAGTCGCCGGTATCCCAGGCATAGGGAGATTCACGGCATGAAGAATTGGGTGGTTGATCCTGATGGAGCCCGGAACTCCGAATCTTGCGGTATGCCTATAGATTAATTAGCGGGCGCAAGAAAAATCGAGTGGCAGTTTTACCATTGATCTACCAGAAAGCAGGATAACCAGGTTATTCTCCTAGTTTCTAGGGTTCCGATCTCTGATGCTTTCGCAGCAAATAAAAGGTAAGGATATTCCGGACGATGCAAACCAAGAGATCGTGCCATGGAAATCGCAACTGCAGAGTACATTGAAAATGGCTCCTTGTTCATGTCTTCATGGGGAAAGGTCCAAGCACAAAGGAGAAGTAAAGCTTGAACAAGGTAGATGGACTTGGTACCAATGAGAATGATATCTGCTACCAATTGCCTCGAAAGAATCTGCAACCGAGTGTAATCAGATGCATACTTCTCGGAATCCTTGCTTGAAATGGCTAAGACGACCCAGAACAACAACGGTGCTTTCTCGTAGCTATCAAGTATAGCGGTAGTGTCGAACAATAGCGGGAATCTTGGATGTAGGTGGGAATAGTACCTAATAATCTGTGAGCGCGTGGAGAAACAACCGCAATGATCAGCCGTACTCCTCTAACAGTTCTGCCACAACACTGGATGTGAGGTGAACGCCGGTAGCTTCATGACTAAACCGAGCAGATCTCTTCTTGCCGACTCGTAATTCGGCGGTAATACTGACAATAGAGGCATTCAAGCCAGATAAAGGTGCCTCCGGTCTCGGGGAGAGATCAGTTGTCCTAGTACCTGATCCCAAGGATTGCGGTGTCCCGTATGCAAGTTGACTCCCCGCATTTGCATGGCGGGATCTTATACTATGTTCAATTGGGGTTAATATTCGGAACAGAAAGTAAAAAAGACACTGGACGATGTTTACCTTCTCTTGTGGGTCCTTTTGAATGTAGGGTCAATAGAACACCGCTCATCTGCTTTGGAGCAAGCCGAGCAAGATGCAGGGAATCTTTGACTGGCATTACATTTTACCTAGAGACAGGGTTAACTTTCACCGCGCCGGCCATAAATTCAATACCAAAGCCCATAGATCTTTCTGGTTTTTACCTTCATCTGGCGACATCGCACACAAGGCACGCCAGCCCGGCGCGGCTTGATTCGAGAGATCGAATTTCCATGCGACCGAGCCGACGTGGATTGAAGAGTCTCCATTCAGATAAACGAAAAATCAATGTCCGAAATCAACTCGTTGCTCATCCACTAAAGAAAGATCCAGCAGTCCATCATTCAGCGAGTGGATGTTCATTGAAACATTGACAACAATATTGATGCCTGCCTTTCCCTCGAGATGACGTGGTTGGGAACCGGGTAAGCATCTTATCCGGCGAAAATCGCCGGATGTAGCGTGATATCGCTGACACTTTTGATTCGCTAATCGAATCAGGCCCCCCAGTCTTGTCTTGGCCAGTGCCAGTATATCTGTTGCCAAGGGTCATCTTGTAAAATCTGGTTGTCGATAGCTGTTGAAACATTGCAGGTTTTCGCTGGGTACTGCTTAGAAATTGCGCGACAAAAGAAAGACTGTTGCCTATAGAATGATGGACTTTCGTGTGGGTGGAGCTCAAGGAAAGCGCCGCGTTTCGCCTGATCACCGGCCTCCGGATCACTGCAAATCAGCGCCGATGAGACTTTTGTGTTAAATCAGTTTTCTTTTCTTTCTTGTTCGTATATTAGATGGTGAAGTACTTGAAATCCGGCACTTTTCACTTGGTTTTTCAATTTCTTGGATTTTTCCGGGCTGCCCACAGAGCCAACTCGGGCTCTCTTAAGTAGACAAACGCCCATACAATGAAGCTATTAACTCAAGTTGCATACGAAACGCTCCTCTTCGCTTCTTTTGCGATAGCGCACGATAATGATAGATCAATGGATATGACGACGACAATGAGCAGAGATATGCACTCTACGTTCAGTATCGCAGCTCCAACAGCTTCCGTGTCACTAAGCAGGCAAGACGAAGAACCAGCCAGCTACTTTTCCCATGGTGAACATTCGACCACCATCCTGGCGCATATTGCACTCATGACACTAGGGTGGTGTTTCATTCTTCCTGTTGGTAAGCTACTTTCTATTTGTGTTAAACTTTTTAAAATCGCGACTAATCTCACTGCAGCTGTGATTTTAAGTACTGGTCGTTCGCGCCTTGCCCTGCCATTGCACTTCTTGTTCCTGGTCTTTAATGCCCTCGGTCTATTTTTCGGAATAATCTATAATAGCCAGACCCCCGATCTGTACGCCAATAACGCCCACCACAAAATCGGCTGGATTGTGTCATGTGTCATGACTGCGCAGATTGTCCTAGCGTTGATATTTGTGTATGATGGTCGTGGCGATTCCAAGCAGTCGCAATTGAGATCGTTTGATCGTGCTGCATTTCTCCCTGTCGCTACAGATGAGCAAGAATACCACACATCCGGTGAAAATGACCAGGGATTTGAGTCGAGTTCATCGATTAGCGGCCCTTCATTGCCAGACTACGAATCACAAGTCGAGTATGACGGGTTCAAAATGCCTAAAGATCTTCACTCACTACGTGGCTGGATCTACATTTCTACTGTCAATCTGGTTAACCTCCTAAAGCGCATGCCTGGCACAGGCTCAAGGCGCCTTTTGCACTTTTTCAACGACCTATACGACCTAATCGATAGGATCATCCTGCCTTTCGGTTTTATTGCTATTGTCACTGGGGCTGTTACTTACGGAGGCATATTCAAAGGCGATGAGATATTCAACGGTCTAGCGCACTTTATAAAAGGCGGCATATTTTTCTGGTACGGTGTTCTTACTCTGGGACGCTTCATCGGTGCTTGGGCGGATCTAGGGTGGGCTTGGAATAGGAAACCCCCAGCAAATGTCGTCGGCTGGAAAGCCAAAGTCCCATCAGGCGAGTTCGTGGAATCATTTGTTATATGGCTGTATGGTGTGAGCAACGTCTTCTTGGAGCACCTGGCAGGCTGGGGGAAAGCGTGGACTGCGTCTGATATGCAGCACGTCTCAATTTCTATTATGTTTTTCGGTGGTGGTCTTGTCGGCATGCTTTTTGAATCCCAGCGTATTCGGGACACGTTAAACAGCACCCTGCTACGTTTACGATCACGATCCCTTTCTTCCGAATCTGATGATGAGTTTTGGCAGCCTCCTAAATCACAGGTTGTTTCCCTTAACCCAATGCCAGCCCTTATCATTATGCTACTTGGTATTATGATGGGATCCCACCACCAGGACAGCATGACTTCAACTATGGTACATAAGCAGTGGGGTAATATGCTAGTGGGATTTGCAATTGCTCGCGGCATAACGTATGTCCTGTTATTCATGCGCCCGCCGAATTCGTACCTACCGACTCGCCCCCCAACTGAGATCGTGGCGGCATTTTGCCTCATATCCGGAGGACTCATATTCATGCTTAGTGTAAGTAATTATTCAAAATCCATGAGTTCAGCCTCACTAACGTTGAAAAGACTCGCCAAGTTATTGAAGCCATGGAGTTTTATGAGCTGGACGCAATGTTTACCTTCACCGTGGGGATGGGCTTCACAGCCTTCATTATGTCGCTGGTGGTTCTCAACATTGCAATAAAGACATGGGCCTTGAAGCGTGAATGTTCAGAAAACCAGCGGCTGTCCTAGAAACACTAGCAATACAAACTTTACGGGATTTTTGAAAGACATATTGGGGTCATTGGGATATAAAATATGAGACTGGGTTGTATGTAAAAATGAGATACAGACAGGAAGCAGAAAAACCAATGGCCCAACTTGATTTAGACACAAAACAAAATGCTTTTTTTACGATGATCTAGCAAAGCTCAATGATTGTAAGAAGTTGTCTAGGCGATCACATGCATGGAGCTCGCCCGATAACGGAGCTATCTCAACATACTGTGTGGATGAAAGCCCATGGGTCTGTTGCAGGGCCATTTATATCAGTGCAAAATTCTCTGTAATCAGTTGAAGAATAGAATCCTACCTAGGTACTAGGCAAATTTCCTGTTCAAAACACCTAAGGCTCTAGGGCTGTTTATGTTTGGTGGTAAAGGCCGTCTTGATCACCTTGAAAAACACCAAGTCGCAGCCAGCCTTGTTCGTATGTGCGTGCGTGATATAGCTCCTTAAGATCTTTGAGATGTTCGTTCAGAAGATACAACGAGAATAATATCGTTATCACGACTATCAGAGCGATAAACATGCCATTATGCATGGTGAAGACGGAATTCCTAAACCAAGTCGCCGTTGCACACTACGACTGTGTGTGTTCTCCGCAGTGGGAACCCGAGTCTCTCAATGAAATGTAAAGTATCCTATCGATATGGTGATATGAAGATTGATTTGGCGACTAAATAGGCAGCAAGATAATGAATTAGAAGAAAGTAGTTGATATGGGTTCGGATGGGGCGGCAAATGACACGGAGTTACTGGTTATCCAGCGATCATCCAGCGAAAATGCGGCGCGATATGCCGCGAAAGTTCACGGAACATCCAGTAAGCAAATTTCTGTTAAAAGATCTGCTCTTTCAATCTGTTTTGATTATTAACATGCAATACTTTTCCCCCTTCTAGATTCATTCTTCTTCCATTTTCATTTCTCTTTTTCTTCCTCTCGACGTCAAGGTTGGGTTATAAATGGGTATACTTGTCGCTTTTTGGACCCACTATCCTCAAGCTGAAGACGACCAATCGCCTCGAAGGTAATATCAAGATCCTTAGACTGAAAAAACGCGGGATACCAACCCGCTGGGAGGATTTATCGGCCTCGGGCTTTTCGTTCAATTGGAGAGTTGCAATCATCTCCCGATTCGACCACCTTCAATCATCATCATGCGACGCAGTTTTTTGGTCTTTCTCCTTTTCAGCCTTCTTATTATCGGTATCCTAGTCCGCAGCGTCTGGACACTTTTATCGTTACTTGTCGAAGATGCTGCCGCTGATGCGATTCACGGTGCCGAGTTGCCTTCTCTGAACACCAGTCTGACCGACCAACGCCCTCAAATGATCCCTAAAATTATTCACCAGACCTACAAAGACGAGAATATTCCTGAAGTCTGGCTTGCAGCTCAGAAGAGCTGCATTGACCTGCACCCAGACTACGAGTATATTGTTCGACTCCCACTTGACCAGACCGGAATTGGTGCTAATGATCGTGATAGTTGTGGACGGATGAAAAATCGCGTGACTTTATCGCTGCCAAATACCCCTGGTTTCTCAAAACCTTTGACAGCTATGCATATCCTATCCAACGCGCAGACTCGATTCGCTATTTCATTTTGGCCAACTATGGCGGAATCTACATTGATTTGGACGACGTATAGTTACCCGGCAGACATCATAAGTTTTTATGCAGATGATCTAACTCACACAGGGCTGCAATCGTCATTTAGATCCCCTATTAGCTTTCCCGGCGTGGCTACGCCGCACTGTACCAACTGGGATCTCCAACGATGCAATGGGCTCCGTACCCCAACACCCCTTCTTCCTACGCGTAATCGAATCACTTCAGCAGTACGATCGCAAATGGCCTCTTCCATATATCACCGTCATGTATTCGACTGGGCCGCTTTTCCTATCAGTTATCTGGAAAGAGTATATACAGGACACCCCGTCCGAGATGAACCGTATCCGTGTTCTCATGCAGGATGAGTACAAGAATCACCCTTGGAGTTTCTTCACCCACTACACAGGAAACAGTTGGCATGGAAAAGACGCGCAGTTAATATTTTGGGTAAATATATTGCGAGACTACTGTCCGTTTGATTTGAATTACAGCTTACAGTGCGAAACAGATGGGCCAACACTGGGTGCTTCTCACTTTCTGCGGTTTCCTCCTTGCCTTCGCCGTCGGCTTATGCCTCTTTTGGACCTACCGTCGAGTTACTTTCCGGGGGGGATCAGTATGATGATCGATACCATTATACCAGGGTCCATTCAGGAATCTGCCTTTCCAGTATATCACCCTCGATTCTGCGACATGCGCGTCGCGTGATTCCTACGCTACAGGGGAAAGTCAGCTTCGAAGAAAGCCAGGCCACCGATTGCTCGTGGGAACTCGGTCGCTATGGAGACTGATATATTTTCGATTTCCTTCTCTTTTATCTGTATTGATAGATTGTTCCAAGAACATAAACTATGTCCACCTAATTTGAGTTAGAATATGGCTTTTTCAACCTTGGAAGTTCGTGAGCGCTAGTACACCTTGATGCGAGATCTTGATAATGTACGATAGCGTTTGAGACCGAGATCAACAGGATGCAGGTCCAATATTTGAGATAATGACTATCCTTACAAGTTTCCTTTGCCGTTTCAGTAGCTACTACCTAGGTAGTAGCTACTGGGAGGTCTAGATTGAAAAAGAAAGAACAAGACTCATATTCTGTGTAGGGCTGCAAGATTGGCTAGTTCGGAATTCTCAATTTCATTTTTCTTTGTCTATTCAAGCATTTGGGCGGAAGATAACCTTCTCACCAGATACACCATCCTTATTCAATTTCAAAGCTGCCTCCACAGCCTCGATGCCACCATCAACGACTCGCACCCGGTTAGGGACAAACAATCCCTTAGCAATACATCCATCCTCACCACCAAGATAGCGAGTCATTGGCTCGCTCAAATGTCGCAGAGCTGGGTTACTACCCAAGCCCAGAACCATCTTGATATTGACTTGAGGCGTCTTAGACTCACCCAACTTCTTTGCTTCCTCGTTGGCGCTCTGCACCACAACCACATTTTCTCCAACCCCGCTCGCCTCAACGATTTGAACACCCAAAGCCTGTGTTTCCGGACCAGAGATGGTATCGAACACATATCGCAGCGGAAGTGTTCCACTCGCAGCTTTGAACTCATCCGCGGTCGCCGCCTTGCGATCTAGGACAATGTGCGCGCCGAGACTTTTTAGGAACTCATGGTGCGCCACACTGGCATTGGTAATGATCCGCGTGAATCCAGATAGACGTGCAAGCTGGATAGCATACTGTCCCACGCTGGAAGAACCGCCAATGATGGCAATAGCTTGATCCTTTCCAGCATTGTTGCCGTTGGGCGCCCATGGTGGGGTGATGCCGTGGCCCGTCTGGTCGTACAGGGCAGTTACAACTGCCACAGTCGCGAGACTAATTCCAGCTGCTTGGTCGTCGGTTATGTTGGAAGGGGTCTTTGAAACCAGCTCTGCGGGCATGGAGCAGTACTGCTGGAAGGTTGAGGCGTCGTAGTTGCCGATGATTCCTTGGAAGAAAACACGCTCGCCGACCTTGAGACTGGTAACATCGGATCCTATGGCGACGACTTCACCGGCGGCATCGGAGCCGAGAACGGCTGGATACTCCTTTATGAAGGCATTGTAGTCGCGGATCTTCCAGTCGACAGGGTTGATGGCGGTGGCGGTGATCTTGATCGCCACATAGCTTGGTTGAAGGGCTTGGAGCGACCGGTCCTCAATACGGTGCTGCGCAAATGGTTCAGGGACCACGGCAGCTTTGAATGACGCAGGGATGCTCATATTTATTTTTGTTTGTGGTGGTTGAAGTTGAGAAATACAGAATTGGAGAAGGATTTCTTCATGGCGTCACACACTGAGTGGGGACCTCGAAATACCCCACAGCTCCTTTCTATGATTTATAATGATTTATAATCGCTCTCCTGATTGATATTGATCAAGCTGCGTGTGAGGGTATCGTATAAATAAAGGAATAATATACTGAGGCTGACAAGCTTTCTTTTACCCCACTCCTAAACAGTCAAGATCTCTATTTCATATACATTTCTTGGTTGGGGAGCTTTCCTCAGCTAAATGTGGAGCGTAGATTTTCTCGGGGACCCTCATCTCCCAGCATTTCTTTTCGTTTTGTTTTTCCATAGATTCTTTACTTATTGAGATGCTACCTAGGTATTCAGTAATTTTGGAAAGGATTCATATTTCTAACCCCTCACCCCAAAGACCCCTGTTCAATCAAACAGACGTCTTGGAATGATTCTCCGGGCTCATCTCTCCCATCTCGCCTTCTCCCAACGATCGGGGCAAACGTTGTGCCACCCACACCGAGTCCCAAATACTAGAAGACTTGACAAATATCTGATCAACTTCTTCCAAGCTCCTTCCACTCGTTTCGGGGAAGAGAAAATATACCACAACCATAATCGTGGCATTCAACCCAGCAAATATGATGAAGAAACGCCACTGCATGAATCCAATGGCAATGGGAGTGACTTCCACGATCAAAACGCAAAATGCCCAAAAGGTACCAACGGCCAAAGCGTTGATTGTGGCTCGCAGGTGCAATGGGGCGATCTCAGTTGCATAGAGGAATGATACCCCGCCAAATCCACCGACGAAGATCATATGATATAGGAAAACGAAGACCACCGCGCCGTGCATCGCCTTTGGATTTTCTGGCTGAGAGCCAAGTGCAGCAATCAATGCCATACAGATACAATTTCCTGCTGCACTGCCAAGCAATAAGGTACGGCGACCGAGTCCTTCAATAGTGAAGACGCAGATCGTGCCCGTGATCAGGCTGGTGAGCTGATACATCGCTGCCAGGATCCTTGACCTGACCGAGTCCAGATGCAGATAACTTTCGAAGATAGTAGTTGCTAAATGGAAAAAGGAGAAATCAGAAAATTAACCATGGAAAGAAGGGGTTATCTGACTCACTGTAAAAGGTCATGGCGTTGAACCCGGTGAGCTGCATGAACATCGTCACCATAACAGCCAACGCTGCACGGTGGATCACCCTCTGGGGGCCCATGTGAAAGATCTTTCCAAATGAGCCTCCGCCAGCCAACTCAAGGGACGATTTGACTTGTTTAATTTCCCCTTCGATTTTCCCATTGCCAATGCTCATCTCATCCAATGCGGTGAGGATCACGCGGGCCTCGTCGATGCGATTCTTGCGAATCAGCCATCGCGGTGATTCTGGGAGGAAGTAGATGAAGCCGAGAATTATAAGCGAAATGAGCACTGGAATTGCGGCAGGGAAACGCCAGCCTACACTGCCAGGCGCAAACGACAATCCGAAATCCACCAAGAGAGCAATGGTTGCTCCCAGGCCGGCGGAAAGCCCAGAGGTAGACACATTCGCACCACGCCTTTCAGACGAAGAGATCTCTGAAAGCCAGACAGGTGTTGTGGCCATTAGACCACCTGTCCCGAGACCAAGAATTATTCGAGAAACGATGAGTTGTTCGAAGGCAAATGAGCCTGTCAACAAGACCGCCCCGATCAGCTGGACCACGGCGGAAGCCATAATAACTCGGCGACGACCAAAGACGTCTCCTAAACCAATGCAGCTGAGAGCACCAAAAAGACCTCCCACTGCGTAAAGAGCGACCACGGTGCCTTGAATGGCTGAAGTGCGGCCCTTTTCTTGAGGTGCGGCATCGACCACACTGATCTCTGGGAACTGTTTCTCAAATGCATCCAATGTCAAGATTCCACCCAGGAGAGCCTGGTTATAGCCTAAAGCGATGAAGGATGGCATCATCACGCCGAAAAGCCCAGCGAAGTTTAGGCGATTGCCTCGAAGACCCAAGAATGGTGCCATCTTATGCGATAATCGACGGGAAGATGCTGATTATGGATTGTATAGACTGCTCAACCGGCCATCAGTTTTCGAACCAATTTTGAAACGAATAATTATTTTGCTTGAGAACAACTGTGATATTCTCTTTTGTAGGACAGACCTGTCTTTCTCGTCTGTGGCTCCCACATTCCATTCCGTCATACCCGTTCTTCAGCCCGCAGATCCATACGCGAGCTCTAGTTTCGCGTTCAACACTAGTGTCAGGTAATAATAGAGGAAAATTTTGTCAAAGCAGTGAATGTAATGAATTGGAAATAGATTCGAGATTTGAAAACCTATGGGAAATAGCTCAATAGTAAACAATCTTGCATTTAGCGCCCGTCCAGCCATGGGAGCAAGGGGTTGTCTCGATGGGCTGTTCGATATGCCCAACCCCGCCCTTTTTGCTTTTTGCAATGGGTAAAATTGAATCGACATAGTGCCCGGACCAAGTCTCCAGTGCGCAAGATTATATTTTGGAATGAAATCATGAAGTATGAGCTGATGCCTACCGGGGTATGGGGTGGCAGTGCAGAATCGGATCTAAATTATTCGATCTGAAACATCCCAACGACGTTGCATTCGCATTATACACCGTCGCCGACCTCGTAGAACTTGTTCCAGCGCTACTCACCGACATTAGTTGGTTTTTAATGCACTCGAATGAAAGAGAGGGGTCACGTACAGTGTCAAACGGCTTCGACGAGTCAACAAACCTCAAGTCAGTAGCCAGTCGAATCACTCGATCGAGATCATTGTTGATGGTAGAAGCATGGATCTGAACGCGAGATCATTAGCATACCGGATTCCGGGACGTGTCAAGGGGGCCAGGGCGATCATACAGTATGTGGCTTATGCAGAACGATATCACCGGCCTCATAATCAGCCACTAACCAGGCTCGTTGGTGTTCCTGTGCAAAGGCGAGGGGGTGTTCGGACAGCAGACCCGTGGCCATCATATTTGTATTAAATGCATCCTTTGCTTCTTTGCCTGTGAGACCGGAGGCCTTTGCCCTGCTGGTGAAATCGTCTTCAATTTTTTGACCAAGTGGCTCACCTGGAAATTGTCAGCTGGTACTGATTGTGACTGACACGGGAGTCACAAACTGTTTTGTAGATAGATGAGGCCGCCGCCAGTCAATTTGATATCCCCGATCGGCACCCACGCAGTCACACTTGTCGGCTCGCCATGGCGTAAGAATATCTGATCGTAGTGGACTCCAATAGGTTTGGTTCCAGGAATGTTGTTTCGCAGCAGCGACCGCCGCAAACCCAGCGTATTCGAGTCCCAGCCGGTGAATCGAGCAATAAAGCTGATTAAAGCCGGGTGACGACAAAAGTCCTCTGCATACCAATCTCGGTAGTGGGCATTGATAGCTAGGTCGACGAATTGGGCAGCTTTTTCGCCTCCGGGACGACCGTTTTTACTGGCCGCTCCAGCGCCGATGCCTGGGAAGTCCTCGGGTAATTTGAGAGAGTTGAAGATGCCTTCGACTGGCTGGGTCGCCTCTTCCAGAACCCCCGTCGGTTGCATCATGGTAAAATATCCATCTCGGGCCTTCAGGACATCTTCCCGTGGAAGCACGCCCTTGAGGAAGAGATAGCCATCTTTCTCATAGCGTTGGCGTAACTCGTCAAGAGGTTCATCCGGTCGCGACGGATGGAGGAATTGAACATTCTCGGGCTGCAGAGCGCCATCGTTGACGGCCAGCAATCCTGGTTGGCATTCGAGCGGTATCTGCATAGTTCAGTCAGGTAAGAGGCTAATTGATCAAGTTGTGATTCCGAGTACAATTTATACTTGCTGCGTTGTACTAGAGATGATGTCCAATAGTGACCCCGCTCTCTTGGTTCGATCAATCATGAAATCATGGGGTTTGGAATAGTGGAAAATCGGACAATTAAAATCAATGAAATGTCACCAGGTCACTCATGCGCGGACTGAATTGTCGTGCAATTAACCCGCTGAGTTTAGACCGAGAGAGATTCCCCCGCAGAGCAACGAGGCACGGACGGGCCGACGCGCTTGCGGGCACTTCTTCCCTTTTCCAACCACTTCAAGGCAAGGATCTTCCGCAAGGGTGAGAGTCACCCCAGATTCGATGTGTGACGGGCAATTCCTTCCGCCATCTAGTTTCCCTTCCCCATCCCCTCTCTGATATTCAGTCTCGGAGTGATGCCGAGCTGGAATCCGGGGATGGATTTCCCCAGGAATATCCCCCACACGAGCCGGAATAGCCTCGGAGCTAGACTCGGTCGCTGCATCGACAAGGTATATAACATGGCACCTACTGGCAGATACCAGCTCTTGGACGATTCTGTCCAACCTCCAGGCGCCATGTTCTCTCTCAAGCAAACCAAACTCATTCGACCACCCCCGGACATTGATCTGTCACAGCCACGTCCTGGAAGCACCTACTATCTCTATGCCGTCACGGTCTTTGTCTCGCTCGGCGCTTTCCTTTTTGGATATGACCAGGGAGTCATGGGTGTGATCGTCGCAGATCAAAGATGGATTGACCTAATGAAGCCGGCAAACTCGTGTAGGTTGATCATTCATCTACAATGATTCCTGTCTTTCGGCAGTGCTGATTTAAAGCAGGGGTCACTGGGACTGTCGTGTCGCTCTATGATGTTGGATGTTTCATCGGTGCAATGTCGCTAGGATATTTGGCTGACCCGCTTGGTCGCGAACGTACTCTGTCGATTGCCTGCATGGTTTTCATCGTGGGTGCCATCATCCAAGCGGCTTCATATACGATCACGCAAATAGTATGTTCTGAACCATGCGGGATATGAAAACTCGCTGACAAACAAGACAATTGGCCGTGTGATATTAGGGTTTGGTGTTGGAGCATGCGCTGGCGGTGTCCCTCTCTATGTTGCTGAACTGTCACCCCCAGCGATCCGAGGTCGCATTGTGGCCATCGAGCAGATGATCCTTTGCTTCGGCGAACTGGTTGCTTTCTGGTTGAATTACGGTTTCAATTTTCTTGAGATGGATGAATGGTGGCGCATCCCTCTCGCGATTCAGATTTTACCTGCGCTGGTCCTAGCCATTGGCTGCTGGTACTGGGTGCCTCCCAGTCCACGTTGGCTGGCCAGCCAGGATCGCCACGAGTGTGCTCGGGAAGTTCTCATCTGTTTGCATGGGTCTGAAGCTGCAGAAATAGAGATGCAGGAGATCATGGGCTCTATTGAGTTTGAGCATACAGTAAGTGAGGCCTCGTGGGGAGACATGTTTAAGATGCCGGTGCTACGCGTAACTCTTCTGGGAATGGGTGTACAATTCCTCCAGCAGATCACCGGCACGAATTCAATTCTTTACTACACGGTAAGCTACCCGGATAGTCAGCCAAGATTCTCTCCCCGTCAAGGATCGGATCGGAATCATAGCTAATGCCAATTAAGCCATCTCTCTTCGAGCGTGGCGGTATTACAAACCCACACACGGCCAATCTTGCTACTGGCGGCGTCGGGGTCGTTCTTTTTGTCTTTTCCTGGGTACCGATCTTCTACTTCGATCGGTTGGGTCGAAAGACCTGGCTTCAAATCGGCACTGTAGGTATGATGGGAGCTATGATTGGGATCACTGTGCTACAATGGCACGCCGAACACAACCCGGGTGATAGTGCTAACTACACGATCATCATATTCCCCTATCTTTTCTACGTCTTCTTCAATATCAGTTGGGGTGTTGGGTCATGGACCTATGCGGCTGAGATTTTCCCCGTTTCGACGCGAGCCAAGGGTAATGCTCTCACGACGGCGTCCCTGTGGGCAGCCTGCTATATCGTTGCTCAAGCGAGTCCTCCAATTGCTGACGCAATTGGCTGGGGGTTGTATATCATCTACACCGGGATTTGCGTGGTTGCGTTCTTCTTTGTTCGATACTGTCTAGGTTCGTGTGGTCTCACTATGACAATGTCGATGATGAAGGAGAGGCTGACGTGTGATTACTACAGTGGAAACCCGGGGACGAACCCTGGAGGAAATGTCCCGCCTTTTCGGCATTGAAAGTCGACTGGCAGAGCGTAGTGGTGTCAAATTACCGACTGAGGAGCGTATAGAGGATACACATGCATCTGGATCAAATAATCTGTGAAGAGCATGGAGAATTATGAGTCTACTATATCGCAATCAAGTGTCCACGATATCTATTTCACCATATTTTATACCACACAAAACTTGAAATCGCTCACTGTTTGCGCATGCTGCGATTGCGACTTCGCCTGCAGTTAGTGGTGGAGCGTAGATCTGTAGGGGGTGGGGCAGCGGGGTGAAGCTGCAGGGCGATCTTGATGTCGTGGAGCTGGATGAAACAGTAGATCAAGAACGAGGCATCCATGGGGACTGTAAGACCCTGTATGGGGGATATGAAATCAAGTACACACCTAGTACCGGTGGGGGCTTGAGATGCCGTGGGCTGACCCGAACAACAAAACAGCCAAGAAATGATTAGTTGGACTAATTAGTCCATCGGCTCGCGGAATCAGCTGTAGCTTGCGAATTTTTTAAACCTTGCAAAAATTGAAAATTGACAATCATCTTTTTTTCCCTCTTTCATTTTCTCTTCCCTTGAGGGTCCGCCCTACCAACACAAAATTCAGCCCTAGGCAGATCATGTAACATGATTACGATATTCGATTTGACACCATTATCACTCGTGCTCGTTTCCCCGGCCATTTGGCGAGCATAGCGGTGTGAGTTGTGTAGTGCGTGCTCGCGAGCGTGCTCGGTCCACATGTCAGGGGTGCAGACCGCCGATTGCCCCGCTACCGGGCACGGTTCACCGAGGGGCACACACAGACATTGTAATCCTGGGGGATCATAAAAGCCGATTTGTCGGTTTATTTTTTTACCTTATGTGGCTGTATGAGGGTCAGCGAAGGTTATTTTACGCCATTGGACATGAGAGATAGTAATTTCAGTAACAATGGTCAGGTTGTCAACCCCGGGAGATCGGAGAGATTAGGGTAGTAGAGCGAGCCAGGCACAACCGGAAGCGGAGGGGATCCATCGACTCCATGGGGAATGGAATGGAATTCTGGCACAGCCAAACCAATGATTGGTCCACTTGGACAGGCACCACAGTCGGCAGTCGTTTGGCCCCGACTCAAATGATCCACACCGGAACGATGGGCGAATGGATCTCCTATGCAGAGGTAGGCACCGGATGTCCGTCGCCCGAGGACCTCGAAAATAATCCAATTTATGATCACTAGTGGAGAGGTGATTGGCGGAGGGTCAACTATGGAATTGATAGTCGAACCCTATAGCCCAAAAGGTAAAGGATTATGATCAAGAAAAGGGGGGAGCAGGAAAGGAGAAGACGGGAGATCCAACTGGGAACCTCCGGAGCCAGACGGAGCTCACGTGTCTTTCTTTTTATTTAAAGTAACTCCCCTCCATCACACCTTCCTCTCCTTCTCTTTCTTCACCAACATTGTTTAGTACTTCACCTCACCTCCTTCGGTTCGTAATTAAGCCTTGTCAGCAGGTTCGATCACTCTCTTGGGACGTGATCACTTACTACCGTCAACATTTTCTCCACACATCTTAACTCGTGAGTTCCCTTGTCCTGCTTCTGATCTTCTTCGCGGCCATATGGCTAACCTCTTCCTTTTCCAGGCGGCACCACCCGTTTAACGGCCGACGCACTTCCAGCCGTGGAGGAGCGCCGGATAACGCATTACACATTCTGTAAACGTCCAGCTACTAGCTACATTTTCAATTACTCGCCTCCGCTATGGCTCCTCACGCTAGCTCGGACGCCAACGCCCTAAACGGGTCGGTTCGCCAAGAATCCTCGCCTCTCTTCACCGTCCAGTCTCCCAATGTGGAGTATACCGCCGACGAGATCAAGAGTCGCTATGCCTATCAAACTACTGAAGTCACCCGCACTGCGGACAACAAGTTGATTGCCACCCCCAAGGCTTCCAACTACCACTTCAAGGTCGACCGCAAGGTTGGCAAGGTTGGTATGATGCTCGTCGGCTGGGGTGGAAACAATGGTTCCACTGTCACTGCCGGTATCCTCGCCAACCGCCGCAACCTCACCTGGGACACCCGGGAGGGTCAGCAAAAGGCCAACTACTACGGTTCCATTGTCATGAGCTCCACTGTCAAGTTGGGCACAGATGCCAAGACCGCTGAGGAGATCAACATCCCCTTCCGTGACCTGCTTCCCATGGCTCACCCCAACGACCTGGCCATTGGTGGTTGGGATATCAGCGGAATGGACCTGGCCGCCTCCATGGACCGTGCCCAGGTTCTTGAGCCCACTCTCAAGTCTCTGGTTCGCAAGGAGATGGCTGAGATGAAGCCCCTGCCCAGTATCTACTACCCTGATTTCATTGCGGCCAACCAGGAAGGTCGTGCCGACAATGTTCTTGAGGGTACCAAGGCCTGCTGGGAACACGTCGAGAAGATCCAGAAGGATATCCGGTAAGAAAAAGCCAATTCTCAATTATCAGAAACACAAGCATATGGATAATGAAAACTAACTCTTCATAAAGTGATTTCAAGGCTGAGAACGGTCTGGACAAGGTGATTGTCATGTGGACTGCCAACACTGAGCGGTACGCCGACGTCATTCCTGGCGTCAACGATACCGCTGAGAACCTGATCAACTCGATCAAGAACGGTCATGAAGAGGTGTCTCCCTCCACCGTCTTCGCCGTGGCTTCCATCCTGGACAATGTTCCTTTCATCAACGGATCTCCTCAAAACACCTTTGTTCCTGGTGCTCTCCAGCTGGCTGAGCAGCGCAAGGCCTTCATCGGCGGTGATGACTTCAAGTCCGGCCAGACCAAGATGAAGTCGGCCCTGGTTGACTTCCTGATCAACGCTGGTATCAAGGTCACCTCCATCGCCAGTTACAACCACCTAGGCAACAACGACGGCAAGAACCTGAGCTCGCAGAAGCAGTTCCGCTCCAAGGAGATCTCCAAGTCGAACGTCGTTGACGACATGGTTGCCGCCAACAGCATCCTTTACGAGAAGGACGAGCACCCCGACCACACCGTTGTTATCAAGTACATGCCCGCCGTTGGTGACAACAAGCGCGCTCTGGATGAGTACTACGCCGAGATCTTCATGGGTGGTCACCAGACCATCAGTCTGTTCAACATCTGCGAGGACTCTCTGCTGGCCTCTCCCTTGATCATTGATCTGGTTGTTCTCGCTGAGATGATGACTCGTGTCAGCTGGAAGGAGGACACCGAGGGTGCCGAGTACAAGGGCTTCCACAGCGTGCTGAGCGTGCTCAGCTACATGCTCAAGGCCCCTCTGACTCCCCCGGGTACCCCCGTCGTCAACGCTCTGGGTAAGCAGCGTTCCGCTCTGATTAACATCTTCCGTGCTTGCGTTGGTCTCCAGCCCGAGTCGGAGATGACTCTCGAGCACAAGCTGCTGTGAGAACACCATGCATCAATGATGATAGTGTCTACCTGGCTCCGTTAAGCTACTTTCGGTTATTCTTATCCCGAACTACCAACTAGTTGTCACTCATTAATCAACGCGTTCGATATCAATATCCTAAACAAGGGAAGCATTCTAACGTAGTAAGCTATCTTCATAATACCTCCGTAACAATCGTAGCAGTAGCAATGGTCTATTTGGTAGCCCCCAACTCCGAATACGCATTTAAAGCCAGCTGCCCACCGAGATGCGCATACAAAATATTCCCTCCCTTGATCTCACCCTTCTTAATCATATCAACCATTCCAGCAAAACTCTTCCCCTCATAAACCGGATCCGTAATAAAAGCCTCCATCCTCGCCGCATACTCAATAGCATCCCAAGTCTGCTGATCCGGCACCCCATAAATACCAGCATGATACCTATCATCAAGAATAACATCCTCATCCGCAATATCCTCCTCCTTCAGCCCAATCTTAACAGCTGTATTCCGCGCAATCCTCAACACCTGAACCCGCGTCGCCTCCACCGTCGCCGAAGCATCAATTCCAATAACCCTCCGCTTCGCATCACCAGGATACAAACGCTCAAGCAACTTAAACCCAGCAATCATGCCCGCAAAAGTCGACCCCGTAACCGCACACACAAGAACAGTATCGAAGAAAACTCCCATCTCCAGCTCCTGCTGCCGGACCTCGAACGCCCACCGCGCAAATCCAAGACCGCCGAGCGGGTGGTCCGACGCACCGGCGGGGATGTAGTAAGGTCGCTCGCCATTAACCTTGCACTCCTCCACCACAGCCGCGGCGGTATTCTTATGCTCGATGCCAAAGCCCGACGGGTCGAGACGCACATCTGCGCCCATCAGTCGCGATAGCTGGATATTGCCCACGGAGTCATAGCCCCGATCTACCCAGTCGACCCAGTGCTCCTGGACAAGTCTGGCCTTGAGACCCGATCGTGCTGCGACGGCTGCAACTTGGCGGGTGTGGTTGGACTGCACGCCGCCGATGGAAACGAGGGTGTTGCAGTTTTGCGCGAGGGCGTCGGCGAGTAGGTACTCCAGTTTGCGGGTCTTGTTGCCGCCGTAGGCGTAGGCGGAGTTGAGGTCGTCGCGCTTGGCGTAGATGTTTACTTTTGGGTGGGGGGATGTTGAGGCGAGATCGGCGGTTATGCGGGGGAGGAGGTGAATCGGCGAGGGGCCGAGGAGGAGGGGGGTGCGTGGGATTGAGGAGAAGGGGGCTGGGAGGGGGAGGTCTTTGTTTAGGTTTGTGTTGGCCATGATGAAGTTGGAGTTGGGGGTTCAATTGGTAGTCTTCAAGTTCTATGTTTGGTCCATCTGTCGTTCATCTCTGCCCTCTTTATACCCACGGTCTTAAGGTTGAAGAAGGAGGGGTTGTATCGTCACTTTGGTAGGAGAGAGAAACCGTACGCCTTAATGATATCCTCATCCGGTTAGCTGTCGGGCTATCTTTGGAGTACATACTGCATGCTCCGAAATGGCCCCGAAGTCGGTCTTGCTGCGGAGACGGTGGAGTCGTCGAGATAGTGTCGCTGTATTGGGGTATCCCATGGGATGGGCTATCGTATGATGGACGAGATAACGTGCTATCTTGTGGCTTGTATAGTGGGTCTCTTCAGGCACAGACAGATAGCGTGAACTGCTCTTGGATATAATTCCTTGATTTTTAGGATTAATAGAATTCATTTCAAAGTATACTCCCAGCTCCGAGTCGTAGTCGTAGATCTACTCAATACTACTAAACACCCACAAGGTTCTGCGGGGTGAGGACCTTGGAAGAACCTTCTCAACCTACAAAGATGCCTTGGACCCGCAATCTTCGAATTCAGTTCAAACTTGAATAATATACAATCTACGAAATCTGCGTCTGCGTCTGCGCTGAATTGTACTACACTGAATGGAAAATGGTGGACATCACAAAAGAGATTCATATTATTCACATCGAGCCTTTTGGGGGATAATCATCAAGGTCAGGCATCAAACGGCCATCAAACAATTTATTTCATATCAACGACGCAGCGGACGCAGTCACCCTGCTTCATTTGCTCAAAGGCAGTGTTAATGTTGTCCAGAGGCTCGCGGTGAGTGATGAACTCGTCCACCTTCAGCTCGCCGTTGAGGTAATCGTCGACAAGACCGGGCAGCTGGCTGCGACCCTTGATACCACCGAAAGCACATCCCTTCCACACACGACCAGTAACCAATTGGAAGGCTGAAGACAGTTAGTAATGGCACAAACAGGAATATCGTGATTTCGAGTAAACTTACGGCGAGTGGAGATCTCCTGGCCAGCGGCAGCAACACCGATGACAATGCTCTCACCCCAGCCCTTGTGGCAGGCCTCGAGGGCAGCACGCATGACACCAACGTTACCAGTGCAGTCGAAAGTGTAGTCGCAACCGCCGTCGGTCATCTCAATCAAGTGCTCCTGGATGGTCTTTCCGGACAGCTTGGTGGGGTTGACGAAGTGGGTGGCGCCGAACTTGCGAGCCCAGACCTCCTTGCCGTCGTTGACATCGACAGCAATGATCTTGCCAGCCTTGTTCTTGACAGCACCCTGCATGACGGACAGACCGACACAGCCGGCACCGAAGACGGCGACATTGGAGCCTTCCTCAACCTTGGCGGTCACGACGGCAGCACCGTAACCGGTGGTGATACCGCAACCCAGCAGGCATGAGCGGTCGGTGGAGATCTTGGGAGTGACGGCAACGACGGAGATATCGGCGACGACGGTGTACTGGGAGAAGGTGGAGGTACCCATGAAGTGCAGCAGGTCCTTACCGCGGGCCTTGAAGCGAGAGGTGCCATCGGGCATGACACCCTTACCCTGAGTAGCACGGATCTTGCCGCACAGGTTGGTCTTGCCAGACTTGCAGAACTTGCACTCACCACACTCGGGGGTGCTAGAGGATGTGGTCAGTATGGAAGAACTTGCTGACATGAATCAATGGCGAAGGGAACATACTAGAGAGCAACGACATAGTCGCCAGGCTTGACGGTGGTCACGCCCTCGCCGACGGACTCGACGATACCAGCACCCTCGTGTCCGAGGACGATGGGGAAAGCACCCTCGGGGTCCTTGCCAGACAGAGTGTAGGCATCTAATTGGGAGGTCAGACTTTGCTTTTTGGCATTTTCTTGCTTTCGTTTCTTTCTCCATCTCGATTGCTGGCTGGGACTCGGAGCTTACCGGTGTGGCAGACACCAGTGTGGTGAACCTGGATGCGCACCTCGTGGGCGCGGGGAGGAGCAACCTCGATATCCTCAATGGAGAGGGGCTCAGTCGCAGCCCAGGCGACGGCGGCCTGTATGTTTGTTAATCAACCATTCGAGAGACAATGGCAGGCAAGACTTTTGAGGTGGGTGTTTGGCCCGACGCGGGGTACCCGACGTCATCCGCGTAGCGGGGTGTGTTTCGGATCTTCTGGAGCTTACCTTGCAAGTGATTGTCTACAACATTGAAAGTTAGTATATAATCGCGCGAGAGGAAGAAGCTTTCGATTTCTGAGAGACAAAACATACCTTTCCTACTGTGCTAGCCATTGTGTTCTGACAATCTGGGTGAGGTGGTCAGGATGGGGTTGGGTGGGGTGGAAGGGGGAGAGCAAAGATGGTAGACTCACAAGATTTGCAGATGACGGGAGAAAATGAGGGAACCAAGAGGTTTTTGAATGGAAAACTTCCTAGTGGAGCCGAGCCTCTTGGAGGAGTGAGGGGAGTGGGGTGGGGGGGGGCAGCGATGAAGGAAGTTGAATGAGGAGACGGAAAGAAGATGAGGGGCGGCCGGGTTGGCCGGTCTCCAACGGAATAGGACCCGCGGGTTGCTCAGCGAAGTCGGGGAGGTTGTTAGCTGTTTGCAACCTTGGAATCATCTAGGTCTCCCCGCAATCAGACACCTGCGGGCTCCTAAAAAGGTAAAGCTTTCCGCCAGAATTGCCGGTTCGATAGTACTACTAGTCTTCTCGATCTTTGCAGTGGGCCGTATTAGTCCGATGTCCAATCATTACCTCTGATAGTTTAGGCTGACCTACGATAGTATGATAGGACCCTATGATAGGATGATAGCATTCATCATATTCAAGGATATTTAGTACACTGGCAAGGCCACGGCTCTATTTTATATCTTTTGTATTTTATTAGGACCGGGAAAGGTACCGATGGAACGCATCTCCCCTCCCCGTCCGAATCACTATGGTACATAAAAGGAGACCAGGTGTCCACGTAATCTCTCCCCCATCACGCACGCATGAAATGTGACTTCCTCTCTTCATGCGAAGTGGAGGCAGCTAGATAAGCTTGGACTTGTTTGACCCGGGACTCCGGAGTTGGGATTGCCCGGAAGGCACCCGGAACGCTTCCGGCCCCAGAGCAGATCTGCCCTCCGGCGCACTGTCATCTCCCCCAGTGCTCACACCCCGTCTCGGTATGCCGATGACGGGTATGCAGCTATCTTCTTTAGCGGCCCTGCTGCATCATAGCGGCATTCTGTTCCTGGAAGCGCTCGTTCAAGCGGGCGGATCCCTTGAGTTGTTTGTCGACGCAGCGCAGGACACATTGCTCTTCGCGGTTGATGAGGGACTTGGTGGTGAAATCGTTGACACAGTCGTCGAAGCAGCGCTGGACCATCTTAGAGTACATCTGTGGTATGTTAGATATGGAAACGAAGGGGGTGTATGATCGGGGAGTTGATGATTGGAGTTTTATTGATCCCGACGCAGGGTGCGTTGGCATTCACGGTACCATTGCACCTCGACGGGATATCAAAAATTCCATCAACGGGCGGCTCGGGGAGGATAGGACGTACGGTCATGAACTCCTTCATCTGCTTGCGCTCCATGCGGGAGGCGAACTCGCGTTGCTCGGTTTGGTTGAGGCTGCAGCGTGTCATTAGCGTCGGGTCCGGGGGAAATCAAGACAATTGGTATTGGAATTGACCACGGAGCAGAACCGATAGTTGCACATACCCGTCCATTATGTGTGATGATGAGGATGAAGGAAGAAAACGTGAAGATGGGAGAATCCTTAGATGATGAGTGAAGAGACGCAGGCGCGGAGCTCCGAAGCTGGTTCTGCGGCCCGCGCAACTACGTTTATCCGGAATAGGTCACATGGTAATCATGTGACTCATGGTTACGGGTGGGGAATTAGAGATGGGATGAAGAAAAGTAAGTTAAAAGGTGATTAAATGAATTAAGTGGATCATGATGGCTGTAGAAAATATGGAATAGAATATTCAGAGACTCTCGGCAGATCCAGGTACTGAGAATATTGAATAGGTATGTGTATACTCGTATACGCCGTATATACTCCGTATTTAATGTGGGTTGGTACCTGAGGGTCCAGACCCTGAGTCCTAGCTATACATCACTACGGAGTAACCAAGTATATGGAACTTATTCTATGCTAGACTGTATAGTAACATAGTACCTAGGTATACAATGTAGATTCACTTCTCTCCCTACTCTCAAAGATATTCAAAGTATAGTAGAGTACTGGTATAACGACGTATACTACACAGTACTGTACTCGCCCTGCCGAATCCAGCGATGCCCCCAGGAACTTCAACCTTGGGTCAGCCATCTATTCATAGCTCTGCCCTCCTCTAATTTCCCCTGGCACCTTTTTCTTCTCCTTTCCTCTCTTCTCTCTCCTCCTATCAGCCTCAACCAGTCACCCTCAACCTCAGCTACCATCGCCACCCTTGCGACTCATCCATTCGCCTTCTGCCCAATCCCGGACCTCTTCCTCTTTCTCGGCCTTGTCGCATCCCTTCTCTTCCCCTTTCTCCTTCCCCTTCCACTACTCCCTCTCTCTACCCCTACTGTCCCCTAAAGTCTCCCTTTCAGCGACCTGTTCATCTGCTTGTGGCCCTGAAATCAACTTTTTTGTCCTGTTCCTGGCATCCCGTGCTTTGGGGCCCAGCCTCCTCTCCCCAGAATTTCCCACACGAGGGCGGTGACGCAGGTGGTGCCCATCGACCCGCGATTCCATCCCCCCTCAACTTCGAGCCCCCTCTCAACCCAGCCACATCATACCACTCGTCGTTGCTCCGACTCTGGGAACACCATGGTGACTGGTAAATCGCAACCGGGCATCGAGCCGGTGCAACTCCCACCGACCTCCCCCAACCCCGTCGCTTCCAACTCTCCACCCTCTCGACGAGACCTCGCCTCGTGGTGGAGACAGTTTAAAAGGAATACCAGGAAAGAAGAACTGAAAGGTATGTCTCATGTCGCCAGAATTCTCCCAACACATTGCGCCTAGTCGCCTGTCCCTCCCGACCCTTGTGCCTCTGTCTTCTTTCTTACTGGATTTCGGCGATTGCCAACATTTCCCCTGAACCATCCACAAAATCACTTGGTGCGCGGTACCAGCGGGACCTACCCCGCGGCCAGACATTCCCGATGAGAAGGTTGAGATCACCATTGATTCGGATAATTGGACATTCACGCTCTTTCTCTATCTATCAGCCTTTCTTCCTGCATATGGAATACTAATCTCCTTGGCGCAGAAACCCCGCGCGGTATATTCGGCATCCCACTCAATGTCAGCATCAAATATGCCAATGTGGCCATCTCCCTTTCCAACGAACATGGCGAGAGCTTCATTTATGGATATGTGCCGATAGTCGTGGCCAAGTGTGGCGTGTTTCTCAAAGAAAAAGGTTAGCATAACACAGCATCATCGCCGTCGCCGCTCCCAAAACATGCGCTGACTGTCCTATAGCTACGGATGTGGAAGGTATCTTCCGACTCAATGGTTCCGCGAAACGTATCAAAGACCTCCAAGAAGTATTCGACTCCCCAGAACGTTATGGAAAGGGCTTGGATTGGTCCGGATACACGGTACACGACGCCGCCAACGTCCTCCGTCGATACTTGAATCAGTTGCCGGAACCCATCGTCCCACTCGAATTTTACGAACGTTTCCGTGAGCCCTTGCGCATTTACCAGAGGCAGGTTCAAGCAGGAGTCGAACCCGCGGAGGCCGAGAAGTTCGATCACGCAAAAGCCGTGGAGACCTATCAACAACTGATCATCGCACTCCCGCCCCTGAACAAGCAACTGCTTCTCTACATCTTGGACCTTCTTGCTGTGTTTGCCTCCAAGTCAGACCAGAACCGAATGACCTCCGCCAACCTTTCCGCGATTTTCCAACCTGGCATGCTGTCGCATCCGCAGCATGACATGTCACCAGAAGAATACAAACTGAGTCAGGACGTTTTGATTTTCCTCATTGAAAATCAAGATCACTTCCTGGTTGGTATGAGTGGAACGGGGGCGGATGAACAGCAGGTCAAGGAAGTCGAAGCTGGCATTCAGCCCCGGCCCACAACGACGGGTTCAAATATCCGCCGATCGGCATCCAACGCCAGCAACAGCAACGAGAGCAACCGCAAATTGGACACGCTGCGCCGCAATGTATCTGTCTCTTCCCGCAATTCACGCACTTCCAATACGGCTCCTAGCCCAGGCACTCCCACATCTGGGGGCGGTGTTCACCGAAGCAATACCCTTCCGTCCAAAATGGGGCCAGTTTTGACATCGGCGCGTTTCACGCGAGCAAATGAGAACAACACCTCCACCCCATCTGGGCTCTCTGTCTCCCACCAGAGTTCTCGCTCGGCCAGTCGAGCTCCATCGCTGCAGGAGGAGATGGAGCAAAAGGCCGAGCCCAAGGAGGAACCGAAACCAGAACCCACCACTGAACAACGCAATCCTGGTCTAACTACTACCTCATCAAAGGGAACGACACTTGTCCACACCTCAACTCACGGCCCAGTCCCCATCGCCACGGCCGAACGCCTGAGCATCACCAATCCTTCTCAGTTGCAAGAAATTTCGCAAACTCCCGCTTCGCCGCCCTTTCAGGCTGTGACGCCAACACGCGAGCGCAAACTCTCCAACATCTTCAGTAAATCCCCTCCTCCGGACGGAGATCAGAGGGAGCCGCGTCAGCCTAAACGTCTACAGAAGAGGCGGATACCCGGAAGTGCCAGCCTTAGTGCTCAGAGCTCGTCCAATTCACTCCACGGCACCCCATCGGACCTCAATATCGCGGAGATCGCCTTGGATACAAAACGTGAGCCGCCATCCATGGATCTTGCCGTTGGTGACACAACTCCCAAACCCCCCCAACACCGCGACTTTGAACAGGGAGGCTCATCCTTCAGAGTCCAATCCAGCACTCGTAGAGGGCTCCATCCAGCATGCTACGGAGGGAACGTTGCGACCACATCAATCACGTACCCCATCCATGAACTCCCGCTCGTCATTCACTGACGCGTCGGACCTTGAACAAAACGATGACGGGTCTCATTCCGAGCGTCGAGATCACAGGCGTAGCTGGCGATTCCACCGCTCTGCTAAGCGCAGTAGTGAGCAAGTTGGCCTTGGGCTTGCATCTCCACCTTTGGCAGCCACCAACCCGGCTGCTGAACATAGTACCACATCTTTCGGCAGTGGGCATCAACCGAGCAATGATCCTTCCAGCCAACCGCTTAGCTTGGATGCTGGCATCTCGAGTAGCGGTACATCTGGCACTGAGCCTGAGAGGAAAAGTCTGTTTGGCAAATTCAAGGCTAAAGTTGCGCAGGTCGTGAAGGACGATCGTGAGCGGGCCAAGAGCCCAACCCAAGACATTGAACCATCGCCGAGCCAACCGCTGTCTCCTCCTGCCAGCGATGCGGCCAGCAAGCCCTCCGTCGAAATTCCCACTGAGCATGCCAAGGAAGAACCTGTCCGCTCGCCGGTCTCCCCACTGCCTGGAGCGGGACTGCCTCCGCCGATCCCAGAGGAGCCACACAGTCCAGAAGCTGCGACTGCAGTGCCATCATCTGAACACAAAGAACCACTTTCTTCTAATTCCCAATCGTTATCGACCGAGACACCCACAGATGGGTCCAGCGTGCCAAAGGCAGAAGGCCAGGCTGAGGTACAGAAAGAACCGACAGTTTGAGTCCCCGAAGCCGGATGGTATTTTTTTCATTTCCTATCTTTCTCTTCCCCTCTCTTCTCCTCGTTAGAGCCATCATTGTCGAATATCCAGAGCCAATGGTTCTTATATTTGCTTCTACACGCATTCCGTTTCTCTGAAAGGTGGCGGCTGCCTTGTTGACCATGGGTTGAATGTTGAAATTGTTAGCGGGTGATCTTCACATCGCCAACAACTTTGCTGTTTCTCGCCTTCTCTTCACCTCATGCTCTCGCCCTTGCGCTTGCATTTTTTGGGCACTCGGGATCTATGTTCTTCTCTTCGCGGGATTTCGCTCCCCCTTGCCCACTTTGCCCCTCTTATCCCTATCCCCTCTCCTCCCCTTCGCTTCCCTGTGTCGCATCCTTGGAGCCCATATACTCCTTCATATTTCTTGGTCACGCTGATATGTGGTATGATTGTACGTCCCTATGTGATTGCAGCCGGTCTGTCTTTTGTTTTCCCCCTTGTTACCTAGCTGGGTCTGTTTAGGGTGCGTTGCTGCGATTCCTCTTAAAATGGGGATCTGTTGAAAGAACGGCGCTTAAACTTTGTTTTCTCATTGATTGCTTGCAAGGGATCTTTTATTTCCACAGTAACGAATGTATCATACCTTGTAAATTCAAGCTACTACTGCAGTGTACGATCCACGCCAGTATCCAACTGCGAAGGGATAATATTATACTACAGCTCAGGCTTCAACTTTGACGACAGCTCCAAAAGCCCAATCCAATAAACAGTAACTGACGACCACCAAATAAGAACTACTAGTAATACTAGGATGTCACAGCTGGGTACCTCATTTCAAACTAATTTATACAACTTGAAGTCCTCATACTTTACTTCGTAGCTCTGACCGCCAAGAACCGCAATACGCCAAACCCGATCGGGCGATTCCCTTCTTCACCTCGCATCACTTCTTCACTTCCGAGCCAACCGGAGTCCTTTCAGGTTCAAAACAGCTGCGAGACTGTGTGTACCTGTGCCTGGTGAGCTTCAATGCGCGCATCATGGCTTCAACTACCTCGTCCCCGGCCGTGAACGCCACTATGTCTCAACCCCCCTTCGAGAAACCCTCTGCGCCTCCCATCAATATCCTGCCTTCGCAGCTGGCTCGAATCTACTCCCTCGTGCATCCCACCCTCCTCTTAGCATTGGCAGCCTCGCGCTTCGAAGCAGTGGTCGCCAACCCTACTCGGGAATTATTGAACAATCTGCCATGGCTGGCACTGTTGCAACTCTTCTACGTGGTCCTCTGTGTCCCACCAGCTGGCTCCCTCGAAACCACTAGCTCCGGCGATAACGAAGAGAAGAAGAAGGCTTCTCCTCGCTCCCCTACAGCTCCTCGTCCTGGAAAATCGGGTCATCGCCGGAAGCAAGCTTCTGGGAAGAATGTCTGGGCTGGTCTTTGGGCCAGATTGATGGTATGTCCAAATGTTCCCTCCGCAGCATTGCGAAGCAGGTGATATGCGTTGTGTATTTGTGTTGTGTGCTCACAGTTATTGATCCAGCCCGCGCTCCTGTCCGTCACTCTCACAACCTTCATCGCGACTCCCGTCCTGGCCGCTCTCCTGGTCTTGTTCGGCGCTCCCCTGACAACACACAACGCGGAGACCGTGCTCTGCGCTGCCCACATGGCATTCCTTTCTGCCTCTGGGCTAGTTTACGCTCACGGTGTTGACGGCTTGGTGTGGAAGGAGGTCTGGGGAATCGCCCGACCTGCGGATGCAGTTTGGGGTGGCGCCCTGGGTACCGGACTTGGTGCTTGGTTCGGCGCCATCCCGATCCCTCTGGACTGGTGTGTTTGATTGATCCATGAGAGATATTCCAAAACTATGGAATTATTTGGCTGACATTTTCCTCAGGGATCGTCCCTGGCAAGCTTTCCCTATTACCATCCTTGCCGGTGCATACATCGGTTACGCAGCTGGGTCGTTGATTTCGCGGACCCCGTTCCTATATGGCAAGCGAGTTCAATTTGCACCGGAGGCAATCGAAGAGGATGAGAAGAAGACCAACTGAGTCTCCGAGTGTACACATCGAATGACATCAGATTTGGATCAACAGGAATCCGTGAAGATTATAAAAGAAATAATCTCGGAAGCTTCGCAGGTTATCAATTCCAATGGCCTCAGCCATGATAGATAGTAGCCAAATGCCTCCATCGAGACCCGATACCACAGTTAATGTATACTAGCAATTTTCTTTCCAGTCCTTGTCTGTCCCTCTTATGAATTCAGGAATCACAATTTCCCAGACTCCTTGAAGCTGCCGTGTCTGCCCACCCCTCCGCTGAACTTAGCCGCGCCAGCAATGGCTTCTTTCGAAATGACTTTGCTGCCGTTCTGGAATTCGTACGAAAGTGCATCTTCTAAGGAAGATGCCTCATACGCGCTGTAGTAGCATGAACGACGATCGGTATTAAGACAGAGTTCAGGAAATGCGATGAGCTGCTTAGCGATGTCCAAGGCATGCTGCAACGATTCTCCCTTAGGCACAACGCGACTAGCCAACCCCATCACCAGAGCCTCTTTAGCTTCAACCGGCCGGCCGGTAAGAATCATATCAAGAGCGCGAGCAAGTCCAACGATGGCTTGTAAACGTACCGTTCCCCCGTCGATTAATGGCACGCCCCAACGGCGACAGAATACCCCAAAAATAGCGTCTTCTTCCACGACCCGGATATCTGCTAGCAAACTTAGCTCCAGCCCGCCTGCAACTGCATATCCGGCGACTGCGCCGATCACTGGCTTTTGGATCGTCAATCTTGATGGGCCCATGGGACCTAAGTTGCGCCCATTTACGGGCTGGAGATTCTCGCCAGGCGCATCATTATCCTTCTTTTGCGCGACTTGGTGGAGATCAGCCCCAGCGCAAAATGTGCTTCCTGTGCCAGTCAGAACGCAGACTTTCTGTGATGCGTCGGCTTCGAAGGCGAGAATAGCGTCATAGAGCTCCCTGGCTGTTGCGGAGTCTACTGCATTCTTTCGATGAGGACGATTAATCTGAATAATCGAGATACCAGAATGCGAGGCTTTATTGACGATGATTGAATTCTCTGTCATTTTGTTGATGTTGAGCTGGTAGATGTGGATATGAAGTTAGTATAATCGTAGTCGTAAGGTAGTCATAGTTGGGGTTGGCGTTCAAGAGTAACCCGAGTGCCTCGGCTCAATCCCCACACTTTCTCCCCTCCAACCACCCCCGGGTCGACGACATGTCGTCTGCGTGCATCATTTGCCATAAGCGAAAGGTCGGTGAAGGTTCCTGCGTCCCCTATCCAACGAAACTTGACCAGCCAGGATTGAACTGAACCTCCCAGGTGCGCTGCGACCTGGCGACCCACAATCCCTGCACCAACTGCAAAAAGTCCGAGGTGGAGTGCAGGTGAGAAGACAGGACCCGCTTGACTCAAGGATATGCTGGATTAGCCTCTAATCCTCGCAGGCCATATACACGTAAGCGCAAGCGCTTCACCAACAGTCTGTCGCCCAGTCGCGACGCGAATTCAGCAGACCCATTGAGTCGGCGCAGCTCACAGCTTCCCGCCGACGCGCCCGCCGACAGAGGCGCGCGTCTGTCATCGGCCAGTCCCTACGAAGACAATGTCTTGCCCAGTGAACCATTGCCGCTTCCGGTGAACAATGGTGAACCCGTCATAAAAGAGGAAAGCTACCGCGGGCGGAGCGAGTACCTGGGCGGGAGTGTGCCGTTTGATGAGAACATGGTGAAACCTGGTCATGAGACGACGAGCCCCAAGACATCCGCCGCCGATTTACAGATGCTGCGTGACCAGGGTGCCTTCGAATTACCACCGGAATATGTGCAAAGAGAACTAATGGCCAGCTTCAACAAGTATTGCTTGCCTTGGACCCCCGTCATTGATCCGAAATGGTTGGACGAGGGTACGCCTCCTTCCATGCTTCTGCTACAATCCATCTTTCTGGCTGGCAGTCGGGTTTCCAAGGCGCATTTGGACTATGCCTCGAGTGAGGTCTTTTATAGACGTGCGAAGCTGCTCTTCTTCTTTGGCGGAGGCAATAACTCGCTCATATCCATCGTGGCGGCTTGCCTGCTACATTGGTATAACCCCGTGGGCCCGGAAGATGTCTCGACAGATACCAGTGGATTCTGGATCCGCACCGCTGGGGCCATGGCATTCCAAATCGGATTGCATAAGGAGCCACCGCCAAATGCGAAAGATCGCGGTCTTCGCCGACGATTATGGTGGTCATTAGTTGTATGTGGTTTTCCTCAATCGACCGTGGATACTTCTTTCAAGGCAGAAACTGACGAGGCTAGATTCGTGATAATGTCATCTCAGTCGGAGTTGGTCGACCGAGAACAATCAACTTGCGAGACAGCGACGTGCTCCCTCCGTCACCGAACGACTTCCCCGCTTGGAACTTCCAGGCTCAGCTATTCCTCGCATATTGTTCGATATCATGCCACCTGGGTGATACAGTAGAATGCTACCTCCGGCGTGAAATATCTCGACAGCGAAGAGTTGACCTAGAAAATGCAGTCTACAGGTGGGCAAAGCAGGTGTTCCCTAAATTGCACTCCTCAGCCGCGGTGCAGGAAGATGCCATTACTTCCCACCACGAGGTTCAGCAGCTGCTGGTCATGTACTTTGTCGTCCTCACCATCATCCATCGATCGCCCACGCCAAACAGTGTTCCCCCAGCCGCCTCGTTGGTGGCGTCCTCCTTCATTGCCGGCATATATGAGGAGTTCCTATTACGCGACGAGCTTCGCTACTTGGGGCCCGTCTTTGCATTTTACCCACTCTGCGCAGGGCTATCATTACTGTCATGTTGCCGTTACACCCAACTACAAAGCACAGCAGAGCATGAGCTAACCGTCATGAAGCTATCTCTCCAAAAACTTTCCGAGAGGTGGCTTTCCGCCGTCGGACCACTGCGAGCTCTGAACAAATTGACCGAAAAGGTCCGGGAACAGGGTACCCTCGACGGGCCCCCACCAGCTCTGGATGTCGATACAGCTTCATTCTTTGAAGGCTTTGACATGAAGCTTTGCAAGCAGTGGAGCTTGATAGGACATACATCCGAGCCAGTAACAAATGCAAGAGCAGAACGCACTTGTACGTTGGCAGAAGTACAAGAAACCGACGATGCGCTACAACCATTTGATGCTCGGCCAGATGAAGCCGTTGATAATTACAATTTTCCTCCGCTCGATACAAATATGGAGACATTTGGTACCAGTTGGGAAGGCTCAGGCTTTGATTGGAGTGGATCTTGGCTGCTAAATATATAATGCCTTTGATATCAGCGACAACAATACAAACATCTCCCAATCAATACCTACTAGGTACTAGTATTCAATTTCTATCCCCTCCATAATTCGGTCTCGCTATCATGATATGCTGCACATTACTCAAATTGTCAACCAAATTTGATTTACGGATGTTCAAGTAACCAAACGATAGAGGCCCGAGATGAATACATATGCCCACCATACATGTATTGAACTCTAACTCAACACGACCCAATAAATTCCAAGGCTCCAAGTTATCATTGACTATCTAGTATTTCTATGAAAATGGGCATCGTACAGTATCTATAGTTTCCCTCTCCTTTCTTTCGTTGTCTCGAGCTCATAATACTGTTTGAAATCATTCAAACAGTCAGGGTTTGCCACAGTGCTACTAATGGTTGCTGGCAGATTTCCAGACGAAACGACCTGTTTAATCAAAGTCTCTATCTTTTTTCCATTGACAGTCATTGGAACTTCCTTGACGCCGATGATGAAGCGAGGGACGTGCTTGCTACTCAACCCTTTGCGGATGGCATCCTTGAGCTCCAAAGCCAGCTGACCGGTGAAGGACTGATCAGATTGCATGACAATGAAGAGAAATACCTCTTCATCGGTATCATGCGGGCGACGTCTTCCAATACACAGCGTGGCCGAAATAACTTTGTTAAATGGCGCAGACTCTGTAATTGAGTAGATATCGGATGATCCGAATCGAATACCCTGTGGATTCAGCACGCCGTCACTAAAATTTTCAGTCAATAAAGAACAATACTTGGAGTCAGAGAGTGTTTCTTGTAAAGCTCACCTCCGACCATGAATTTGCCACCCTTTCGTCAAAGGGTTGTAGCTGGCCCAATCATGTTGAGCCCAGCAATTTTCAAATTTGTCGAAATAGGTTTCCTTGTACTTTGTCCCATTTGTATCTCCCCAGAAAAATACCGGCATGGATGGAAATGGTTGACGACAGATAAATTCACCGTGTTTGCCGGTAGACTTGACCGACTCGCCCGTGATGGGATCTGCAACATCCACATCCTGACCAAGCATAGGCAACTGAATTTCACCAGGATACAACGGCCCAGCTGGGTCAGTTCCAATCCACGAGGTGACCAAGTCTGTGCCACCTGTCACGCTAGTGAGGTGGACACGAGGAGGGAATGCCCTGTAAAACCAGTGATATTGGTCTGCGCCTAGATGAGAACCACCCGTTTGTACCATTCTCAGCGATGAAAGATCAAACTCGTCCTTAGGAATGCATCTGGTCATCTCGAGCTCCTGTAGGTAGCGAGGAGAACATCCCCAATATGAGACACGGTGGTATTCAGCGATCCTCGCCATTCCCTTCGCACTGGGCCATAAAGGCGAGCCGTCGTAAAGAATCAGAGTTGGTCCAACCGATAGGTGACCGATCATGATATTCCAAAGCACCCATGAAGTACTGCTATACTGGAATACAATATCGTCTTCAGTTAAAGAGTTGTGAAGCACAGAGGTCTTTTTGTGCTGTAGTATCACGCTGTGGCTATGCACCAAGCACTTTGGTTGCCCCGTGGTTCCACTGGTATAGAGAATGTAGAGTGGGTGAGAGAACGAAACTCTCTTGAATTCCAGCCCATCCTCTGTTCTTGATTCAGAAAGGAATTCATCAAGACTGGGAAACGCCAGCTCATGCATCCCAGTAATTGGGATCAGGAATACTCGAGGTTTGATCTTCAAAGCTTGCACGATATTGCGAATCTTGTCAACATTGGATCGCATTTTGCCTTTATAGGTCGACTCCCCATCCGCAAGAAGGACTTTAGGCGTAACCTGTTGCAGACGCGATAAACATCCCTGTTGAGCTATGGTCAGAAACTCAAATACCACATGAACAAATGATCGTGTCTTATTCTTACCTCTTCTCCCAAATCCGGCGCAATACTCGTCCAAATGGCGCCAATACTCGCCGTAGCGAGAAAAAGCCCAACCGACCAAACACTAGTGGAGATAATGGCTGCAACTCGATCTCCCTCTCGAACGCCAAGCTGAAGCAGTGCACTTCTCGCTTTGCGTACGTTTTCTCGCAAAAGAGCCCATGTCCACACCTCCCCGTCCAGATCTTGACCTTCGCGAACTCCGATCAGGGCTCTTTTCTTCAAGTCGCGACCGGAAAGTACATTTTCGGCGTAATTGACCTGTGCACCTTGGAAAAACTTAGGAACGTCCTCCATGGGCGTCCTTGCATCGAATGCGGTGGTGATATGAGAGGGCAAAGACGGTATGATTCCAGTGTATTTATGCAGATCGACCCAAAATTCCTGTAGATTTTCCACGGACCACTTGTGTAGTTCTTGAGAAGATTGGAGATTCTGATGGAATTTCCGATTGATATGTGCGCGGTAGATATTCATAGGGATCTCGTCTTGCGGCACGGAAGGCGTCCAGATGGGGCGAGGCTTCGAGACATCGCCCTCGGGCGCAGAATTGGCCATTGTTGCTGACGTGATTTTAAGTAATGATTGGTTTTAAAATCAAGAGATTTGGGAATGGTAAAATTGTTGAGTGGAAACCACTCTCTGCATTAATAGTATGCATCACCGGAAAACGGCACCGGGCAGTATGGGATTCCCCGCATTTTGCGAGTCGCTAGGTCGGATAATAGCTTCAGTAGCCATCCACTAGCAATATGTCCGGTATTTCTCGGTGATCGTCGGTGGGAATCGGTGCGTTTGCTCGGCAAACTAGATGTATCGTCGGCAGACAAAGCGTTAGTGAAGATCGGACCCCGCATATCAGGCCGGAGAAGGGTATAAGACAAGAATGCGAAAGGAAATATGAGCAATACCACCTAAGGGCTTTTGCTTTTTTTGTAACTCGATATGGGAAAGCCACTGTCACACTCTACGGTAGATGGGGGTTTCATCCTCTCGCCTCCTGCTTTAGAAAACCCAGGAACGAACGATCGAGTCTTCCAGCGCATACTTCAATGTACGATCAGCTGTTGCGTGCGTCCTTTTCATACAAGTAGCTAACAGTTTCTTCGTAGGGCATCTCTCCAAAGAGGTTCTCGCACGGATCGCCCCAGAACTGAAATCCTTCGGCTCCGTTGCAATTTCGGACGAAACCAATGCTCTGATCGGAAATGCAGAATCCCAGCCACCATATGTCAAGTCCTACAATGTATGGGGCTCTCGGTATGAAGCAGAAGGCCTGGTTACCGGTAAGGGCTGGAAGGAACTGGGAAAATGGGGCATTAAGCATGGGTAGGTCTGAACGACGAGTAAATGATATTTATACAGCAAGCATACTTATTATCGCGATGAACAGTGTGGTGGGACTTGGCTATGAGGATACGTTTGGTTCATACCGTCGAACCGTTCAGCACGCGTTGTAAGACCGTACCCCTTTCTGCCTCTCTGATGATGTATCCTGATGATATCAATTAGCAACTATTTGTTCTCCGCTTCATCCGCTGCCTACTCCTGTCCAGTCTCAATGACATCAGGCGCTGCGCGTTTAGTCCGAAGCCAACTCCCTGGACTCCCAACTGACCACCCATTTCATGAGCTTTATGCTCGTCTTATTGCTCGGGAAAATAACTGGATCTCTGCACAATGGATGACCGAGCGACCAGGAGGCAGTGATGTTCGCAACAGCGAGACTGTTGCCACGTACTCGCCATTGTCTTCCAAGACCGGTCGCTTCGGCAACATGGAAGAAGGCGACTATCTACTTTCAGGCTTCAAATTCTTCTGCAGCGCAACCGACTGCGACACGGTATTGCTACTAGCAAAGACTGAGTCAGGAGAGCTCTCACTATTCGTGGCACCGACTACTAAATCCGCCAGGGATCCAGCTACCGGAAAAACAAAAAAGATATCCAACGGTATTCGCATCCATCGTCTCAAAACCAAAATGGGCACGAAAGAACTGCCAACAGCAGAGGTCGAGCTTCGCGACGTACGGGCACACCTTATAGGTCCCAAAGATCGCGGTATCGCGACAATTGCGTTATTGTTGAACGTCACTCGCACCCACAACTTCATCACGGCGTTATCGTGTCTTCGTCGTGCTATGGATATCGCAAAGGCCTTTGCCAAATCTCGGACCACGATTGACCAGTCGCTCTGGACCTTCCCCATGCACTTGAATGTGTTGGCGCAACTCGAAGTCAAGCACCGTGGTTGGATGCAGCTTGCCTTTTTCACTTCCTCGCTGTTGGGTTATGTGGACAATGGATTCCCAGAGAATGCGCCTGAGGTATTTTCGGTTCTTGCAAATAATTCCAGGACTGCGAATGTCGTTTTGCGCGCATTTACTTCGACGTCTAAGGCTGTTATATGCAAGTCGGCTACACTGGCTTTCCAGGAGTGCCAGGAAGCAATGGGGGGCGTGGGCTACATCGGTAAGACTGATCACTCCCTCCTTTCTCTTGGGATGATGAGATACTAATATTCAATCTTCAAAGACGAGCCCGATGAACCTGAATTCAACGTGAGCCGCCTATGGCGAGACACCGCGAGCAATAGCGTCTGGGAGGGCACTACCAATGTTCTCGCCAGCGAAACAGTGCGCCATCTGACCAAGGGACAGAACCTAGACCTCTTCGATGAATGGATCAACAATGCCATCGGTCAGGTATCCAACAGTGCCTACCGAGCCACCTTGCAAAATGTATGGCGTCAACTCAAAGATCGCCTGGAATCTGGTCGCGACGAGCGCGCACTGTCTCATGTCCTAGGGGTCGCCCGTCAAATTATTTTTACACTTTCTTGGTTGGTGTGTGGAACTCTTCTCTCTCTGGATTCCCAGCGAGACAATGATAGGGTTGCTCTCGAGGTTGCCAGGAGGTGGGTATTGGAAGGCGAGGGAGTGCCGGGGGAATTTGCTTTCACCGAACTCATCTTCCAAAGATCGGCTACGGCTCAAGATGAAAAGCCAACCGGCCGTGCGCGTACTGAGCTGGATTGCCGTATAGTTTGGAACGTGGATCTCCCGTCGGATGCTTCTTTGGGATACCGGGCAGCCAAGATTTAATGAGCCACATACTAATTGTACTAGTATTAAACCTCGGAAGTCATATTATCAAGTCTACCTAGTTATTGCTAGCACTACTAGTCGTACTAATATTGGTAAAGTCATACTAATATCATGATATCACACTACTACTAGTACTGCTTTAAGTCGAATGTAAACTGGTATCTAGTACGTACTAACACAATTTGATTTCATATCAATTTTTTCACTAGCAAGTTGCCATATACATTTTCCTGTATACAAATGCTCTGGCTGAGGCCCAAGGCTTACAATTTCGAGCTGGCAGTCTGCAAAGAGCGATGACCCGAAGCCCGTTGAGCCGGTAATTCAACACCCCATGCAATTCTGCAGTCCCACTGGAGATGCTTCTCGCCATCCAAATCGCTGCTACGACCGTCCTGGACCGTGACAATGTCATGGAAAACATTGTCCCCAACACCACCTTCTGCGTCCAAAACCCAGCGTCGGGCAATTTCCGTAGTGACGGTATCATTATCGCGCTCCGCATCTAGAGCCAGGAGTGCACCGCACATAATCCAAGCAAGAGTGAACATGTAGCGTCGTGCATCAGCCAGAACAGCCGCAGGCGAACGGCTCTTCGGAGAAAACCTTTTCTGCAGCGCTGACCACGCACTGATCAAAGTAGGCCGGATGCTCTCTGCACGAATCGACCCCAAGATTCGATCAAGCCAAGCAGCGAATATCTCTAGATTGTTTCCCTTGATGAGGAAGCGGACCATTTCACTCGCTAGGACATTTGTAGTTCCTTCCCAGATCGAGTTGACTGCGGTATTTCGGAGAATGCGCGAGATATTGAACTCGGGCTCGTCTGCCTCGTCCATATAACCCACACCACCCATAGCTTCCTGGCATTCCTGGATGCCCAGAACGGACATCTTGCTCACGACAGCCTTTGCCGTGGCGGTTAGGGTGCGAAATACGACATTTGCTTCTTTACCTGGGCGGGGTAAGTGTGCTAGCTCTGAAGGCCGAGAGACCTTATTTTCCACCAGACCCATCACAGCAACGGTGAAAAAGGCGAGGTTCATACCACCGCGGTGCTTGACTTCCAAGTCAGCCAGGAGTCGCAGATGCATAGGGATTAGCCACAGAGGCTCTCCAACGGTCGATCGGGCCTTTGCGAAGCTTTTCGTGATGCTTAGCGCGCGGCGCCAGCCGGATAGAGAGCCGACGAATGTGTGAATGCGAGTCACGTTGAGAAGAGGTGCGATGGTGATGATACCCTGATCGACTTCGCCGACAAGATGGGCCCTCATATCCTTCAACTCTAGCTCGGCGGTTGGCAGCTCTTTCGTGCCAAGCTTATTCTTCAGTCGATGGATTCTCACGCCGTTTGACACCTGACGAGAAACGCCATCCTCTCCGATCACTGTTCGGCGCAGCGGGGCGAGGAATGTACTCAGTTTTCCTGATGGGGTCTTGGCCAAGAGAAGTGCGACATTGGCATCAGTGGCGGAGGAGAAGAACTTGAATCCATTGATCAGGTATTCTCCCTCTCCCAATGCATCCACGCCCGCAGACGTTGCGAGTGGCGAATGCGTCGCCCAGGTCTCGGTATTCTGAACATCGCTTCCTCCAGCTCGTTCGGTCATCCACTGACCTGATGTCCAATGGTCATTTGTTTCCGAGGTGAGCCCTTTGAATACCGTGTGAAATGGGTGGTTTGCGGGCAATTCTTTCAGTCTAGGTGCAAGAATAAAAGCAGCACCGTCGGTCATACTGATCGGGCAGGAATAAAGACCCGACGAGGGGGCATATAGATAGTTCCTAAAGAATAATCAGTTAATATGCGAAGAATTCTCCGTCTTCCTCTGGGGTATTATCATTCTTACAGCGCATATTGTACGGTACGTCTCTCAAGTCCAAAGGCGGGATTGTAACCGGCGGACACTATTTTATTGCGAGCGCCCCAATGGCCCAGCTGCTTCCAGCCCTCAGTTGTCACAAGTCGGTCATAGTCGTATCGTTTACCCCAGACGTTGTGACTTTTGACGTAGGGCTGGTTGCGTTCGGCATCGGCAGTCCACTCACGCACCTGGTCAGAGACAGCTTCGGCACCGAGTTGGGTGAAGTGAGACTCGGTAGATCGTAGTGTGCTCGATGGAAGATACCCTAGCACAAGTCAGGATACGGAACTTCTTTTCAGAATCTAAACAAAACCAAAACCTACATTGCAACGACCGCTGAAGACTGATATCGGACGTGTAGGTGTTATCCAACGCGGCCGGTTGAGTGATGGACCCGCTCTCCGCCGTCGCGGGCTGAGGAGGGGAGGGCATCGTGAGGGAAGTAAGTGGTATAAAGGTTTATTGTCCTGGATTTGAAGATTCTGGGCGGACAAGATATTTAGAATGATGAATTAAAAGGGAAAATCCGGGGTAGAAAGGAGGGGAAACTTGGACTTGAAGGAGGTTGGCACATTCTGGGGTTCAAATGTGCCTCGGCGTTCGGCTGCGACGGCGCTGGGAAGAGTGAACTGATCCACAACATCAACAGTAACAGCCACTCGGCCATGAAGATCTTGGAGATCCTGACAAACTAAAAATCGCCGTAATATCGCCGAACTAATTTATGCAGCAATCAAGATTATGCATCATGGTAGATCAGAGCAGCATCCAAGCTGCGGCCACCCCTTACGCCAGCGATTATACGTACACATTAATGAGCAGAAAGCCTCCCATGTAAATGAAGAAGAAGAGAAAAAGCAGCAGCAGCCCGCGGTGATAATACGCCCAGTCATTCACTTTTCAACCCATACTTCTGTCATGTTTTGTTTTGATCATCAAGCCCCCGACCCATTCACATTTCATGCATGGTATTATATCCAGTCTCCAGCAGACTGCGCGGTCCCCGCGAATCAGAGGTGATGTGCCAGTAGAAAAGTCCACCCAGCTTCGACGAAGTCACAAACCCTGCCTTTTGCTGCACTGTCGCGGGGGTGTCATACGTGACAAATCCGCCATCACCACCAACACAGTATGCGGCCCCAGCTCTTTCATCATATATTTCTTCTGTTCCCGGGCGAGGAAGATCACTATAATCGAAGACGCCGTCCTCTCCACCGTGGCCAGCATAGCGCTGGCCTGGTCCGGTACATCCAAGGAACGAACGCCCGTAGACTGGAACTCCGAGGATAATCTTACGGGAGGGAACGCCCTGCATGAGTACGTAGTCCACCGATGAATATCCGGAAATAGGTGAGCCGTGAAGTTGAGCCTGGTGGTTTGCTTCCGACTCCCAAGGTCCGCAAAAATCATAAGTCATGAGGTTGATCATATCCAAATGTTTCTGCGCAGCACCCAGGTCGATATGGCGCAAGAACCACTGGCTGGCTGGAAGCGCGGTGGCTAGAACATATCGTGGAGCTGGTAACGCTTCTCGCAATTTGGAAAGCAGACGAACGTAATCTTTACCTTCCTTCGAATTCGCAGGATGTTCCCAGTCCACTTTAGTTACAGGTTAGCATTTGAGGTGCTTGCAGCGCCATATTTTCCGAGAAGACAAGGAAGAGGTATGTTAATGGAATGGAGTCAAGACTTACCATCGATGCCGTCCAAGCCATATTGATCAACCAGTTGCCGAGCACTGCGGACAAATGTTTCCAACTTGGTCCGACTGTGAGCAGTAGCAGCAAAGTGCTCACTTCCTTTTCCACCACCGCCGACAGAAAGAATAACGCGCATCTGCGAATACTGTTGTTTTAATTGGACAAAGGCGCGGAGACAGCCCTCGGCTCCATCGACAGCCATCTGCGTGTCAGCCCATTCGTCACTCAACTGTAACTCCGAGTTAGCCAAGAAATTCTTATCATCAGATATGGAGTCAGCACGAAATAGGTGGGTAATCTTACGTAGACTGTGCCATCTTCTTTTACCCTGCAAGGATTCCAGATCGAGGTTAGCGCCCTGGATCGAAGTATAGGATCGGATTGGGGGAAGATTAGACTACCAAGCAAACGCATAGAACACATGAGATACAAACCCCAATCGTAGCGACGAAGGAGGCTGCTTGCGATAGATGCGCCAGTTGGGGTAGTAGGCGGCGTTTGTGTACAGCGGCACCTGGTATGAGGCGGCGTCGGGCGCGGGGTCAACAGGCCGCCGGCGAAAGATGTTGCTGGCTGCAGAGAACATTCCAGAGAGGTTGACAGGAAATGACCTGGAGACGAATGCCGTAATTTGATGGGGGTAAGAATCAAGAGGAAGAGAAGAATTGAAGTGAAAAAAAGAGAAAGAAATTCAGAAAAGAAAAGAAAAGAAAAACAATCCCCCCCAAAACACTTGCAGTTGCCCGTTCAGGAAGGCGTCACGTGTGGCAACTTTTTTATTTGCGGGGGAGAGGATATTGTGTGCATTTTCAAGTTTTACATGGGATTTCTCGGCATTTATTCATTTCAGATCTGATTTGATCTGTGATCTGATCGGAACCAGCGCTCAATTAATCTAGGAATAGCTTGATCATGGCCATAGCGGGGCATTCTCTGCCGGGCCCCCCCTCTTACTCTTACTCACGCGCACACTCTATTTCTCTCATCTGCCACTCTTCCCAGGACCAATCGCCGCCATTGCCGATCCTAGTACTTTCCATTACCAAAGAGCTACCCAAGTACCCGTCTCACCTTGCGGCCAAACCGCACATTGACCTGAAAATCTGGGGGAAGAGAGGCCCTGAGAGCCCAGAACATCGGGCACCGCCCTCTCTTCCCCATATGACGTGGGGTGCCAATCCAGCGCAAAACCCACTCGTCAGCGCCATTGGGCGGCCGCCAATTCGCCCGCTGCATGTATGCATGTATTTAGCGCATGCAGCTGAGCCCCTTGTCTTTGGGGATTCGCGCGGATCAGAACCGATCGACACGCAGGCAACCCTTCCCGCAAACGTGTGAATCTCCTTCCAGCCGCGGATACTGCGTCAAAAAGAGCTGTGTCCAGCAAAGTGCGCCGATCAAGGCTGCGTTTCCTGGAGATGGATAGTCTCGGGCTAGGCCTCCGAACGCCACGCTGCCCCGGTTTTGTTTGCTTATTCCACGCTCAGTCCGCTCGGCGCGACTGCTGGATTGGCCCGCGCTATGTATTATTCAGAGTGAGGCGGTGCGTAGAGGGGTCACTCGGTCGAGTGACCCCCCTATTCCTTTCTCCTTGCTCCACGTCTTCTGATCAGATGGACGAATAAGGTCGATACTGTAGTAATCACATCGCCTTCAAATGCCCGGCGTCTGGAGCTTCCAACCCCCTTTGTTCTTTTGCTGAGGGTGGGGATGCGAACGATGCAAATTCTGAAAACATGACAGCGAATGATATTCCGACCATACTAATCACAACGCTTTCTACCGGGCGCCGTGGCCACCCCGCCCCCTTTCATGAGTATGATAGAGACGGCAACAATGGGGCACAGCTGCCTATCCTTATTCCTCTGCCTAGTTTCACGAGCAGCTGAGTTACTAGGATCATAACAAGCTCCATCAACGTGCATGCAGCTAAATTTCACCGGGCCCGACGGTGGTGGCACATTTCGGTTGACTTTCCAATGGCCCCTTTGCCCCCCAGCGAAGAAGTCCATACTTCCACAGTGGCAATCCATGCCTTGAACGGCAAGCATGGGCTGGGGATTTTGTTTGTCCTCGAGACGAGCCATGGAAGAAGCAGCCAACATGATTTTAGATGGTGACTGCGGCAAATTTGGAGATCAATTGGAATAGACACGCAACTTTGAACAAGTGGCCATACTTTTGTTCTTTGGTCCATATCCATACCTGTTTGGTTCAGGTTACATGACAAGTCTATCCTACCATGGTAATCGTCCATGTACTGAATTATGCGGGAGTCCATATTGGTAGATGGTTAAAGCGTGCAGGTTGAGATGATTGGCGCGAAGAAAACTTTTCCAAACCACTACAATGGCAGAATATGCCACCGTAGATCCATAAGCCTAGTTTGGACCTGGGAGGACTTCCGAGTACTTGGTAGCTGTGAGGTATCGGGTCTCCTACAGATATCAGTCCACCTGATTAACGAGTGATCCAAACTTACGACCAGACGCAACAAATATCTTTTTATTGTTGAAATGATCGGGCCATGGGCATCCTCAGTCGAATAAAATCCATACCTGATCTGCTATTTTCTCAGCGGAGAAATAGACAAATCGATCTAAGTTCTATGCTGACAATTTTGTGGTTGCTGTGGCTCTTAATATGCTTGGTATTCACCGGGTCGGAATGATAGCGTAATCCCAAAACCAAAAGCAGTCCAACCGGCTGGATCATTTCATCTTTCCTACACGCATATCATACTAATCAAAAAAAACGAACTGATCATTATCGGGTTCTTTATGAACAGAGAAAAGAATGTTCGAGCCCGAGGTAATATTTTTGTGGCTACCAAATAAAGCTATATTCATCACTCCCCACCGCAATTTGTAATACAGTGATAGGAGCTCCTAGAGAAATACTTACTTAAAGGCTGTAAAGTCTGCACTCAGTCCACTAATTTTATCCAACAATCCAACAATCCAAAAATACAGCAAATCATCATGTCAGGAGAACTCATTTTCATCACTGGTGCCACGGGCTTCATCGGGAGCGCCACTGCTTTGACCGCGCTCAAGGCGGGGTATCGACTACGCATTTGTTTGCGAAAACCGTCCACAGAACTTGAAACACTATTTTCCGATTACAAGGAGCATATTGAATATGTCACGGTCGCGGATCTCAGCGACGAAAGCGCCTTCAGTGGGAAGCTTGATGGAGCGGACTATGTTTTCCATCTAGCCTCCCCACTGCCTCACGGCACGAACAAGGATACCTACTTTGCTCCCGCAGTCAAAGGTACAACAGCTATTCTCCACGAAGCGGCAAAGGTACCGAGCATCAAGAAGGTGGTCGTCACAGCATCCATGGCTTCTCTGATGCCTCTGGCCGGCGTCCCTGATGGTGGCATCACCAAAGGTCAGCATTCCCACTGTATAGAACTGCTCGAGGGGAAATCAATCTAACACTTATTCAGAGGACAACGATTGGGATCTCAGCGTCGATGAGACTGCGGACTTCAACAATCCCGCCGATCCAGCTGGAACAGCATTCAAACTCTACCATGCGTCCAAGTTACTGGCCAACAACGCTACGTGGGAATTCTGGAGAAACTCAAAGCCCCATTATTCCCTGGTGTCTCTTCATCCATCCTTTGTCCTCGGACACAATCTTGTCCAGACTTCCGCCAAAGATGTCGAAAAGGGATCGAACGCTGGGCTATGGCAGGGCATCATGGGAGGCGTGGCTACCCCGATGGTGACTGGTGTACATATCCAAGATGTTGCAGACGCCCACATCAAAGCCTTGAGTCCCAGTGTTGCAAATGGCTCAAAGTATCTTCTTTCAGGAAACAAAACAAGTTGGAAGGAAATCGCCCAGATTGTGCTTCGTGACTATCCCAACCTAGGAGCGAAGATCACTGTCGATCTGGAAGGAGAGTCTATGGCGATGGACACCAGCAAAGCAGAGAAAGAATTGGATATTAAATGGCGTTCTTTTGAGGAGATTGTTCATGACTTGTTGGATCAGCAACTTGGATTCAGTGAAAACTCGAATTAGGTAGAACTTGACTCGGGAAGTGTGATAAACTTGAAATCGCTATATAGTATTTGCATACCTAGGTAGATGGTTGCGGAATCGTAATACAAATTTGACTTCAGAACAACCGTGGAAATCGAAAATTACGTAGCTCCCAGCGAATTAAGTAGACCCAAGGTCAAATTTCCAGACCTATAAGAACTACCCAAAGAATTAATAATATTTTCCCCGGATACTAGTAGAAGTTTCTAGTTGTCGCCTTTCGAGGCGCTGACCGAGGCGGGTGCAAACCGAACAAACACCGCAATTCTGGAGTTCGGGCAAGTTGCCCAGCTCTTGAGAAACTTGAAATCGCGTGGCTCCATCATCTTCTTTCCATTCACCGTCGCTGCACGCCTTGCTTTACCACTTTCTCCTGGAGAGATCCCAAGGGGCTGTATTTCCCAGAACCACCAATATAACAGGTCCAAAACCATCCTGCAACATCCGGGAATCCGAGACACGACATCCTTGAATCCCCGCAAACACCTCCAGCTCTACAACTCCTCCGAGTTAGAGTTACGATCACATCACATCATGGCAGCAGACGTTCAAAGTACAGCGGCGCAGATTCTATCAGCCGAGCCAACACGCGACCCAAGCTACAACGAATTCACCTTCTCCCCCTTCCTCCGCAAGAGCTTTGGCTTCGGTCTCGCTAGCGATGTCCCCGTTTGCAAGGCCTACGGTGAAGGCCATTGCCCCCTCGGACCAGCCTGTCCAGACCGACACCCTACTCCCTCACGAGTGACAACCTCTACAACGACTGCCTCCGGGCTAGCACCATCCACCACACACGGGTCCCTCGTCTGCAAACATTTCCTGAAGGGGCTATGCAAGAAGGGCGTGAAGTGCGAGTACCTGCACGAGTATAACCTTCGACGCATGCCGGAGTGTCAATCCTTCTCGCGATCTGGATACTGCCCCAACGGCGACGACTGTCTCTACCAGCATGTGCGCGAGGAGGCGCGCCTCCCACCGTGTGAGCACTACGACCGGGGTTTCTGCGAGCTGGGCCCCCTTTGCGCGAAGCGACACGTCCGGCGCCGACTCTGCATGTTCTACCTAGCTGGGTTCTGCCCAGAAGGCAAGGCGTGCGCCAACGCGCATCCGCGGTGGACGGAGAACCTCCCGCGACCGACGATGAAGACGGAGAAAACGGAGGAGGAACTGGAACACGAGCGGGCGTTGATTCGGGAGGAGCAAGAGCGCGAGAAGGAGCGGGAGCGTGAATGGAGGAGTGAACGAGGTCGTGGTGGGGGGTTCATGCGGGGCCGGTATCGTGGTCGAGGAAGGGGATAAGTCGGTGAAGCCACATTTTTCTGCGGTCATGCATTTTGGAACGGTGCCAGAGGTGTTTCCTATTTTGGCTCACAAGCGGGGATGATTTTTCTTTTTTTCCTTCCAACTTTTCTTTCTTTTCTGGGTTGGTGTGTTTTGACTTTTATGTTATTCTGTTTCTGTCAGTCCATCGATTACGATTTGATGGACCTCGAGATACCCATATGATTTATTTACGAGGATCTACATACAATTAATGGAGTACCTCTTTACCAACACACACGCAGCTTCTATCCTAATTTAAGCGGTGGTCCGGACGACTTCTAAAATTGGAGCAACACTAAGGTAGAGAGTGTTTAGTACACAATTATTGTCCACAGTAAGCAGCCAGACTTGCCCCGCCGAAGTCAATTGGTCGGTCCCTGCATGCCACAATTTGGTACTCCGTAATCGCCAGATTGTTGAATGAGATCAGATCTAGACGGGACTGGCGCGGTATTCATCTCTCGGTTCGAATGGTTGAATCGTCCAGCTCGAGTCATGTTCCATGCCATGGGAGTCATGACATCATGGTCTTTCTGCGCACGATATTGGGGCAACTAATTGCGAGAGATGAGCATCCCTCTCTCACTCTGCCTCCTCTCATCTCGCTGATTCCAGACTAAAAAAACGCACTGTTGATTGTAGGCGCATCACTGGCTTGGCAATCAGGGTCCCATTTGTCAGAGATCGGTCAGACTCGACAAAGCTGTCTTCACTAGCGTTACGAGTCCGTGTAAATCCGGGTGGAGACCAGCATATCCGAATAGCCAATCATAAGATGAATTGACCTCTGTCATCGATTACTGATGCTGCTTTGGTGAAGCTTTGCAAGCCATAACTAATCGTTTCTGGCGTGAAGATGGCGTGTACCAGTGGGAGGTTGGGTTTCCCTGTTCTCTTCGGGGTTTCCTATTTAATTCCCCCCTCCCCACTGTAGCATTTGGTCTTTTTTTTCTAATCCTTATCCCCTCCATTCTTCAACTCTATTCATCATGGCTCCCAAGGTTGCTATCGTCTTTGTATGTCTCATCCCACTGCTTCTTCTCAAAGCTCCTCATTAAAGGTAACTAACTTGCCTTCTCTACAGTACTCCCTCTATGGCCACATCGTCAAGCTGGCCGAGGCCGAGAAGAAGGGCATTGAGTCCGCTGGCGGCCAAGTCGACATCTACCAGTATGCTTCCCCTCACTGATGTACATTCACAATGACCCAGCCATTGACCTTCTACCCCTCCCCCTTGCAGGATTGCTGAGACTCTCTCTGATGAGGTCCTGACCAAGATGCACGCCCCGGCCAAGTCTAGCTACCCCATTGCGGAGCCCGATACCCTCCTGCAGTACGATGCCGTCCTCTTCGGTATCCCCACTCGCTACGGTAACTTCCCCGCCCAGTGGAAGACCTTCTGGGACAAGTCCGGAGGTATCTGGGCTACCGGTGGCTACTGGGGCAAGTATGCCGGTCTCTTCATCTCGACCGGTACCCCCGGTGGTGGCCAGGAGTCCACTGCCCTTGCTGCCATGAGCACCCTTACTCACCACGGCTTCCTCTACGTCCCTCTGGGCTACAAGACCACCTTCGCCCAGCTGTCCAACCTCAGCGAGGTTCACGGTGGTAGCCCCTGGGGTGCCGGTACCTTCGCTGGTGCCGATGGTTCCCGCCAGCCCAGCGCTCTCGAGCTCGAGATCGCTGAGGCTCAGGGCAAGGCCTTCTACGAGACCGTCGCCAAGGTCAACCACCAGTGACTGCATGGTAGTTCCGAGTCGAAGCCCGAGGACTCGGCTCCTGCAGCTGGCGCAGCTGCTCCGACACAGAAGTCGCAGGAGCCCGCTCAGCAACAGGAGACTGGCCAGAAATCCAAGAAGGAGAAGGACAGCGAAGGACCGTGTGGTTTGCCTAAGAAGTGTACCATCCAGTGATGGGGGTATTCGGCTTGGCTCGGCTTTCCTTTAACCTGTTTCTTTTCCTTGCGGATTCCTGCGGCGTTCTCGCGGCGTTTCGATATTTCATGATTGATATGATGGGTTCCTGATTGTCCTCCTAGAGGACCTACTTAAATGAAATCTTAATAGATGCAGAATACAAATTCCTCGTCTAATAAAGTCACAAATTCTATCGTAAACCAAATACCTTGCTGAGCACATGATTCTTTTTTGATTGTGATCTTCTACTATACTTGAATTTGAAAACAAATAAAGACCATGGATATTACTTATCTAGTTACTCCCTTCGACTAGGTTCTATAAGGTACTGTGAATGGTAATAACATTACCAATCAAACACACTTGGAGTGTTTTATTCCGCTTGGGCGGATTGTCACCGCCTTACCGTCTGACAATACCGCCCGCCTGTGACGTGCCTCGTAGGAAGCTCCGACGCCGCCAGCTTCACCACATCTCCGCTCTCTTTTCTTCGCGCCATGCTTTGTTGGTGATCATCGACTTAACACCTTCAAATAATCATCCCACTACGTTTATCTCGGCTTATTGTCTCTGATAGCGCCCGCCATGGCGTCGCGACCAATTCTCCTACGCTTTGAGAGTCGGAACGGCCAGTTTCGATTCACCGTCAACCCGGAGGACTCATTTCCTTCGCTCCAAGAAAAGGTAAAGACAAAAATGACTGATCTCTGAGCTGCGCTGTTTCAAGAAGACCCCAAATCCTGGGATCTGAAGGCTCATACGAGATTCCATGTAGATTGTCGAACATTTGCCGTCAAATACCGAACCGACTTCCATCACTCTGTCGAACAAGCCGATAGGCACCGGCGGAGAGGAACGAGAGCTCGAGGCTCTGAAGGGGGTCGCGATCAGTCAAGTTGGCCTGAAGTATGTACAGCGAGTGGGGATTGTAATCCTATCGGGCGTGACTGACCAGTATGAACAAGACATGGAGACAAGCTCTTCATTGGGTATCAAGAGCGTACTGCCCACCAGAATGGCCCGTCTAACGGCATCACACCTCCTACCGGCGAACGTCGATTAAATGGCTCCGCTGCCCCCAAAGAAGAGACCATCCCAATTCGCCCACAACCAACTTCTCCTACAACAAATATCAAGAACCCGTGGGATGTGGTTAAACAGTCGCCGCTAGATGATCTGCTGGATAAGAAAGATGGCAAGATTAAGCGCAACCAAGACCAGAAGATGTGCAGGCATGGACCTCGCGGCATGTGCGACTATTGCATGCCGTTGGAACCTTACGACAAGAATTATATGGCCGAAAAGAAGATCAAGCACCTTTCATTCCACTCCTACTTGCGAAAGATCAATGCCGCTACCAACAAACCCGAGGCCGGGAGCTCTTTCATGCCACCACTCAGTGAGCCTTTTTACCGCGTACGGAGTGACTGCCCGTCTGGACACCCACAATGGCCCGAGGGAATTTGCACCAAGTGTCAGCCGAGCGCAATTAGTCTGCAACCCCAAGAATACCGTATGGTTGACCACGTCGAATTCTCCTCTCCCGACTTGATCAACTCGCTCTTGGACTTCTGGCGAAAATCCGGCGCTCAACGTCTGGGATTCCTTTACGGAACTTATGAGGAGTACACCGAAGTTCCCCTGGGCGTCAAGGCTGTCGTCCAGGCAATCTACGAACCTCCGCAGGTCGGAGAGGTGGATGGTGTTACTCTGCATGAATGGCAGAATGAAAAAGAGGTAGATGAAGTCGCTCGTCTCTGTGGTCTACAGAAAGTCGGAGTGATCTTCACTGATCTCCTCGATGCAGGTCAAGGGGATGGTTCCGTGGTTTGCAAGCGACACATAGATTCCTACTACCTATCTTCGCTGGAGATTGCGTTCGCCTCGCGCTTACAGGCCCAGAACCCCAAGGCCACCAAATGGAGCCGCACAGGACGATTCGGTTCTGACTTCGTCACATGTGTGCTCAGCGGCGACGACACAGGCGCCATTGCCGTGAGCTCATACCAAGCCACAGTGTCGGCAGTGGAGATGACTCGAGCCAATATCACCGAACCATCCGCAGAGCCCTCCGTTATGCTGGTGCAATCAGAAGACGACGACGATGAAGGTAGCAAGACACGGTACATTCCAGAGGTATTTTACCGCCGCATCAACGAATATGGCGCAAGCGTACAAGAAAATGCCAAACCAAGCTTCCCCGTCGATTTCCTGCTGGTCACACTTACACACGGTTTCCCCACCGAGTCATCACCCCTTTTCACCAATAGTCGTTTCCCCATCGAAAACCGCGAGGCCATCGGCGAGAGCCAGGAACTACGTCACATCGCCCAGAAGCTCATGTCGCCGAGCGACCCCAACAAGGCCATCGAGGGCGTTTCCGACTTCCACCTCCTCTGTTTCTTGCACGGACTTTCGACTTTTAGCAAGGTTAGTCGAGCTCTTGCAACATTCTCTTCCCGGCGATTCTCTTGAAGTCAGTATCCCAATTAACATAACACAATAACAGGACGAGGAGGCCCTTCTTTGCCGAGTCGCAAGAACACACGCCGCGGCCGATGGAATGCAGCTGTTGAATACGTCTGGCTGGGCAACATTGATGACGATCCTTCAGGAGAGTGGTGAGCGGCCCCCTAAGCGCCCCTGGCCCACTGCGGTCGAATCTTTTCGTTCGGATTCCCCTAGTGGGAAGCGGCGGTATCCCTCCCCCGCTCCCCTTCTTTCCCGCTCTATGTCTCCCAAGTCCGACAGTGATCAGCTTGCTAAGAGGTTTAAGGGAGCTAGTCTAGATTGATTGGCTTTTCATCCCGTCCGTCGCTCGGTTGATCTTGTGCATACACGCCCATTTCTTTTTTCCTTTCGATATCCTCCGCCGAATCCCGCCACCTACCATTGGGAACTATTCGATACAAATCCCGTTCGCATAATCCTTACTCTAGTCCAGCTCGGCATGGAATGGACCTTCGATAGCGTTGGGAGTCAATGGGCTGTGGTGTTATGCATCATGGGAGACGTGATGGGCAGGCGGACTTTCTCTTTCTAGCATTGTCATTGGGGGTTTGATGAAGAGTTGCGATTTGCTTTTCTGGTTTGGCATGGCGTGGCCAAACCATCATTATGGATGAAAGCGGGTACATGAATTTTTTTTAAGGCATAAAGATGAGGTTCAATTATTTCAATACTAGTGAGACGATGACTACTTCAAACAGCAAGCACGACAGTGTGATCAAAATGGATTGAAAAATTCCGATAATGAAAAGTGTGTAGATCCCGAAAGCAATCATGTAGCAGTTCGATGGAAATTATGTGTTGGTGCAGAAAGTCACCGAATATCCAACAAGATCAAATTAATTGTAAAAAAGTAGATGGTATTTGAAGATCAAGGCATGCTTTGATCGCGTGCTTCGTATGTCAGATCAACCCTGAACTCCATGAATCATAAATGGAATCATTAAACTCGTCAAATAGAAAACAAGGACGGAGCAGACGAAAGGGATCATTTGTGTGCCCGACTAGCTTCGACAATTTCTCTCAAGCGCTTCTCCAATACTTGCCGGCCTTGACCACTGGTCCACACCTCATGGGGTGCGTCATGAACCACATCCCAAGAGACAAGCTTATTGGTAATGTGAGAAAGATCCTCCTGACGCTCAGCCCAAACAGGATCCCTTTTCACCTTCTCACCAGAACTGACAACAACCAGCGGAGTCTCTCCCATCTGAATATGACGAGCAGATTGAACCTCAGCCGCAGTCATGGTAACAGCAACTAGATTCTCCTGCAGCTTTGCCTTGATAAACTTGCCTGTTTGATAAGCAGATCTTCCAATGACTCTATCTTCTCTGGTCCGACCGCGAATAATAGCGCCCGCAAGACGATCAAGTCCCAAGGGCGAGACGACACCACGAAGCCAAAGCATAAATCCCCGGCCCGGTCGACCGATCGAATCGAGATATGCTTCGTGCAAAGGGTCGATCAGGAAAATACCGCTCACCTCGAGCAAATGCCGGCTGGAAAATAGACGAGAGTAGAGACTGCCGACTCCAGCAGAAACAACGACCCAGGGCCCGGTTTCATCGGCCAGAGCCAGTGCTTCGGACAGAACATCTACCGACATTCCTGCGGAATGGGGAGATGGTGCATTCTCTGACCATCCCAGTCCTGGCCGATCCCAGTAGCAATATCGACTGATGATGCCGCTTTGGTACGCGTCATCGATAAATGGTTGGAGGCTATGCTCGACAGGACCGCCACCACCCTCGAGTAATATGGTGGGCTGGTCCGGATCTTCAACTGTACGATTACCAACACAGTTGAGATGAACATTATATGTACCCCCGTAGACGCTATAGAGCTGTCCCTGGGGCACCAGTGATGCATCGCGGGCACGCAGAATTAGGGTAGCGGTGAAGAGGACGACAACAAGACCCATAACGATCAAGAAGATCATTTCGCATAGCACGGCGAGCCATTCACGCAGCGATCGTCGAGTTTCTTCGCGCCCGGTCAAACGTTCTTCTTCCTCGCGCTTGCCCCACGTAACAGTTCTGTTCTGCACGACTTGATATAAAGAGATCACCGTGGCCCAGACAACGGAAGCGATTCCCACGCCGCCTTCTTCCCGACGGATATGTGGAACGGAAACGATAATGATCATGTTGACCAAGAGGAGGAGGGAAAGGACAAGACCCCAGATGGTCTTCTGCTTAGAAGGCACCGTAAAGAACAGCAGACCAAGCACGAGGTATCCAACGGCGAGAGTTGTGTAGGAGAATGCGAAGAAACCCGATCCGCGGGTGTGTATCAGCGGCGGAGTAACGAATATTGACACCAAGAGGAAAGTCCACCAGACAAAGCTGATACCAAGGGCGATGAGGGATAGGGCTCGCAGGGCGCGCACGCTCCATAAGTTGTAGGGGGAGACCTGGGAATCTTAGCTTTTTCTCTTCCTACCGTTTCTGCAGAGCAATACATACCGCGGGATCATCTGGACTCAGGTAATTATGACTGTCCTCCCGTGGGAGTAGGCGCGTCTGTTCGGTAGGTTCCTGGTGGCGAGCTCGGATTTGTTCATCATCGTCATTGTCATCGTGGTCCTGCGACTGTTGTCGATCAGGTTCGCCTCTTTTCGCGCCCCATAGGGAGACCATTCTCGCTGATAGACTGCGATATGACTTGAGGAATATAAGAGGAGGAAACGCTAGTAGAAAGAAAGAAAGAGAGAAAAGAAGCCAGCCATCCTTGCCAAATGTACAAATTCATGGAACCGAACGAACTAGGAACGAACGATGATCGGCGCGATAAGATATGACGTCATGCACTTGACCCCGGAACCGGGGTACCAGCTCCATGGTAACACTAACTATACCAGACCTACTGGATTTAAATTATCGAATATCTAGGTAATTCTTGTGTCAGGGAAGACGGTGGAAGTGAAGATTTCAGGATATCTTGGACTAACCCCTTTTTGTCCGTTAACTTATTCTCTAGGCGCAAGATCTCGAGCTATGTGTATTCCTTTTTTCTGATTTTAGTCGGGGGAGGGGTTACGTTATGCATCCTAGCTCTTGCGTTGTCTTCCCAATAGGTTTGTAGGCAACCCCACGTATGCGTACGTAACACTGAGTCTGGAAGTAGTAGCTGATGACATTTTGAGGGACCTGCCCGTAGCTAGTGAGATAACCGGGAAGGTATCCGATGTGATACCGACAAGGTTTGCTCAATATGCGGGTTTTATTAACCTTCGACCGAATAGACTCTTTGGTTTTCTCCTACCTCTCCAGGCGGTCGTGGAACGAACTTTTCTGATCCGTCCCACTTGGGGACTATTACAGATGGTAAACGAAGCTTGGACTTCATATCAGTAGTGAAGATCGCCCGGCTCCTTCTTTAGCCTATCCACGGCGTAATCCTGCACATTTGATTTGCGGTATTCAGATCGAAGATCCGATCTTCATCTCTGTCAAGGTCATCAGCGGGCGATGCGCGGGACCCGCGAAGACCAGTGGACAGTGCTCAAGATGCATTTTCATACGAGGGCGGAGACTTCGAGCTCCGTAATACGTAATTTAGCTCCGCGAACGAACGCCAGCTGCCCTTTTTTTTTTATCATCTGCATGGATCCTCCATAATGAGTCCTCGTGATCAAGACCAGGGCTAAGATTAACCCATCTTGTTCGGGCCAAGGCGATCTTAGAATCAATTCCGAGGATTTATATCTGAGAACCTGACGCGCATTGAGGACAAGTATAAGTAAATTTTGTGTCTTACCCACTGGCATCTTTTATTTTGACCAGACCAAATCTTCCAAGCTCGCTTGAAAGTTGAGTGTGGGGACAGGTCTGAAAATATTTTATAGGAAACCACTGGCACCAATATTCCTTTCTGATATCTTCCCACGTCTCAAGTATTATTATATCCCGTATCCAAACATAAAGGCCGAGAGGCTCAGGGCATATTTGTGCTTCTCTTGAGAATAGTGTGGGAAATTCCGCCAAAGAACATCTCCAAGCACCGACGTGATCTGGCATATTTCGGGCCGGATCAAGATAGTTGCGGAATTGTTTGTATGAAAAAGATTCAGTACCAATACCAGACATTGTACTATCATAGTAGTATCTCCTCATTGCGAGCCTAAGCTGATGAATAGAAAGGCGGCTTCCGGGATACTCAAAATTAACATGGGTTCTCATACTCATTGCTGGATTATCATTCTGTTTACATCCTTTATTGTCGCTTGGAAGTCTGGAGGTTTTCTTATGGACTAATCCACTGAGACCAAAACCTTCAGATCCATCATACTGATGTAACTTATTACAAACGTGACAAGCAAATTACCCTGGCAGATCTCTCTCTAGTCGATGTAGAAGTGAAACCTCAGCTCCTCTGAGAGACGATCTATGATATGCCTGAGGGAGCTCATGGGGCTGGTGATTGCAGAGGGACAAGTATGTTTGATCAACAGGTAAAAGCAGGTCATCTATTTCCAGTATGAGCTCTAGTGGAAGGCCAGGTAGTGTAGCGATATGATATATTTTAGGAGATATCATAGAGGATGGGTGTGTGATGCAGTAGGACCTGGAGGGCTCGATGCAAGATTTGAGATTTTGCATAAACAATCCTTAGGATCGTGTTCACGCTTGAAAAGCGAAGATGGCTGTAAGAAAGAAAAAGATAGGAAAAGAAAGAATGGTCTCTACCGGCTCACTGAATACATAAATGACGTCGAAATGCTATCAGTACTCTTATGGAATGAATGTGGACAAAGCTTGATTTGAACGCAAAATCCACCAGTGGGCCCAGGGACCATGTCATATTATAGATTTTAATGGAGGTTTCTGATCAGATCCCGAGGTCCGTTTAATCCTAATCCCTTACTCCAGGTGGCTACAGTTCCACCTGTATTCCAAATTGATAGACACCTTGGAAACGAACCAAGAAAGGTTGCTGATTAAACAAGTGTAGGTAATTTCAAGGCTGTCACCCACGGTTGCCTTTCAAGACCCCACCGCACATAGACCTTCCTATAGTAGTCCCCGACTCGTAGTCTCCTCTCATCTGAGTCTTCCAAGGCTCTTACCTTACCTTCCATCCTCCTTTCATCGCCCCTTCTCTCATCACCCTTGGTCTATTCTACAAATTGCCATATTGTCTCAGCTTTGAGGTTCATTTTTTGCAGTCAGAAGTATCATGTCAGCTATGAGGTTTCATTCTTCGCGGGCCTCAGTCTCCTCATTTCAGTTCCCGTCATTCGCGGCCAAATCTCTGAATATATCAGGTAACAAGGAGGTCCGAACTGGCAAAGGGAGTCATCCAAGCGCAAGTCATCTAGGAAGCCCAAATCACCAACTGAGTCACATCGACTGGAACCCTATAACCCGTCTTCGTATTCGCGAGACTTTGACACCTCTCTGCCCTGGTTGATAGATGACGAAGCTCTTCTCCAAGGCCACACACTAGCACATGATGGGGCAAGTGACCTCACTTCTATTGTATTGCTGGCTGAGTACAGAATAGATCCATCTTCAAGCTACATTGGTAGGTACGGATCGGAGTAGGTACGTATCGGGGTAGGCATCAGGCTAGGTACTTAGCTAGCTTTCTTCAATTGATTCAGGTATTACACCTACATACCAGGCCCCACGGAAAGTGCCTATATATAGTAGTAATAGACCTTCACTTTTCCTTGATGAGCCTCTTGACGGGAGCCTCAAAGGAAGCTATGTCCGAATGCCCCAGATTGTTGCAGATTATATCTTCGTGCTAACTTGAATTTTTGGAGGGAAGAAACTTGAAGAGAATTACAGGATCTAATGGCAATGGCATGTATGTCCCTCTTAGTCAGCGGAGGGTCTCTACATCCACAACAAATCACAGCAATGTCCGTGTGTTAATGCACATTGTCTTTATATACAACATTTGGGGGGGCAACTTGAAGAGAGTGTGAGCGGAGAACACCGAGTGAGCGGATGAGCCAACCTGAACTTACCATCTCTGATCTCCGAACTCCCGCACATTTGACATTAACATTGATCGCCCTTCACTTTGCCCCTCCATCAACGGATCTGCTCTGTCCCCACCCACCCGCAACGCAACCCCATGAGCGAGTTCCAGAAATCTTTCGCCAAGTCAAAACTGGCCAAGCTACCTGCAGAGGCTCCGATGTTCGACGCAATCGGTAACCCCGAAGGAATTCGAGAGGAGGATGCCTCATCCGCATCCTCCGTGTCCTCCACGGGTACCCTCATGCCATCGCCCACACGACATCTCTATTCCCGAACCAGCTCAAGGTTGTCCGCCTCTGCCCACGCGAGAGACTTTCGCAGTATACAATATATGAAAAAAAATTAACCATCTTCTAGCAACTCCCAATCATCGACTTGGTCGGACTTTTTCGCCCAGGAGCTGTTCCTTCCCGAGCAGCTCGACCAGATTAACATCACCCATCATGTCTACCTAACACCCCCAACGGGATCAGGGCCTCTCTTTGTCCTGCAACATGGCGCAGGCTCTTCCGGAATGACCTTTGCATCTTGTATCAGCGAGATGCAGAAAATCCTTCCCAAGGCCGGATTTCTCTCCCTCGATGCGAGAGGTCACGGACAAACAACGATGACATCACATTCAAATCCCCTCGAGACCGAAAACCCATCTCTCGCCGCGGCAGCTCATGCTGAATCGGGCAGTCAGGTCGAGCTCGATCTGAGTCTTGGAACGTTAAGCCGAGACCTTCTATTCGTCATTCAGCAGACGCAAGCGAAGATGGGCTGGGAGAATTTGCCCGACATCGTTCTCGTAGGGCATAGTCTTGGGGGCGCGATTATCACGGACCTAGCAAAGCAAGGCGGACTAGGCAACAAATTGCTAGCCTATGCTGTCCTTGATGTTGTTGAGGGTAAACCCACCCGTAACCATGGACCTGATGATTTATTTCTAACAAAATCAACAGGTTCCGCCCTGGACGCCCTCCAAAGTATGGAAATGTACCTTTCTACGCGCCCAATCCGATTCGTTTCATTAGGATCCGGAATCGAATGGCAGTATGCAATCGTCCAACTCGCTTAATTATAAAACATCAGTACTAATCAATTTGCTAGCAACCGTTCTCGTATAATTCGCAATTCAGCCTCGGCACGGGCATCAGTTCCGTCCTTGATATACGAAGAAAACGATCCCACCGATCCCACCCGCCCATGGGTATGGCGCACCGACCTAACTGCAACGAAACCCTTTTGGGAAAATTGGTTCATCGGTCTCAGTCGGAAATTTCTCGATTCCCGAGGTGGAAAGTTGTTACTACTAGCTGGAACGGATCGATTGGATAAAGAATTGATTATCGGACAGATGCAAGGTATGGTTTCTTCACTAATTTGTGCTATTCTTGGCCCAGTTTCAAGCTTGCTAATTAAGCTGGCTTTGCGGGAATTTAGGTAAATATCAACTTCAGGTCTTTCCCGAGGCGGGCCATTTCCTTCATGAAGACCAGCCGGCCAGGACGGCTCAAGTGTTGGTGGACTTTTATAAGCGGAATGATCGTAGTGCGCTGGTACTTCCGCCAAAGGTGGCAGATATGCAGGCAGCCGCTGCTATGAACAAGAGTGACGGCACACCTCAAAAGCACGGGGTGTTGAAATAAACCTTGGAAGCTCAGATCTCTTGTGGGTGAGAGTGCCCTAAAATGAGGATCCATGGATATTTATATCATAAACGGTGATCAGGTGAAACCAATACATGGCTACTCTAGGCATCAACTTGAAGATAGTTGTTCACCACTACTCCGGGTTTTGGGATGTCCAACAGTCCTACTAGTACGAGCAACCGGTGTAGAAGATCATCATATCAAATTTGATAAATCTGAGACAAGACTCGACATACCAATCCAGAGATACGAGAGATTTGGGGCACGACGCGGAGGGAATGGATTCCCTCAAAATGAAACAAAAAAGTTAAAAGTTAAATGCAGCCATCCCTCAACTCCAGAGATCAGTATTCCGACCCCAAACGCCATCATTTAATTTCCATCCAAGAACAATGACATCGAAAGTTTATGGAATGAAGTTAGAAATGTTTGAAGAAAAAACCAGGGGTATTTGCGCCGTTGATGATAAGTAAGTAGCCCGATCATCCGAAGTAGTGAAACCAGGAGAATGCACCACCGCCGTTTAAGGAAGATAGGCCCCACCGGCAACAACCAAGTTCATGTTTGTGAACTTGACCTTGTAAACTGGACTCTTCTTAGTCGGGAAAGCGCTGATCTGATCGGGTGTGACCACAACGTCTTTGCCTTTCTTCTTCTTGCTCTGGCCGGGGGCGCTGGCTGGCGCGTTTCCGGCATCAAGCTTGGTGCCAGCACCTCCTTCGCCGATCACGCGGCCGGGATCTTGGGGTGCGGCAACATCCCATACACGGACCGTTCCATCGGCACCGGCAGAGACCAAAACATTCGACTCCACGCTCCAGCTCATAGACCAAATGCCGCCCTTTCCGTGGCCGCGCATGCGTTTCAGCAGGCGACCTGGTGCCAGGTCCCACAGGAAAATTGATCCTTGGTCATCGGCAGATGCGAGGTACTTTCCATCGCGGCTGCATTCCATCGAAGTAATGTTTCCGGTGTGGCCAGTGAACATGCGAACTGCGTTACCGGTTGTCACGGCCCACATGCGGACGGTGTGGTCGGAGCTGGCGGTGAATACATAGGCGGAGTTAGGATGGAAGCAGACAACATCGACATCTTGATCGTGGCCGGCGAAGATACGCTGTTGGCGGATGTGATCAGTAACCCAAAGTCGGGCGGTCCGATCGTTGCCCGCGGTCACGAAATAATGACCAAAGGGTCCCCAGCGAATGTCCCAAACAGGACGGTCATGGCCCTTGTAAACGACCATGCATTGCCAAGTATCAAGCGACCACAAACGGACTGTTTTGTCCGCTGAAGAGGAGAGAAGCCAGCGAACATTTGTGGGCACGTAATCGTCCCCGGTAGCAGTTTCGTTCCGGGGGGTAGAGGGAGCAAAAGAGACGGCATAGACAGGACCTGAGTGTCCAATGAGTCGTCTAGAGTTGGCTGGGGGCATGTCATCTAATTCCGGGTATGCTGCTTCGATGTTCTTGCCATCTAGACTCCAGATACGAATGTAAGACTGGGCGAAACCAGCTGCGACGAGCATATTGTCATCGGAGAAGTCAATGCAATTGATACTATAGGCATGTCAGTGAGTTCTCATCCATAAAAAGAAAATTGCCACATGTGACTAACCCATCGTAGGTGTTGTGGAAAGTGAACATGCACACACTGATACCCGGTCCAACGCCACCAGTGCGCCCGTCCAGTTTATAACGATCCCGATTCTCTTTGACCTTCATGACCTCCATAGCTACATCTCGAGCAGTAGAGGGCGGGAATGGAATATCAGCGCGCGTAGGTGCTTCTTCCTCCTCCTCCTTTTTGATCATATGGTCAAATTCCTGTGTGAAAGTGTTCTTTCCAGCAACGGGAGGTATTTTGATATCCTCATCGGCCAATTCTGCGCGAACGTCTTCTTCCATAGCCTGCTCCATTGGCATTTTCCCCAGTCTGAGTCTGGGTAGGGTTCCGGCCATGGCTGGATTGTCACCCGTATAAGCCGAACCAGGGTGATGGCCAGGAATACCCTCATCTTCAGAAGGGAAGCTCTGACCCGCTCCAATTTGGCCGAGCATAGCAGCAAAGCTGAAACGGTCGTCAGCAGCGCGGTCCATCGTCTTAATAACGCAGTAGCTACTCAGGATGGCATTCATCACTGAGCCACCCTCCTTCTCTTTGCTTTCCAAGAATTGAAGAAGGTTGGTGTACGCCGGGTTGCTCAAGACCACGCGGTACTTGTTAGTACGGTAGAGTTTCGCCGTTGAATTGTCTTGGACGTGTTCCGGCAGACTAATGGGTTCGAAGACACGAATGTCATCCGTGTGTTCCGGAAGAAACATGTTCTTGTTCGATTCGAAGAACTGTTTCGCATCCTGGGGGTAAAACGAAGTGACCATGTTCAGGAATGAGTAGACGAAGAGGGGCCACAGAACACGGCGCAACTCAGGCTAAGGACTTTTCAGTACAAAATACGGACTTCGATCTTCAGAGATGCCGTATTCATACCTTGTAGAGGTCTAGATTTTCCTCAACCCATGTTTTAAGCAAATCAAATCCCTGCTTGAACTTGGGCCGGGCATCTTCTCCAAGTGGAGGTAAGGGTCTGCCATCAATCTCTTGATTCGCAGACTCCATGCGAAGCATGGCCTCAGTCCGGCTGTAGCCCTTCTTGGCCAGGTAATCGATAACCTAATATCACCTCGAGAGTTAGACTGCAACTATTTTGACACAAAAAGCAAGCACGACAAGACCAACAACAGAAGGTCCAGTGGGATTATCAATCAAATGTGTAATAATCATGGAAGCCATCGACTGTTGCCTTGGAGAGGGAGGTACAGGTGGTAGGTCCTTGTCATGGCCTTTTGAAGAATGACCAGCCGGAGGAACTACCCTCAGCCTGATCGACCGAGGAGACCCATCCGAGCGTTTCTTAGCCGGCTTTCGGGGACGAGGCTGGGAGACACCTCTGGAGGGCATAGTGTGTGGATCGAAGAGCAAGATGGTTTGAAGCAGAGATGAGGTAGAATGGGTTGGATGCAGGGTTGAGAGGTGATGATGTGAAGATGTGAAGCAGTGAAGTAGTGAAACAGTGAATCGAGTAATGTCAAAGTGAGGGTAAAGATCGGAGCAATCAGAGGGTCAAAGTGATTCCCGCTAGGAAAAGGAACGAAGCACTCGATCCAAATCAAATAATGACAGCAAGATTTGAAAGATTGAGCTTTTTGTCCGAAGCTCTCTCACACTCCATGCAACAAGGCCATTCGCCATACATTTCAAGGAAACGCAATACAGAAACAATATACCCACAACAAGTACATATTGCCAATTGGATAGCATGGCCATTTCAAGTTACAATATACTTGGAATGAAAACAAAGATGGAAATGAAAATACAGAATCCGGGATTTCAAGCCAACTCGAAGGTTCTCAGGAGGGGAATTGCGGGAGAAACAAGGTGCTCAAGATATGAATGAAAAGAAGTACTCACGATTTGATTCAGATTTTGTTGTGACATCGCACCACTTTGTGGCGGAGGTGGGCCAGGTGTAGGCGCATGCTGCACCGGAGTGCCAGACAAAGGCTGTTGGGACATGGGCATATTGCCTCCATTTGCGCCAGGTCCCATGCTGCCGCTACGCGGCGCGGGACTGGGGGCACCGCCGGGCGCAGACATGGCAATTGCTTCGGCGAAGACGCTGGTGCCGATATGCTGACCCAAATATAATCACGGCGAGAAGGCGTCGATAGGGGCCGAATATAGGAGATCGCGAGTAGCGATGGAATTTGATACTGTTGAAGTTGGCGCGGCCGCTGAATCAGCCCTTTCTGGGGATCACACGTGATCGCGGCCTGCAGGCGGCGGAGAAGGAAGCCTCCAGAGCTCTGACGATCGTCATTCTTGACACCTCGAACAGCATTTACAGGGCAATCGATCATCTCTGTTGATGATGCCTAGTTGTTGAATATTCCAAGGAACCCAATATTACCTTCACTGCGACTTTCACTTCCAAAATACCACATAATGGCGGACGAAGTACCTCCCCCGCAAACCTTTACCTCCGCGGACCGAATTCGCCAACTCAGTGACATCGACAAGGTAAGAACACTTCGAAAAGGAGAGGAACAAATAGTTCCATTCCCGATATTCCCTACTAATACAGCTTCAGGATGTTGCGCAACTTATTCACTCCGCCGGTCTGGCCATCCAGGCACTCACAAACGCAAAACCCGACTCCGACTCCTCCGAACCAGGACCCGCCTCCCTCGAATCCCATAAAACACAATTCAAAGAGGCCACCTCCAAATACTTTGCTCTACTCTCCTCAATCGATGTGCGACTACGCAGGCAGCTCTATGCGTTAGAAGAAGCTTCTGTCTTGGGTCCCGATACCCCTCAGCGAGCGGATGCGACAGCTTCGGGCGGGGCTGCTGGTTCAAACCCGGGCACTGGGCCCGTAGCTGCAGCTGGACCTTCCAATCCTCTGGATGTTAGCTGGCTGAATAGCCGGAAGGACACTGTTGGCAAGGATAAAGAGGCGGAGCTCTGGGCGGCCGCTCGGGAATTTGTGGCGGATTTGGATCAAAAGTCGGCAGGCGAATCTCAGTCTACTGGAGATTCGGAGAAAATGCAGGTAGATTGATTGACAATGAGATTGGTCAATTACCTATAGGCAGTTCTCGAGACAAAGCAGTGGACGGAACGATATTCCTTTTTAAAGTTCTTTATGATACCCCCCCCCCACAATGGATCCAGCATGGCAGGCAAGAAACTACAGATTGCTTCACCGAAACCATCTAATGAGCATCTTTAAATCACTTCAAGTTCATCTTCAAAAAGTCCCATTATATGGAAAATATTCGCGCAATGTTCATAAAGCTAAAGCTGTGCAAAGAACGCAACAATGGACAGTCTAGCATGGGCTCCTGAGCCGCTAACCTGACAATGCTGAATCTATCAAAAAACTATTTCTGCATGGACTTGATCATCTCCAGCTGTGCTGCCCGATCCCGATTTGTCTCGGATAGAGGTGCCAGGCCTAGAAAGAAGTTATCAGTTTTTGACATTCCACGATGAATGATTGACGCCAGAGAGAAGGGCCACCTACTGCGCAGTTCACCCACAACATCCTTGGCCTTGCCGAAGTAAACCTCCTCTATAGATCACACACCCCGATTAGCATTTCCATTGTCAAGAGTGTGATTAGATCACGGAATACATACGTAGCAAGTTGCGCATCTTTAACTCCATATCCTCCACCAGTCTGCCCACATTGGCAATATGGCTCGCATCCCCTTGCTCGACAGGGAGATCCGCCTCGATCTGGCGGGTCATGTTACCGCTCAGGTCCATGTCGCCGAGGGCCTCACTCTGGTTGGCGAGGTGGAGAATAACAGTGCTGGTAAGCTTGTAGTGGGAGGAGCGGGCGCGATCAGTCGCCTCAAAAACGTGAATGCTGTCCCATTCGCCAGAGCTCTGAGAACCGGGAGTAACACCTGTAAACAACACAAGACCAAATCAGCCAGAGTTCAAATATTCTGCAAGCCCCCCGCCTCGAAAGGATGGAAACCTCATCTTACCCTTCTTAAGGAGAACAACGCCGGCAAATCCATCGTCCAGATCCCAAAAGTAAACGCTTCCGACTCCGCCCTCGTAGTACAGCTCGCGGTAAACATCAAAGGCCTCGTTCGCTGCGACCTCGAGCTTGCGCACCTTCTCGCTGGGAACGGTGCCGTCCTCCAGTGGGGGGTCGAACTCGTTGCTCCATGGTGAGCGGTAGCTATCGCCGTCACGGTTGTAGTCGCAGAGCAGGTAGTCCCGGTTGGTCTGCGGGCAGCGGCGAACCTCCAGGGGCTGGTCGACGGAGGAGAGGAGATCTTCCTGGAGCTCGGGGATAATGGAATTGATGGCGTTCAGGTTCTTCTTGGTGTCGCGCGGGTTTAGGCGTCGGAGGAGATCGCTGGGATGAGGGGTATGGTCAGCTTGGTGGTCTCCCCATCATCATCATGCACATGGGGCGGGGTTGCGGGCGGGCCTGGCATTGTTCATGGCCCGGTCTGGATTGAAGATAGCCCAGGTGTGAAATTGCGTTGAGTGTCTTGCTCTTGATACTTACAGCGCGCTGTCAAACTGTTGATCGGCCATGGTGGAGGAGGGGGTTGTGGACTTTGGAGTATGTTCTGATCTCCGCTCCGGGCAAGTTGTTGATGGTTGGAGGTGCGTGCGCATGGGGTTCCCGGCCGTGGCGACAAAATTGGCGATCTACAACTAGTACAACTACAACTACAAAACAACATCGAGACATCGTAAAAAGGGGCAATGGTAGATGTTTCCGACGATTGAACGACTAATTTAGCTTTATTGGTATCTGGTATCAACACAATACATGTTTATGTACATTCTGCCGTAGCTCGTGACATTTCAGGGATTTATGGTTGAGGGTAGCCCTCACCAATCATCACTGTCATGAATGACTGGCCTGCTATTACGAGCATTTGGCTTCGGCGCTGGATCATGATTAAATAAAATGCTGGCATCTGGAAGATCAAAGTCGGACCCATCATCATCGAGGTCGCTATCTGGGAGATTCATCATTTGCTCGGAGGCTTGTGGTCCATCCATTCGCTCCTCCAGAGAAGGTCGTTGAATAGACTTCCTCTTGGGGTTTGTTTCGATATCAGACGTATTTGGAGACAGTAAAATAGCGGTAATTTCCGCATCTTGTGGACTTTGAGCCAGAAGTTTCGCAGATTTCTTGCCAGAGGTGGACTGTCGAGGCGTTTTGGCTGCTTTGTTACTCGATCGACGCTTCTCGCTTGATGTCTTTGAGACCTTCGAGGGTGGCCGAAGAGGAGTAGCAGACTCGCAAGCTAGGACTTGCTTGAATCTCGCTTCGCAGTCGGGACCAGCCCGATTCATCTTCTGCAAAGTAGTGATCATGCGTTGTGTAAGAGAACCATGCCGCACGTTTTTGGTGGGTCTCGCAACAAGCTGCAAATGCGGGAATGCATCGTGGCGCGGATATCTAATGAACTCTGGCGATGTGTCTCCAATGTTCTGATAATGATGCTCGAGTTCATTTTCCTCAGTCGCATTCAGGAGAACTTCTTCTAGAAGTGGGATAGCGACAGGTTCAGGGGTCGGTGTGCGAGCTCTTGGTTTTGGCGCTGGCACCTTAGGTTTTGCTTTTACTTTTGCTTTGCTGAATCCCTCCTCCAACGTGGAAGCTCGAGTAAAGCCCGTCTCCACATCATCGGGCATGTGAAACTTCTTTGGGGGCCGCTTTGGCGCTCGACCTCGACGTTTGGGCTCGGGTAGTTCCTGTTGAGAGTTTTCTGGTGGGATTTCGATGACTCTTTTATCAGGTGTCGGGCGTATTCCGGCCGGGAGAATACGAGCAGATCGGTCGTCATGGAAGGTGAATCGAGAACCACTTGCAATCATCTGTTGCATCTTCTCGTAGTTATCCTTGGCTTTGGTGTAGGAATCCTCTTCCTTGCCTTTCATGAGCAAGAGGGTGATGTTTCCGGCTCTCTTACGACCGGTTCGACCCATGCGTTGCAGCATGCGGATTGGTGAGGCCGAGGAGTCGTAACAGACAATGAGATCCACTTCTCCAATATCCAGACCTTCCTCTCCGATTGAAGTAGCGACAATCGTATTATATTTACCTGCTTTGAACTCTTCGATGATCTTGAGCTGAGTCTTCTGGTCCATGCCCTCAGAGCCTTTGGCACTACTTTGTCCAACGAAAATATGAGGCCGAATCATAGGTGCATAGCGCTTGAGCACTCTCGTCACTTCCTCGGCACTGTCACGGAAGTGAACGAAGATCATCACTCGAGTGGCCGGCTGGCCAGAATTTTCACCAGTGTCCCGCCCCTCACCTGCGTCCATGAAATGATTAAGAATGACAGACTTGAGGTACTCGAGTTTGGGGTGGCCAATGAATTCGGGGTTTTTGCTCCAAGGTTCAAGGTGACCCATGAGCTTTTTGAAGCTCTCGTCTTGCACAATTTGCTTCTGGTATTTCCCGCCTTTCTGACCATCAGTGCCGGACTTGAAGTGGTGCAAATGGCGATAAAAGGGCACAATGCCGTGGAATTTCAACAGGTCGATAGCATGGGCGAGACTGGCAAGTAACGTAAAGATCGCGTTGACTTTGCCTTTCAATCCAAAATTTGCGTTTCGGCCAGCGTCTGATTGCATCCATTTTTGCCGGGCCATGGTGAGACCGTATGCCGTGAGTGCCATGGGGTCCCTTCCCCAGTATGCATTCAGGGTCGTCAGCTGCTCCACCAACGGGCGCAGCGTCGTAGACAGAAGATCCATGCAGAAAAGCATCTCCTCGGTATTCTCAAACGTTTCGATCTCGATATTACGGGCATGCACATAATCCCGAATATCTATAGAGTTCTCTGTACGGATCTCCACCCTCGAGATATCCAGTCCATCAATAACCGCCTGAACTGATTCTACGGTCGATCCCGGCGTTGCAGTCAGCGCGAGCACGCGGAAACTTTGATTATAGCGCCGTAGGAATTTCACCACTTCAACATAGGCATAGCCACCAGTCGCGCGGTGAGCCTCATCGACAACGAGCAATACAATGCGCTTGGGATCAGCGATGCCAGTCTTCAAATCGTTGATCAGCGTTTGCGGTGTCATGAAGAACACGCGCTTGGCTTTCCATTCTTCTGCACGAATTCCGGGCGCTGCACCTCCAGTAAGCATCGTCGTTTGTGATCGAGGTATGCCGGCAATGTCTCAGACATGCCGAGACTTGCTGTGAGACTAGCGGCTTGGTCGGGGCAACGAATATAATCTGCGCATCTTGCGTCCATCGAAACCAGTTGAGCATGACGGTTGCCGCGATAAATGTCTTTCCCAAACCAGTCGGCAACGCGACCAGAAGGTTATGGAAGAGGCCTTTCTGAGCAATGTTGTACTGATAGTCGCGGGTTTTGCCCAAATTCGTCGGGTACCACCATGTGCCGAGGGCATCTTGGTTGAGCTTGTGCTGCGTTGGACGCTCGACCTTATCAGGCGGTGACGAGTCTTGTTCTTGGAGCGGCAGGAGGTCTGGGTTTTGTGCTGCCATCCCGTAGAGAGTACTTTGACGAGTGTGTTTCGGATGGTCTGTAGGGCGAGAGAAACTCGATTGGAAGGAATTCATTTGCGCAGGTCGGGCTATCGGCGAGAGATTTGGAGACGAGTCAAACGCATCGTCAGGGATATCGTTCAGCTCGAAAGAGACATCTAACGGCGAAGCTTCATGAGCCTGGTGGGACATTAATTCCTTATGACTTGTGTATATTGGCCTTTGCGGTTCCCATGCTGTTCTGGACGTCTTCTCCTCTTCAAATGCATCAAGGGAAGCAGCCAGCGCCGCCCTCAGTTCCTCCTCCTCGTTATAGTAGTTGTTCGAATCTCGCTTTGAATTGTTCAATTCGGGGGTTCGGATAGGTTCCGGAGTGGGTGATTTTGGGTCGGGCTTCTTCCATCTGGGACCTCGAATCCGTTCGGGGCTGGAGTCGGGTTGCGTGAGTTGGGTGACAAACATGTTCTCTTGGAAATTGCTTTGTTTCGGAACAAAGCTTCGGTTTTTGGGTCGCTGTTGAAGATCTTCATAGTCGGAGGAAGGATCGCGACGGTCTTCCATCAGGCCATCATCCATTGATGAGGCCGAATCAGTCTCAGACGCCGCATCGTCGATGAAACCTGCCCCGCGTGCTGGAGAGTGGACGCGACGGCGTTTCGTAGGTCGGGGTGAAGGGAGGTGGTCGGCGGGGGTACTTGGGACAACAAAGTCATCATCATCAAAGTAGTCCGACTCGGAGTCGGACATCTCGCTTGACTATCTTCAGAGTGCATAAATCCCAGCTTTCAAAGCTTCAAGGCTTCCAAGCGCGCCGCGCCGCGACGCGATGTCATGTGACCTCCTAAAGTGTTTGGCATGTTTGTTTTGATGTTCCTGCAGGGGTAAAAGGACAGTCACAGTCACAATTGCAATTGCAATTTCAATTTCAGGGCTAAATACGAAGTACGAATTAAATAAATAAATGAGAAATAATACAAAATAAACTAGTATGAGTATTCATCTTCCGCGCTCGGTTCATCAGCTCTTCAGCTATTCGAGTGGATTCAGTACTTGTGGGCCCATATCTATAAAGTTCCCATTTAAGATCCCCCACACCCCATTGCAGACTGAAGATTTTATTAGGATCAATAAAATGTCTCCGAAGGGGCATCACTTGCAGATTCGGATGAGGGTCCACTGGGTCCCTCGCGCTGGTTTCTGGCGTTAATAGTGGCATTGCAGGTCCCTACCCACCCCTGTCACGCTAGCTAGGGGTACCCATGGGATGGCATACACGTCTACCATGACAATGAGCTTGGGGGTAAATATTACAGCCGATATATGGCGATATATGCTCCGTACTCGTACGGAGTGCGAGTGCGCCCACCGACTGCCATACAGGATTTGAACAGTCGATCGCGGGCACACCCGAGCATCCCCAGATTTGACAGATCCACCGAGGGGCCCCATTAGCGCGAAGGCTAGGGTAAGGGATATGCACCTGATGAGAACCTTTTCTTCCCAACACAGTATCCCTCAGACGATCCCTCTATGAAATAGGACCCCCATTGGACCAACTAAAAAGGCCATTCCTTAGCGCGGATGCACCCTTGGCAAGTTGGACCCTGGCAAGAAACAGGTAGAAAGTCCCGGATGGGTCACATCTGAGACACAACGAATGAGCGACCTCGCCCCAATCACCCTGGTCTTTTTTTAATCTTGCTCGTTTGAGCTGGGCCCTTGTTTGGGGCAAAAGTGAGGAGAAGAGAGGAGTTTGTTCACTTGACTTGTGGTCCGAGGGGGAAAAGGGAAAAACCTAATCAGGCGACTATTTATTCCCTTCAGCTTTCCTACTTCCTCCTTCTGCCTTTCTCCCTTTCATTCCCCAAAGTCTTTCGTTGACCATCTGCTGTCGCTACCTTCGTTCTTCATTCAATTCATTCCAGTTCAATTCAATTTACCTTTCCACTATTCACCATGAAGCTGAACATCCTCGCCCTCTCTGCTCTGCTGGCCCTCGTTGCCGCTGAGACTACCACCACCGCTGCTGAGACCACTACCACCATCACCGCTGAGGCCCAGTGCGCTAAGAGCTGTATGTTTCAAGCACAACAAATTTCCTACTTGCTTCTACCCTGCTAACTCATTTCACCTCCAGGTACCGCTACAGACACCTGCTGTATCGCCAAGTGCTACAAGGTTCCCTGCCCCGACAAGACCCAGGTCAACGACACCAACAGCTGTGTCGCTGCCTGCCCTCAGGGTACCGGCACTGCTGCCGATACCAAGAAGTACACCGACTGCCAGCAATCCTGCTTCAGCTCCCACTACTTCCCCATTGACGGATCCTCTGCCACTGGCTCCTCCGGCTCTGACAGCACTGCTTCAGGCAGCACGGCCACCGAGACCGGTTCTAGCTCCACCAGCACCGAGACTGGTTGTATGCGATCCCACTTCCCCACCTGCTTGACGAACGCCCTAACTAACTCCATCCAGCCTCCAATGCCTCCGGCACCGCTAGCGGCTCCGCCAGCGGCACCACCGAGACTGGCTCCGCCCACACCAGCAACGCTGCCAACGCCAATGTCAAGCTGGGTGCCTCCAGCGCCGGCCTCTTCGGCCTGGTCCTCGCTGCCTTCGCTCTCTAAGCGCAGCATATCCTCGTGCAAATGGGTATCTCGGAACCTCTTTTTTATCTCTTAATATCCAGGCGAACCGACGATGGCACGGAATTTCCTCCATCTGATCACGGTCCCTACATTTTTAGTTTCTTTCCACATGTGTGATAGTATTCGATACCTGGTTTAGGGCCCTGCTGCAACTTCAAGTGAATGATGAATCCTTTTTTTTGTCCCTCGGGCACATCTTTCCTTTCCTTCCTGGTCCGCATGATCTCGTACATAAGTAGCTACCTAGGTAGAATCTTTTTTTAGAACCCGCATTCTCGGGCTTATCTAGTATGCCAATGGGGGCACATAGCTCGAGTGCATGTACAGCAAGTACGCGTCGATCACCTGGACAGACTAATATGTAGTAGTAATACAGCTGTTGCATTCCGTAGATCAGGCCCCACCCTTGTAGGTTCCCCGCATGGGAACGTTGGGTAGGGTGGTCGGATTTGAATCTGCACTAGGTCGGTGGGCGCGGTGCATTTTGGATGCAGGAGAAAATGAAGAGAAACTTGAACTGAACTTTGGAAGGTTACAATGTTGGAACTTTGGAAAAGGGGAAGGTTGCAGCGAACCTTGGAAGGCTCGGGATGCACCTTCACCGCCAACGGATTCTTGTTTACTGCGGTGATTCTGCATGATATATTTCCCCAATTTTATAATCTCGAGCAGGAGTCTCTACTACTAGGTACCTGGGTAGTATCCAGAACTTAAACCGGTCAGTTAACTGGAAACACCCATGGATTGAGGCCTAGGCAAATCCTCACCATCCCGAACCCAATAAGCACATTACTTGCGATAGTTATATCTTGAACCCAACTAATATCCCCCCCAGGCACAGCGGGGAACAAACACAACAATGGACGAAACAAGCCCCGAATTCGCAACGCTCTACAACGCAATGTCAACCTTCGTTAACACCTGCATGTCTGGCCACGACCCCTCCCACAACCCAGCCCACGTCCACAGAGTCGTATCCCTCGCCAACAAGATCCTCGCCTCCGAACAAGCCCTCCACCCAACAAAACCCTTCTCCGGCGCCGTCGTCAAGCTCGCCGCTCTCCTCCACGACATCGGAGATAAGAAGTACCTACACAGTCTCGCAGCAGATACAGACAGCGAAGCTGCAAGCCTCGACCCAAGCACCATGGTCCGTCACGCGCTTATCAAGAACGGTGCGCCGGAAGATCTTGCGGCGCGGGTGCAGACGATTGTATCGAATGTGTCGTATTCGACGGAGATTAAGGATCCCGGTGTTGTTCGGCGGTTGATTGATGAGGAGGGGTTTATTGAGCTTGCTGTTGTTCAGGATGCGGATCGGTTGGATGCGATTGGGGCTGTTGGGATTGGACGGACGTTTACGTTTCTCGGGGCGCAGGGGCGGAAGTTTCTTGTTGATGGGCAGTGGGATATGAATAACTCTATTGAGCATTTTGGGGATAAGTTGGAGCTTTTGGAGGGGATGATGAAGACTGGGACCGGGAGGGAGATGGCCAGGGTGCGCACGGAGAGATTGAAGGTTTTCCGTGGGTGGTGGGAGGAGGAGATGGATATGGTTTCCGCGTAAGTATAGAAATGAGATAATTACTCTAGGGTATTTTCCTGGATCCAAGAAAAAAATAATCTATGTTGAATGTTGTTGAGCCGGATAAGGCTTGATTCGTTGTATTGCGATTAAGCCCAAAACGAGTGATAGGCGGATCGTCATCCCAGAAACAGGGAGGAGGGAGCCCTTCAGAGTCACTTCGAAACCCGAGAGAAACAGAGGGAAACAGAGACAGAGAGAAGATTGACAAAAAAAAAAAACAGACACAGAGAGGGTTAAAAATGAGCTTGCAAAAAACCTTCCATCTATCAAAGTTGTAAAACAAAATCAGGACAGGGTTGGGGGTATTGTAATTTCTGTTGAGCAGTGTGGTGTCAAAACAAAGTTGCTGAAAGTCAAGATAAGAGAACAGAGCAGAAAAAAAGCAGAACGATCCCGCGAAGAGGATACATCTGATGCAATTTCTTAGGTATGATCAAAGAAGCAGAAAGTCCAAAACTCCGGCTGCAAGTCTTCAACGCCGCGCGAGCAGAAAATGTAAATCTAAACCATCAGCATCCGATCGGACGGAAGCAATGCAAAAAAAATAGAAAAGAAAAGAAAAGAAAAATCAAACCCGATCCCTTGCGAAATCTAGGACCTCACAGTCGTCCTCAAAGAACCCATCATCCGCCTTCAGAGGAGTGGAGTGTTTCTTCTTGCGCCGGGTCGTGATGATCACTTCTTCCACGTTGCCCGTGCTGTTTCCAACGGTGACGAGGTTCTCCATATCCCCACCTGCCCCCAGAGAATGTCCATGAACCGCGGCATTCTCATCGTCATCGTCCAAGTTGCTATCACCACTGTTGCTGTATGATCTCATGTGCACTTTTGTGGTAGGTATGTCGTTTCCAAACACCCACTGACCGCCGGGAACAGATGCTCCAGTCTCCGTAGAAAAGACATGAAGACTGACACGTTGATCCGTATGGAAAGGTTGGTATGGGGTGTTAGTCTCGAGCTCGGCCTGGGAGAGAGGTTGGCAGAACGGTTTTGCCGCACTGGTTGGCTGCGAGCTGACTGATGGCAAGAGAAGAGAGGCATGGACAACCACCCCCGGATCATACGCAATAAGAGGTGCCGGGCCACAGGTGCTCTGCAGATTGGCAGGTAGCTGGAACTGGCTTTCTTTACCCCCTATTACAGAATGGAACTGGCGATTCTTCTGGTTTGTGGGTCCTTTCTTGAGCCGGTACAATTTGAAATGTCCATCGTCGACCACTCCCAGGAGAACGGAACCCTTACTGCAAACCCACATGACTCGAGATGATGCCGGGTCCCGAGCTAGACCAGTCACATGCAGTCGGTTTTCACCAACATGTCGAAGAGTGTGGACCGTACCCGTGGCAGCCGCACCCATGGACTTGCTCAAGCCTGCAGCCACAACTTTCCCACCCTTGATGCTAGCTGCAGTTGGGAATGCAAATCCAGCGGAAAACCCCGCACCAGATGAGGGGACACGGCCTCTGACAGCAGAGAAGAACGGCTGAGTCCGGTCTCCAACAAGCTTCATTGCCGTAGACAACGGGTTGCCGGTGTTCGATTGGGAAGAGACATCATCACTTGCAGGTTCAACGGCCTGTGATCGTTTCCCTGCAGAGCGAGCTCGTCGGAACGGCGGCCATTGAAATGCGCTTGGAGGCAGGTCAAAGACATGGACTGTGCCCTTTCTTGTTATGACTGCCAACCGATCCCCAACAGGAGGTGTCCATATCACATCCATGATGCTAGACGTGGTTAATCTTGCGTATCTTGCCACCTGTCGCACATGTGGACTGTGAGAGGTGTGGTCATCAGCGATGAAAGGCAACGCTCGACAATGTTTGAGTTGCATAAGATCCCACACATACTGCACATCCCCTTTCTTACTACCCGTGAAGAGCATTAGGCCGTTCGGAGATAGTGAGAGAAAGCTACAGCCGTTGGGGACCTGGAAAGTAGCCACGGGATAGAGTGATGCGGATTTTGTATCCACGCCATCATCAAAGCGTTTGAGATCGATGATGGAAACCGTATCTGGCTCAGGCGAGGACGTTGTCTGGGTGTCTTGAGCATGAGTCGGAGGGAATCCACCATAAATCTGAGCCGAATTCTCGGGAGGCCGATTTGTTCGAGGAGGTGGCGTGCCGGGGGCCTGTGGACTATTCCAGTAGTTATTCCAGGCCTGGAGTCCCTGGTTACCCAAATAGTGGGCACCCTTCACCACTTCCTGAGTAACACCTCGAGCCATCTTATTAAGGAAGCTCTCTCCTTCACCCACATCAGTTGCACAGTTGACAGATGGCGCACTAGGAGGATTGCGAGTTTCCAATCCTTGGGCCTTTTCATGCATCAAATCCGGGGGTACAATACCCTGTATCGATCCCCGGTAAGAGGCTGCAGGGGGCACGATAGTCAACCATCTTCCTTGCAAGGCCAATATGGGTCGCTCGGTAGGAGATGTACGGGGAGCATCGCTGTGAGAACTATCAGGATCTGTAGAGCTCGACGAGGTGGAATATCGCCGGATTTCTCCCGTTTGAACGCTAGTCCAGGTCTTCCCTAAACATTGATAGACATCTGCTGAGATGTATCGGAAGACATAAACCTCTCCGCTAATACCGGAAGCAACCACCAGATGATTTCCACTTGTGAAAAGTTTCAGGCTGCCAACAGGCAACGGCGCAAAGGAAGGCTGACCGGGGATATTCTCCAACGCCGGCATGGCCTTGCTTGCAAACAGCGTTGCAATGAGTGCTCCAGACCGCAGGGAATAGACCTGAACTCTGGTTTGATATAGCGGAGGCTCAGATTTCCTATCACCTGCACGGCCTCGCGCCATCGAAGGAGGAGCTTCATGAGCATCGGAGCCTGCAGAGGAAGCGGGCGCCTCCTCTTCACTTGGAGGAATGGGGCCGTGAATCGTGACTGCAATGTGGGGTTGAGATACTGCAAGCGAGTCATTGAATGACTGTCCGGACAAGATCTTTGCTTCGAGAACTCTGCCACCGAGACCAGTGATCTGACCGACTAGACGGGTCCGGCGGTCCTCAACAGCGAGGATTTCCACCGCACTATCAGATCCTACCACCAACACGGCAATACCCGCTCGAGGTGATTTTGCAGAGAAGCTGGGAAGAGTATCGAAACCGCAGAATGAGTAGGCTGTATCGCTTGGAGGTCGGGGTTGAGCACCCAGGTCGATGTCTGGAGCACCGTAAAAGTGCGCTTGGGGAAGATGGGGAGGAGGTGCGATGTTGCTCATCGGACTTCCATACGACTGGCTCTTTCTTCGGTCTACAGACTGCTGTCGGGATTGCATACTGCTTCGGTAACCACTGCCGAGGCTGAAAGGTCGGATTCGGGTGGGTGGCGATGCCGAGGAAGGTTGACTGAAGCCACCTCTCGCTTGGATGGTGGGAAAGTTGATGGGCGATTCCTGGGGCATATCACCATCAATTAGATCTGTGGGTGGGCTCTTTCCATAGGGTACAGACTGGGCCCAGGTGTCTGTACGAGTGACGACGTCGCTCTCGACGGCGCCATCGACTGTGTCGAGGGTATCCACCACGGGCGACACGACATCGGGGTTAACATCATGATTTAGCGTTGGGTCAGGGCATGACGAGGGCTCAACGGGGGCTACCGGAGAAGTTTGGAGTCTGGAGAGATGTGTTAGCGATGTTTTGGAGGGTTGGAAATGGGCCAAGGTCTAGACCTGGAGGAATCGTACAGGTCGTCCGGTGGCGTTTCCGTCAGAGCCTTAGCCGCTGCCTTGGCCTTTTTATTCTTCTTCTTTTTGCTCTTTCCACTGGGCTCATGCTCCTGAGCAGGGCGACTCTGATCCGTATTGAAATCGGGTTCGTCTTCCCAAGACTGACTGTACTGGCGCTTCTGATCGTCAGACGCTGCAGGGGGCATTCACCTGAGAGATGCCTCTGGGAGGCAACTAAAAGATAGGGGGGGCAAAGGAAGACCGCTCTCAAGACCTTTCCGGTGGTCTGAGAACGGGGGGTAACGGGAGTTTGAGCCGACTGCTTCAGATGCAGACGGAGGCGGGGCTGAAGCTAGCCAGTCGGTACTAAGGCGGGGCGGAAGATCTGATGATGATCAGTTACATCAGTGACCGATCTGTCATGCAGGGAGATCATAGAACCCCTGAGTACCAAGAGTTTTGTCCTGTATATCCAACAGATAACATACCTATATAGTTTGAGGCGGGCGATTCAGCCAGGGAGGGAGTTGCGATGTTGTGTTCGTTGTTGATTGACGTATCGCGAGCGGAGTCGCTCGTCGATACGCGGGGAAGCTGTTGATAAGAGCGATAGGCGCGTAAGACACCAGTGGACGGGGGAGGTCCAACGAGTGAAGAGGAATGTGTGAGATCAAGTTGAAATTCAAGATCAAGTTTCCAGTTTCAAGTATCACGATCAAAAGGGGGAACCCTTGGGGAAAAGAAGAAGGAAGATAAGAGGGGAGAGGGACTGAGGGGGGGGGAAAGGACCCGCGGTACCTGAGTCAGACACAACACTTTTGGGGAAAGGCTGACCCCGTCATTCTCCGGCGCAGCTGGGCATGTCACTTCCCCACTTCTCTCTACTAGTACCAGCCTTGTTCTTGCCTTTTTACCTGCCTTTCATACGTAGACAAAGGCTTAGCTAAGAAATGGCCACCCGGTCACCCGTGGAACAAAGTGATCCAAGAATCCGATCATAGCCGCCTTTCATCGAGGGTCACGGGTCGAACCCCCTTCATCGTTATTTGCGCAATCCGGGAAACTGGGTTCGCCCAAGCGCGAACTGCCTACCTCATACTTGAGGGCCTGTTCGCAAGGTCCTCCGGCAGAGAGAGAGAGAGGGAGGGAGGGAAGCATCATGTTTTCTTTTGTTTTAATGATGTGACTTTTTCTATTAGGTGATAATGATAGGTGATAGACACCATCCATCTTGAGTGAACGCTGAATCCAGCAGACCATCAGCCCAAACAATAAAAATAAGACTGAAAGAACCTTGGCTTGGAACAAGTTATTTAAAAAAAACAGGCCTGGAACGAGATGATGGTACAAAGGCCCGTGGGGCCGGAATCGCATAGTTCCATCCATTAGGGTACATCCCCAGATCTGCTCTTCCCTCCCCCCTTTTAAGATGCCATCGCGTCACTTAGGTCTTCTTCTTGGCCGCGGCCTTGGCCTTGGCCGCCTTCTTCTTGTTGCTGTTGATCATGACGATACTTATGAAGGTACCGACCACGGCCGATCCCAGGAGAGTCAGGATAACAGGGATTCGGATGGCCCAGACGCGCGGAGGGGAAGATGTCATGGAGAGGGTGGCCCGGGTCGACAAACGGCTGTTGACAACAGTTAGCAATCATTCAGTTAGATTCAATCAAGTTCTTTCCCAATATCATACCATCAATAGGGTCCATGCGGTATAGTAGAGAAAGATTGCGGTGGCGGCCAAAAGCATGGCGGAACCGACGAGTTGACCCAGCTAGATCTCTCGATTAGTGAACTGTCATGACAAAGGCGCAGTAATTTAGAAGAGGCAGAAACAATACCATTCTGGGGAAGAAGTGATCGCTCAAGAAAAAAGAAAGGAATGACAATAAGGAACCAAACCCAAGAGGAAAACACAAGAAGGGAGAGCTGGAGGGTCACCAACGGAGGACCAGCGTGGCCGGCGCCGGCGATCTGTCGCGCTGTCAGGAGCTATCACGTGACATGCGCGAAAAGGTTCTAATCCACTCCAACTGCTCTGGATCCGCAACCACCGTCGACCAGGAGCTTCCTCCCTCCACTTCCCCCCTTCCACCCGCTCTTTGAATTCTTGGACCTCCTCCAGTATTCATCATGTCGGATCCAGTGGTCCTACAATCTGCGGTCCGTGTGCCCACCCCTCCCCCGGGCGCCGAATCTCCAACCGCAGCCTCTCGAAAGCGCTCACCTCCTTCTCGGTCGCCCTCGCCCAATCGCCGTCGGTCGCCACCGGGTGACTCCAACAGCAGAGAAAATGCCGATGTGCCTCGGATGGATGATGATCGGGCAATTGAAAGAGAGCGACAGCTGGCCGAACGAGTGCGCGAACATGAAAAGCAGGAGGCTGCTCGCAAGCCCATGACCGAGGAGGAAAAGCAAGCATCGGCCAAGGCAGAGTACGAGAAGCTCTTAAATATGCGATCTGGTGGCACATATATTCCGCCAGCACGACTTCGTGCGCTGCAAGCCCAGATCACCGACAAGACCAGCAAGGAGTACCAGCGCATGGCCTGGGAGGCACTCAAAAAGTCGATCAACGGTCTGATCAACAAAGTCAATGTCTCCAATATCAAATATATCGTCCCCGAACTTTTTGGTGAAAACTTGGTTCGTGGTCGCGGTTTGTTCTGCCGTTCCATCATGAAGGCGCAGGCGGCCAGTTTGCCCTTTACGCCCATCTATGCAGCCATGGCTTCCATTGTCAACACCAAACTACCCCAGGTGGGAGACTTGCTGTTATCTAGATTGATCACACAGTTCCGCAAAGCATTTAAGCGAAACGACAAGGCCGTCTGCATCTCCTCCACGACTTTTATTGCGCACCTTTGCAACAACCAAGTCGCCCACGAAATGCTTGCGGCTCAAATCCTCCTACTCCTTCTGCACAAGCCAACGGATGACAGTGTCGAGATCGCTGTAGGACTTACCCGCGAAGTTGGTCAGCACCTGGAGGAAATGAACCCCCCCGATCGCCCTCGCCGTATTCGACCAGTTCCGCAATATCCTCCACGAGGCCGACATCGACAAGCGTATTCAATATATGATTGAGGTGCTTTTCCAAGTGCGCAAGGATCGATACAAAGACAACCCATCCGTCAAGGAGGAACTTGATTTAGTGGAAGAGGATGATCAGATTACCCATCGGCTGGGTTTGGATGACGAAATGGAGACTCAAGACACCCTCAATATCTTCAAATTCGACCCCGAATGGGAACAACACGAGGAGGCCTACAAGAAATTGAAGGGCGAAATTCTGGGCGAGGATAGCGATGAGGATGGAGATGATGACGATGATGACGAAGACGAGAGCTCGGAGGATGAATCGGACGCGGAGGAACAGAAAATGGACATCAAGGACCAGACAAACACAAACCTGGTCAACTTGCGACGAACGATCTACCTGACTATCATGTCGAGTATCGATTTCGAAGAATGCTGTCACAAATTGATGAAGATCAACCTTCCTGCAGGCCTGGAGCCGGAACTCCCGTCAATGATCATCGAGTGTTGCTCTCAGGAACGAACATACTCCAAGTTTTATGGACTAATCGGTGAACGCTTCGCCAAGATCAATCGCCTCTGGTCCGATCTCTTCGAGGCTGCATTTGCCAACTACTATGACACTATCCACCGCTACGAAACAAACCGCCTCCGCAACATCGCGCGTTTCTTCGGACACATGATCAGCAACGATGCCATCGGCTGGCACGTTCTATCCGTAATTCACATGAACGAGGAGGAAACCACCTCGAGCAGTCGTATCTTCATCAAGATCCTGTTCCAGGACTTAGGGGAGCATATGGGCTTGCCCACCTTGCAGGCCCGTTTCAGAGACGAGATCCTTCGTCCCAACTTCGAGGGTCTATTCCCCACAGAGAACCCTCGCCAAACCAGATTCTCTATCAACTATTTCACCAGCATTGGTATGGGTGTTTTGACAGAGGACATGCGCGAGCATCTCAAGAATCTCCCCCGACCCACTGTACCGGCCTTGCCAGCAGCTCGCGCCTCACGCTCGCCATCGGCACGGTCATACTCCTCTTACAGCGGCTCTTCTCGCTCCCGATCCCGCTCCTATTCCTACTCTCGCTCTCCTTCTAGGGATCGCGGCCGTTCTTACACCCGCTCCGTTTCTTCGCGAGGCCGCAGCTACACTCCATCTCGCTCGCGCTCGCGCTCAGGATCTCCTCCTCGCCGTGCCAGACGTGCTACACACAGTCGATCGCCATCCGATGGATCCCGCTCCCGCTCCCGCTCCCGTTCACGAACTCCGGCTAAACGGTCCCGAGGCCGTTCTTACGATTCACGTTCCCCCAGTCGAAGCCGGTCTCGGTCTATCACCCCACCCCGTCGCGGACAGGCTTCCGGCAGCCGACGGAGTCGCAGTTATTCGAGATCTCTGTCTCGTTCTGTGACACCTCCCCGCCGGGGACGTACCACGAAGGATGCGCACTCACCTTCTCCTCCGCCGCGCCGGAGACGTAACTCGTCATCTGTCTCCGGCAGTCCTCCCAGGCGACGAGACGATTCGCGAGGTAGAAGTCTATCACGAACGCCGCCTCGCCGTTGACAATATATTGCACAATAGCAAATGAACGCTCAGTGGTTTTCGTGTATAGCATTTGTGCTGTTATCTTGGTTGGTATAAATTTGTCGGCAGGGAAGGCTTGTTTTGGAGCTGGAAGCACGGTCATGCGAATGGGCAGAAAATCTTTTTAACGGTTGTACTTTATTTCTTTACTTTTGAACTCTTTTGCCTCCGCGGCGGAATTCCAGATACCAATGCATACTATCCGGCGGACGATGGCGTCCAGCCGGTCACATCAATTTTTTGCTCGTCGTAACCTAGTCGGTGTTTCTAATAGTTTATCCTGATTCTAACCGTTTATGATGCCAATCAGATAACTGTCTGGGCAGGTGGGTACAAGATATTAGGTAGTTGAATACTACCCAGGTGCCAGTAGTATAGTAATATTTACATCTTCAGCGCTGGCTAGCTACAATAGGTATCTAAAGATAGTAACGCCATCCTCCACCTTACATTACTACGCCAAAATCCACAATCAAGATCCTTGGGTATCTCATACATCAACATCGCATCGCACCGTAAATCTATATTCTAATATAGACGCAGCAGCATCATTTTTTAATCCTCAAAAGACTCCCACACGCATCTGTCACAGCGGCAGATACCACCCAGAGCACCAGACGCCCACTGCCTCCTCTCGTGGACCGGCAGGCCAATATCACAATAGTGATTCAAAATCTCCTGATCCTTCGCAATACCTCCCTTCGCGGGGGGGCTTGGCCGCGATCTTTCCCTCATCATCAGTCCTCGCCCACACAGCCGTTTCCTCATCGTGTCTCGCGCGGAACGTAATCTCACCACCCCACTCCCAGCGCACATTCGGATCACACGAATGGTTCGCCAAACACCAGAGCGGATGCACAGCGCAGAGTTCCGGCCCACCATCCCAAGTCGAAAGACGGCCAGAAGCAGTGCCGCGGAACTTGGCATACAAAGTGTTCAGCACCCAGGTGTCGTAGCGCGGCAGCGAGGCGTACGGGTCGATCTCCATTTCCTCGAGGAAGCGCATCGGCTGGAGGATATTGAGTTGGAAGGAGAATGGGAGGGAGACGGAGTCATCGCTTTGCGAAGGTGAAGCGAGCGCGGCCGTAATGTCGAAGTCGTGGAAATCTCCCCAGATATACTTCACTTCCGGGAGTTCCAGGGCGTCGATATCCTGCGTGGCCGACATGGCGAGAGCTCGACCGAGCAGCAAGAGATAAAGACAATCTGCCTTATCCTTGGGATCGGGAATGTCCTTCCCAATAGACTCGAGACCATCTTCCAATCCGCAAATAGCACCGTGGTAGACACGCTGCGCGAGGTCATGGCAGGTCTGACTGCAGAACACGGTATCTGCACAACCGCCCTCACACCCAACAGGTGGCTCTGCAGCCGAGAGATCCGGCAGGGGAGAATTACAAGCGTCGCAAAGATCATCATGGAGGCGATTCGTCGCCGTGAGGAGCGAGTTCTCGCGAAGAATAATTTCATCCGCGGCGATATCTTCCTTTGCAAATAGACCAAGTTGAACGGAGACTTCTTCCTCATCATGATCACGATGCAGAGCCGGCAAAGCCACAGCCCGGACCTCGCACTTCGGCGCTATCTCAGCGAGTCGCTCGTTGAGGAATTTCAATTCCTCCGGCGAACGGCGATCGGGCTCGTGTTCGTTCCAGGGATAGAGCACGCGGCGCGCATAGCCCTGCGCGGGAAGAATGGCCGAGTCGATCGAGGTGAGTTCGATCTCTTCCTCTGATTTCGTGCGAGTCTGGTAGACTTTCTTCACTTGCTTCATTTGCTCGTTCAGCTCGGCTGTGGCCGGAGAAGATCCATCCAACAGACCAATTCCGCGCACGCCGAATTCATATGCGTCGCGGTAACAGCCACAGCGGACTAGACCGCGGACTAGGACGGCGTACACGTCGCCAATCAAGGCGTCGTATTCTTCCTGCGTTACTGGGATTGTGTTGTCGTCGTCTTCTTCATCTTCGTCCTCGTCCTCTTCTCCCTCGTTCTCGTTCTCGTTCTTCGGCGCATTTGTCACTTCAGTGGCAGGGGTATCGACCTTCTTGCGAGCAGAGAATTCACACCCGTCCGGGTCAACGACAGATTCGAGCAGTGAGAGCGCGCGATACGCATCGGCGGCCGCTAGATCGGGAAAGCCGAGCTGTTCATAGAGACGGGCGCGGTCAAGGTAGAGGTGTGGATTGTGGGGGTCGGCGTAGAGGTTTTCTGTTTTCTCAGTGCGAGCTTGCAGCAAGTCCGCGGCCATCTTGGCAGGTGTTTGAGTAAAGTAGGCGTAGTTTGACTTTAGAGAAAGATCTCAACTGTGACGGCGCATTTTTTTTCAAGGTGGGGCAATCCGTTGGTGGGGGGTGGCGGGGAAGAGTTGTACAGTAAAGCATACTATACTTCCAGTTCGAGATGGCATTCTATTGGGTTCAAGTTCAAGTTGAGAAACTTGAAGTTTTAACATTAGTCTTAGAAAGTTTGATAATCGGAGTAACATTGGATTCAATTACAGTAGCGCCATATCAATCTCATGCAAGTTGTCCCTAAAAATGCCCATCTCATGCTAATTTAACGCCCGAATTCCCCGTCGCCACGAACCCGCGGAATCAATCTGGATGAAAATAGGCAAATAGAAAAGTGATTTGCTGCAAAACAGAACAGTGGAAGGAGGGATACGCCAGGAGCTTAGATCGTAGTCGTCATAATCGATTATTATCACATAACCTATCACCAAAAGGTTAGCTTCGTTTTTGAGACAAGCTGTCAGGAAAGACAAACCATGCAATTGTCGTCAAGCACAACAGTAGGGCGATCATCGCCTTCGGCAAGGGGAGTGATTCCATCCCCAAAACTGACGCCAGGTCGACCTCGCAGTGTGGCAGCAAGACGTGTAAGCATGTTTCTCTGTGAAAGCTTGTTAGCGTTGATCAAGTCATCTGAGAGGTAAGAAGCAATGTGTACAGTAATATACGCCTCGTCCATGCCTCCGCGGCGGTCAAGATCATTTTGGTTCATGATGCGATAGCTATCTTGGATGCGCTTGCGGCTTTGCAGTCCGCCGATATTGCTTGCGTTTGTGCGTAGGACATTGGCCGGATTGTCGGGGTCGAGGACGTTGAAACCCCGGCGAGCCTGATCTTGGGCGTATCGATCGGGGGAAAAGACTTTGATCGTGCTGTCAATGCCTGATACAGCCAAAGTGGGTTCGTAGGGGTGACCTGTGGCAAGAAATGAGAAAGGAAGATAAAGCTGGCGTGAGTGGATTTCTCGTATTTACCTTGCACGACGTTAACGACTTCACTGTCGCCCTCTAGGATATTCACCAATTTCGTAGTCTTGCGGTCCCATATGAAAACATGGCCTGCATCGCTGCCACTGACCACGTATTCATCATTCAAGCCGAAGAAATTGACATCTTTGACCGTCTTGATGTTACAATGGCCTCGGTAAACCCGGGAATGTGCTGAGCATGGCACATCAAGTTCGACATCTCCGCGGTTAGATTTGCGGCCGCTATATCCCAAGAAAGGCTGCTCGGTATCGCTATCTCCATCCTCACCTCCATCATCTGATGAATCGGCAGTGCCGAAGCCCCAGTGACCACCTTCCTCTTCATCCTCGTCTTCATCCTCACCCTCGCTTTCATTGTCGCTCAAGGCCTCAGCTTCACTCTGATCATCTCGGCCTCCAGGGGCACCGCGAATCGCCAAATTATCAGAGGATCCAGCCTCGTTGGGCGTAGTACTGTCAGTCTCAGTAGCAGTTGCAACAATTTCCTGAGTAGAGCGCTGTGTTCTCACAAGATTAATCGATCTAATGCGCTCTTCTTCCACATCAGGATCAATGTCGTCTTGGGATCTTTCCACGATCTGGTCCTCGTCACTATCGGATTCATCATCCACCACTGAAGTGTAGAGTCCACCAAAAGCGCGGTTGACAAAGGAATAATCGACACCGTTTCCAGCTTCCATTAGAACCCCTCTCCCCACCCTCAAGATCCAGAACCGAGTGGCCGATGCCCGGTCAAGAGATCGAACTTGCGAGGAAGAATTAGAGACGCGGCGCTTATCGACCCGGGCAGCCATGTTTTCTAAATCTTCGAGAGGCAATTTCACCGCATTGCCAAAAGCCGTTACTGCTGCTCGTTGCGTTTGGAATAAAATACGGGAGGCAGCGACTTCAAAACGAGATGCGTCCACGTTGATGATCGGAGTGTCGCTTGCCAAGCTTTGGAGGTATGGGATCAGAACACCATCAATTGCCTCATCGCCGGCATCAGCTGGTATTGGAAAACGCCCATGTACTCGTGCGGGGTAGGAATCCTGTTTGAAACCAGCCAGCAGCCCTAGTCTGCCACCCTGTAACCAGAGCAAGATTGCCTTCAAAAAGTCATAGCCAAATTGAGATTCTCGTTCGATAGAGTCGTCTTCATTTGGCGCGGGTGAAATTTTCATGAAATCTTGCCAGCCAGCGTTCTCAGTGTCGTCGGCCATTTCTAGTGCATGTGCAAGCGCACCGGCCGCTTGAACAAATCTCCACGATGTTTGACGATTACGACGAAGGGTTTGCTGGAATACAACAGTTTCGTGGGAGGGGTTCATCGGGTAGCGCCATTTGCTGATAACATCGTTCATCTGGGGTAAATACTGAGACGCCAGCGCTAAGGCTGTGAGGAAGGTATCAGTAGGAGGAATATCCGTCTGGTTGGATTCCATGGCCTCTCGTGTCGCTGATTCCAGGGAGAATAGGGATTTCCGCAGCTTGACCAAGCCCTTTGCAATTTCCATGCTAAGTTTCTGGGCCTCGCTCAATACCGAGTTTCTCGCACGTTCCAGTATGCCCCCCGGAGACTCGTCGCTATCTGACAGATTTGAGAACGAGATGTCAGAAGTTTCACCATTTTCATAATGAACTCTTAAAGCATTCGGCTCGGCAGAGCGACGACGAGAATTATGTCTGTCTCCACTTTCCTGGGAGGATAATGAAGTTGGCTTTGGACGCTTTCGCTTCCGGTTGCGTGAGCTGTCACTGCGGCGGTTTTTGGAGTTCTTGATCTTCGATTTCTCTTCGGGCGACTCATCACGAGCATCAGGGCTTCGGACGAGATCAAAACTATAGATGTGGTCTCCCGACCAGCTAACTACCATCTCATTCGGGTTCGCATCGCTGATCTTGCAGGCGGTAATATGACCGTCGTCAATGTGTCTCATACGACGCTTGCCACGAGGGGCAAACCGGCGCACACACCGAGTTGCCTTTCCCATCATTTCATCTGAGTTGCTCCCAGCCGTTGGAGTCGACACGGAGGGACTGCCTCTTTCAGCAGAGGTGTCTCTACCAAGCATGCGGCGATCATGCAAAAAGCTGTGCATATGGGCACCACCTAACGCGATGTAATGTGGTTGACTCGGGGAGCAGGAGATTGTATTGAGGTCCAGGTTGTATCGCTTGTAGGAAATAAGTGGCGGGGGAACGTTCGAGTCGTCATGCTCCTGTCCAGGCCGGTATGCCATGAAGCCCTGGCCGCCCCGAGGTGGAGGATAAGCGGATGATGGTTGTCTCAAATCCCATTGACGGACCTCGCCATCCTCGGAGCAAGTCAGAAAGAGATGGGGCGATGACTCCGTGACGATACGCTTCACGCGATCAGAATGGCTTCGGTAGACTCTAGCATTGGTGTTTCCTTCGCTGAGATACCGGGCCCCTTCAAAGAAATTGTTGAAGCGTTGACTGCGGGCGGAAGCCGCAAAGGCCGAGGTAGCGCCGGCATTGTCGCTTTTGCTGGCATATTCAATGTCGAAAACGCGCACTTGCGAGTCGCCCGCGCAGGTTATCAAGGTTCGGTCATTGGAATGCGGCATGAACTTGACGGAGAAGATATTGGCCTTGTGGCCAGTGAGAATTGTGGTTTTTAGGGCAAATGGTGCACTGGATGAGTCGGGTTGGTAGGAATAGATGTTGAGGTGCTGATCATCGGAACCCGAGGCCAAAAGATGTCCGGATCGGGACCAACTGCGATTGATTAGCACTGATGAACAACGTATCGGCAAGGATAACTAAATACCTCAAAGCATTCACGCATCCTGTATGTCCGCCCAGCTCATTCACAATATCGAGATTTTCGACCCATTCCTTACCACCATAGATGCCCCGTAGTCCGGCATACGAGGAGGAATCCCCGCATTCTCGGCGCCAGAGCCGATCGTAAAGTGACTCTTTCATGGTGGTGATATGTTGGGAGAGTCACCAGAAAATTGAGTTTCACTAGGGGCGATTAAAGGTCATGGTGAAAGGAAGGGCAGGAGAGCCTGAAAGGGGAGCAAGCTGAATTTCTTTCGGTGTCTCTTTTTTTTGATCTTCGTCGCGTGGAGTTGTTAGCTACTGAGAATGACGTCAGCAAGATAACGGGTTGAAATGTCAGAGGAATGCCAGGACAGGAAGCCTCACAGTTTTGGGGGTGGACGATGGAAATATAAGCAGCAGAGAAGTTGAGAAGTTGAGGAGAAAGGAAATGCGCAAGAGGGGAACCCCGTCACATCCAGAACCGGTTGAGGGCGTCGACCGCAATCCAGACCTGCCTCAGCGGAAAGCGGTGTACCTCGGCAGCTGCCGGGATGGTTTTGTATGGGTTTATCATTTATCAGGAGTTCAGGCACCATGTTAGTGTTGGTGTGAGCTCCTAGTGACGACAGATTACACCTGACATTTGAATCTCTTACCATTCATTGTAAATTCCGAAATATGCTATGATATTTTGTAATTATTCTGGCAGAACCGTTGGGTCCTCTTCTTCTAAGTTTTTATGTCATCATGACATCCAAAGCCCTGCCCGTGGTTGCAACGTTGCCCGATGAACATTGGCCAACCCAGCGGCTAGCTGACTGACCTGCTCTCGCTCCGCGCGGATGATTTCACTCTCAGTTTTTTGCATGGAGTGAATCTCTTGAATCATAAGCTGGGTTGATTCATACAGGCCCTGTGTCACCCGCACCAGGGCGGATTGTTCCAGTCCCTCGACCCTGGTAAAAGCTTGGACATCAAGACTTCCAAGCTGCCGCATGCAGAGATCCAATTTCGCCTTCAGAGCATGCAACTCTTCCTTCCAAGTATGATCCAATGGGTCGATGAAGACAACTCGATCGTCGATGCCCGACGACTCCCTATGGGATCGAATGTTCTTTGCTTCGTAAAACCAGGCCTCGAAGGTTTCCACCGCTCGGGTATATCGACCATGCACTTGGGAAATAAGGTCGGATACCTCTTGTAATATTTGAGACATGATCTGAATCTGTTGGGAGAAATCACTCGAGCCGTGGTGACCCTGGCAATTCTGGGCCCAGTATCCGAGAGCTTGCATATTGATATGAGTTTGACGTTGTTTTTCATGCCCTAACGTAGAGCGATATTGATCAGCCACGGCATCGTACTTCTTGTGCAACCGTGTTTCTGATTCTACCTTCCAATCCGCTTGGCGCTGGAGGGAGTTGGAATGTAAAAGACTAAGCTGAAGAAGCTCGGTTTGTAAAGCTGTGATATCCGGCCATGACGCTGGAATCAGCAGGCCATCTGCTGCCAAGGACGAATGTGTGCCAGGAGTAGGTGTCGGAGGTTTGGCTACCGGTTTTTTGGGAGAGTAATGTTGTTGGTAAGTCGAAAATTGTGCCTTGGCTTTCTGGGCAGTAGCGGCAGTTGCAGAGTCGGCTTGAGTCTTCTTCACAGTCCCCGAGACCATCTGGCTCCGATGCCGCGCATGGCCTCTGGTTTCAACCTGTGACCCCACTCCTGGTCTCGTGTTATTTGCGGGTTGTCTCAGAGAAGCTGAGCGTGCAGGTCGCGGCGGTGGAGGCATGGTCGTCTTTTTAGGGGAAGAGGGTCTCGGAGTAGGTTGCGTAGGTGTTCGAGCTGTAGGCTGCTTGCGCGGCGAGGGTGGCGCCGTCGAGAGCGGTGGTTTCGTAGAATTAGACGCATTGCCCCTGCTCGAGGTCGAGATGGGAGTCACCCTGGACGTTCCAGGTCGCATTAGGCTTTGGCGACGGGCGAGCACCGACGCGGTAGCAGTGCTTGCTGGCGCTTTCTTCGTTTCGTTTACATTTTGCTGTCTCTTTGGCGAGGTTTCGCGCACAGGCTTATTCTCGGGTGGCTGGAGTGACGGTTGTCCAGTGCTCTGGCTTTCATGGCTTTCGTCTCGACCGGTATTGCTGCGCTGTGGGAGGAGTGTTCGGCCGCGGGAGGATGCGATTCCTTCGATCGGCGAATGGGTAGGTTGAGGTCTATCAGTTGCAGTTGGCAATCTGGCAGGTACTTTGCTGGTGCCAGTGGTCTTTGCTGTAGGTCGTGCGATACCAGAGGCCTGCTGCATTGCACCGAGGTTTCAGCGACGGAATGCTGGGGGGATGGTTATGCGGGGGAGAGCTAACCGGCTTGCGTAGCTCACGCGGTTCGCGCAGAGACATCGACCGTGTTGGGATCGGCATATTTGGGCCGGGTAGGTAATATCTGACTCGGCTCCTGGGGGTTCCCCCACGGTGATCTACCCAGAGGAATGACCAGAAGATCGCCAAATTGAATGTTTGGGTTCACAGCTGCAGTGATCCGCGGAGGTCTCCACCGCGCGGTGGACCAATCAACAGCATCACCAGCGCTATGGTCAACTTGGAACTACTACATAGTACTGAGTACATATGTACTATTTGAATAATTACTAGGTATCGTCAGGCTTCTTGGCAATGAAGCCTATGTCCTGTGGTCTCATTCTCTAGCAATCACGAATTTGGGTTATAAACTGAAGAGAAAAGTAACCCGCCGGTATTGATATTGGATGCTGTTGTGAACCTCATAGCCATTAATGTCCCATGCCTGGCACACCACAAAAGACATTCACTCACACCACCACGATAGATAATGATACATGTAGGCAGGATGCTGTAGATGTCTGTTTAGATTTAATCCTTTCCATTAGCAAATAATTTCCTGCACTTCCCCTGCTTTACTGAGATAAGCATAGCTCGCAGCCTTCACTCCACTTAAACCTTCGATACTACGGTCGGCCCCAGATTGAAGAAGGAATCGTGTTTCCTCGGCAAAACTAAAGTGAGCCGCGAGAGCCAGCGCAGTTCCACCATGTATGAGAGGACCCATAAACTCAAAAAGATTGGTATCGATTCCAAGATCAAGGACATGCTTCATCATTGGAATGCGATTCTCAGGGCCCCGGCACAAGGCCCAGTGTAACGCACAACTTTTCTCAATATTGGCACCATGCTGGACTAGAATATCGACAATTTCTGTATCGCAGTGTCTAGCCGCTAGATTCAACGCTTTGCCGGAATCAGGAGTCGGGGGCCCGTCTCTCCCCTTAGGTCCCACTCGAGGTCAGTTTTAGGACCTAGATACTGACAATACAAGATGAGACCCGAGAACAGTCTTGTTCCATATTCATGAACTGGTATGCATTCAAATTGAAATATCGAGATAAAGGACCTCGAGATGCTGCTACTATGAATATGTAGGGAGCCAACAGGTTGAACAAATACTAGTAGCGTATTACAAGCTCCGCTGAACAACTGTTGGATGAAAAAAGGTAGATACAATATTAACATAGAGATTTCGGTGGGTTTCATGATGAGTGTAAAATGTCTAGCTGATGAAGACTAGCCTTTTGTAAAATAGAAGTTAGTCGCTGATATACTGAGCCAGACCACAGTATTAACAAGTGGAGATCTGATCCCACGGCATTTTCCGCCTCGCCGACTACCTCTAGAACCCGGAGTATTGTTCTTCTTCATGCGAGATATCTACCGGGATCAGGTACCAAATAGGCTGAACTTTGGCGAAAAAGCTAGATGCATATGCAAAGCTAGCCAGGCATCTAGCCAGTAGGAAAATATCTGGTAGGCCACGAGCTACGCCTATAGCGCTCTAGCGCCAGTGAGGTTACAGCGACGTTTGATTAAATAGCTACTCCGTAAGCGAAACATCGTATTTGGACTCTCCCCTAGAATTATTAAAGGGTGCCCTGTCTATTGCTTTCGTGTCTACAGTGGCTTCCATACTAAAATCCACACAATGAGGATAAGATCCGTTCTCAACGCCGTCTCGGCGATACTGTCATGCACAGTCGTCACCTCCGCACAGTCTCCCGACCCAATTGGCACCATCTACAGCGGCCATGTACCAGCCAATCTACACGGATCCGACTACCACTACCCCTGGCCCGTGAAGCTTTTCAACTTCTACAACCAGCGCCAGAAGCTCTCAATGGCCTTCATGGACGTCCCCGCAAGCAGAAAGTCCAACAAAGAAAAGACCGCCGTCCTCCTTCACGGCGGAAACTTTTGCGGAGTCACTTGGTCTGATACAGCGCGCCAATTATCAGCTGCCGGATACCGGGTCATCCTGCCTGATGATATTGGCTTCTGCAAATCGAGCAAACCCCAGGGCTACTCTTACAACGTGCATCAGCAGGCGCTGAATATAAACAGTCTTCTCACCGTGCTGGGTATAGACCAAGCCACTATCATCGGCCATTCAATGGGCGGCATGATCGCCGCCCGGTACGGTCTTATGTACCCCGACTCTGTGGACCAACTCTTTCTCGTCGACCCGCTCGGCCTAGAAGACTGGGTTGCGAAGGGCGTTCCCTTCCTATCAATCGACGCAACCTACGAGTCTCAAGTTGTGCAGAACTTCAGCAGCCTAAAGGCGTACGAGGCGGCCAGCTACTTTCACAACGCGACCTGGAAACCCGAGTACGATACCTGGGTCCAAATGCTAGCCGATATTTACGCCGGCGATCAGGGCTCGGAATATGCGTACGTGATGGCTCTTGTCACGGATGCGCTGCTTAGCCAGCCTGTTATCTACCAGCTGCCGAATCTGCAGATGCGGACCTATCTGATGGTAGGCGAGAACGATGTCACGGCGCTTGGTAAGGCTTGGTCGCCTATGAGTGTTGCTGCGACATTGGGTCACTATTCTACGCTTGGTCCGGCTGCGGCTGCTTTGATCCCTAATTGTTCCTTCCATATGTTTCCTGGGCTTGGGCATGCGCCTTTTCTCCAGGATCCGAAGGCTTTTTATAAAGTGTTGTTCTCTTGGCTAGACTAATTGGGGGTAATGTGCCTGGCCGCCTTGACATAATAATAAAAGATTTCTTCGTGGTTGTTGCTTGAGAGCTGGAGGTATTTACCTAGGTAATAGCACCTAATGAAAGCGTTTCAAAGTACGTAGGGTAATTATTCCAAACTCTATATTTTGAATATCCATTTCTATCTGCGTAGGCACGTCAACTCGGACACTTGGAAATGTCTGGGCCTGGTTTCATCGGGTGGTTGGGGGGTTGAACAGGGAACAAATCTGGCTGTCAATTGGTAGTAAAAAGAATCGAGATATCCCCCAAGTCATCAAGCTCCGTATGCCTACGGAGAAGCATGTAGAGAGACTATCGATGATCGATCATTCCCATGCCCATCCCTGCGACCATTTTATCACTGTCGGTTTGGAAGATCACAGGCTTGCTTTGTTTGATTGAAGTCGCTCTCAGATTCGTTGTAACTCTCTAGAGGTTGCCACGACGAGGGAAAGCAACACCGTCAATGGCGGGGTGGTCGGTGAACCAGCTCACCTTCTCACCACCACCCTGGTTGACCAGAGCAGAAGGAAGGTTACGGCCCTCCTCGGTATCAAAGATGGCCTTCATGATATCCTTCTTTCCAGCGCCGGTGGCCACGAAGGCAATATCGTGGGCGGAGGTGACGACGGGCAGGGTGAGAGTGATACGCTTGGGGGGGGAGGCTTGGGCGAGTTGGTCTCGGCGGCGACCCAAGCATCCTTCTCGCGCAAGAGGTCATGGCCAGGGAACAAACTGCAGGTGTGGCCATCGGGGCCACAACCCAGCAGAATGAGGTCGAAGATGGGCAGCTTGACGCTGTCCTTGGCGGCGAAGGACCGCATCAGGTCTTCCTGGTAGAGGTCGGCCAATTCCTGAGGGTCATCGTCGTGGACGTGGTCGGCATCGATGGGGTGGACAGTCGGAGCTCCGAGCTCCGCTGGGATTTTGGTCAGCAGCTCAGCCTTGAGGAGCTTGTAGTTGCTGTCTTCGTGGTCAAGTGGGACGGCCCGTTCATCGGCGAAGAAGATATCCCACTTGGCGAACTGTGGGGTATCCTCGGGAGTACCATTGCTAGGCTCGAGCAGAGCGCGAGCGAGCACGGTGGGGAGGGAGCCACCGGAGACGGCGACGCGGAAGGTATCGTGGCGAGCGATGGCGGCATTTTGGGCCCGAAGGATGTAGGGCCTTAATTGCTTGGCCAGAGCATCAGTGCTGGGGAAACTGTAAAGCTGGGGTTGTCCAGTGGCCATGGTTGCGTGAATGTGCGGAGGGGTAGGGTGAAAGTGCAGATTGAATTGAATCGAACCGAATTAAGATGGAGAGGTGGAGGTGGAGGGGGAAATTCCACTGGCGGGGGGGGTGATTCCATGACGTCGTCTGCAGCGGTTCATCTTATCTTCCACATACACCACAGCAGCCACAAAAGCATTCACCTTGAGGAAGGGTTATCTGCCCTGGGGTCATATCCTGTTTGTTGGCCCATCCTTTTACCCTTGAATCTTCATATGGACAAGCACATCTCTGTCGAATTTACCCAGCTCCAAGGTTGGTCGGATATGATCGGCCCTCCCGCCAATGTTTCGCCACACTTTATCCCGTTCAAGGGCCATGGCTCGACGCCAACGATAATAACATTCGCCCATTCGGGCCGCATGCAGATCTCGTTTCGAAATGACAACATCTTGCAGAGGGTCTAGATGAGGCCTGAACAGGCTAGATAGGGCCGGCAAGACCGGCAATGGTTTTACGTCTAGCACAGCCTTTCCAGGCAACCCGAGTACGCCAGTACGATCGTACGAGAGAAACATCCGTCAGAAAATTAAAGGAATGGAGTCAAAGGCTGCACTTTTCATAACACAGTTTCGAGACCAAAATTCAAGCAAAAGCAAAAGCCAATAGACTGGAGTCACCATGGGTCAGACTAGGCGGAAATATAAGATGTACTCCGTACATGTCGTGACGCCAACGACCCCTCGTGCGTGTGACATTCATCTCCAAAAACAGGAAACCGCTAAGGTTTGAAGAGACAAGAATTTGAAGTACGGGGGGGTTTCCATCAGTACAACCGAAACCGATTAACCTACTGGGGCACAAGGGATGCGCGCTATCGCCGCGCTAGCACCCGTGGGTAATCACGGGGGCCTGAGAAAACATTCTTCACTGTCTCCTCCCTCCGTTTCCTCTTTTTAAAGATCTTCAACTTCTCCTCGTTCAGGACTGTTTCTGCCTTTCTCTCTTCTTCTCTCCTAAACTCCCCTCACTTTACCCCCCCGAGCTCATTCAACGAACCCCCAAACTCCACCGCAGACCTCGGGATGAGCTCGCCCGCGGTTCAAATCGCGCCGCAGCCCCGTGGCGTCCCCCATCCGCCCGGGGCGTCTCCACCCCTCACCTTCGACATTGTCCGCTGCTCGCGCTGTCAACAGTCTCTCAGTCTCGCCAGTCAGTCGAGCTCTGGTGCCGTACAATTCGGCATGAATTCCTACTATTGCAGTCGCTGCGCCTCCAAGGTCGGATTCGTGCGATAAACACATGATTCCCCATGGACCGGAAGGCAACAGCTTTCTATACTTTGACAACCCGACCATCACCACTTTTACGGGCTGGGCCTGTATTACAATTATCGCTATAAACAGATTTCCTTCTGTTCTCATCTGATACTTGCCATTTGGATTTGGCACCCCCTCGACCCTTTCATTTCGTGAAACTCGACACCGGTGCCGGCACCGGCCTCTCCACGCCCCGCCTTCTACCAACAACGATATCGACCACAGGGAGACTCTCCCTGTGAAGGCTCCTTGGTTCATTTTCTTGAACACAAATTGCCAGCTACCTAATCATGATTTCGCCATCATTCTTCTCATACTAAACCCCTTATCGGTGGTATGACTATCCAAGACATGCGATAAACGAACCTGCTGGGAAGCCACGAGACGGTGTGAACAAGCACGCTGTCAGCTAGGGAAGAGTGTTACTCTCAGGTCGCCTGAATTTAACGGCCATCGCCCTTGCGAATTCAGAACTTCATGATACATTGGGATCTATCCTGTGAGCAAATCGCAATGGAACTTTTCATTCGGCTATATGAGCTAGACCCAACTCTGTTGGGTGTTCGTGGCGCATTATAAATAGCGTATTTGATTCATCTTGTGCACTACAGCCTTGCATCTACTATTCAATATGTCACAATATACTCCGTCGAACTTTCAATAATTTCAGAGATTCAGAAGTCATAGTACTCTACTAGTCAGTAGATGCCGTAACTGTAGCGACAACCAACGGGTTATTACCCGTAGGCATGTGCAGTCTGAGAAGTGCCCCTGGCAATCTTGGTAGACTCTAACTCCAACAGTAATTTCCACAATATCTTTCGGAATAATTATCCGGGAAAGATAGCTTGCTTACTTTGTTTTTCATGTAGTTCTGCTAGTTAACTAAGAACTATAGTAACGGTACCATCTTCCTGCTTCCACTCCCCCACAACCATCACAACCACATCCATCGCAGTTCGCAGAATGATCGCGTGGTCAACAGTCTTGTCCTACACCAGGTATTCTTGATTCGGTTCAAAAGCCACAATAACCTTTGGGATGTCGCACATGCCCTGGCCGTGATCACTTTCATGGCGCAAACCTAACAGGCCCCCGGCAATTCAACAGGATCTTCGGATCACCCGAGGGTGAAACGCCAATAGTCGATTAATCGAGCCATGAAAATACCCCACGGTGGAACCTGCAGAGCTACATAATTCCGCGGAGTCAAATCATTTCCTGTCAACTTTCGATGGGGCTAACCTGTGCAACTTGTGTCCGCGATCGCCCACAGAACAGCTCATGGCACCATCCGGATGGATTCTGCAGTGCGACCGGGCCCTTGAAGCATCCGCCGCACCCTAAGACATTGTTCTTCATCACCATTACAGTATGTACATGAGCTGCATTCGAGTGGATCAAAGGTCCCCCGGCAACGCAGCGATTTCCACACAGCTCCGTTGGCGAGTGGAGGCCATTCGAGTGTTCTCACTAGCCGAAACTGCACTCGCAGCCAGCCACGATTCCGTCTAGCTTGCCGCTGCAGGTACATACATTACTCCCAGTTAGCCCGCATTGAAAATCAATAATCACCGGATCGCCCCAAAAGCAAAGACCAATCGATGGCCATCGTTTTTGTGCATTTGTCTGATTGCTCATGTTGCAGGGTTTCCTGGAGACCCCGCTGATCGCCGATCTCCCTATTGAGGGTTTCCACTGCCTGAGAGTGAGCCGATCTGGCTGGTGGCAATCCACTTGGACATACTCCACCGTGGGTCCTGCACAGTTCAGGGATCATGCAGCCCATAATGCCAATGTGATGGATATAGGGTCATGGGCCGCCTCGCGGGCTTGCAAAGATCCACTCGCCCCCTCCTCACCAACTCTTGAGGAGCATGTCCGATCCGGATCTGGCGGTGTAACACGAAGCATGCTAAACGCTACATCTTAGCACTCTAAGATCTTGTGGACTCGTCTTCCGTACCACGCCCCCACCAGCCCCCGCCGTCCCTAAGATTAATGAGACGGGTACTTCCGGGCTTCAAGGCGATCAAGTCGATCTCAATCAGAGCTTGGTGTCTGTGTATCTTCAAATCATGACATGCAAGTGCAAATATATACGGGGGAAAAAGCAACCATATCAGCGATGACACCACTGGAAACTTTTTGGTGGGAATCGTCGCCCAGTTGGGTGGTACGAGGTGGTGATTTATTGCATTTCGCAGTGGACGGGAGGAGCTGAGCTCAGGCTTCGTCGCGATGAAAATGACATATCTCAGCATTGCGTATTGGAGCAGTCGAGCGATCCCTGGCTTAACTGGCTGGCTGGCAGTCCTTTGGCGCTTCTCCATTCGTCAGCCACTGCAGCTTTCTGGGTCTCGCCTCAGTCTACTGCATTCAAGCCATTATTAGGAGATTCCTAATAATTACAACTAGTTTCGACCTGCTTAAGATTTGTCCACAATGAGAGCAGCTTTTGTGGAACGTCCCTCGAAAACATCTCTTCGCCTACTGGATCTGCCATTCTTTCCCATTCTTCCCATTCCTATAATAGACTCAACGCTCGGCTCGTGGAGGGCTTGGATTCTTGTTTCTGCAAAACACATGTGTCGGTCAGGCCAGTTTGTTAACTTCCAGTGACTTGAAAAGTCTAAGTAAGTTATACCCGTCTTGATACTTGGCCCTCCCCCTCGAAGTTCCGGATCTTTTATCCACGCCAGGGTAATATCGACGATATGCGATGACAGGTTTCCCTTGCTTTTTGCCATGCCGAGTCCCCAGAATCAATCTCGAGCCCGCCAATAAATATTTCCCGACAACTAACACGGTCGTTTAAGTTAACTAGGGATCCCGCACACAAAGGAATTGTATCCAATTGTGATCCCAACCAAACCCAAACCTGGTCGGACAAGGTCGAGCTCCGGCTGTTTTTCAACTTGCCTTTGTGAGGATACTGAAGGAGGCCTCGCCGATATTGCGAACAACAAAAACTCATACATTCGAAGGATACATTCGAAGGATATATTCGAAAGACAATAGCCATAACTTCATCCGGCCGTGGAAAATCTACATTGCCCTCATCTGCTGTCAAGCGATATTTTCACTCGCAGCGATGCCATTCATCGGCCGTGACAAGGGTCGAACCCCAAAATCTCGCAGATCAGACGATGAATTCGTTGTATTTCTCCAAGGAGTGAGTCTTCTTTACTCTTCTCTGAACAGGATGTATATGACTAAACAGAATGTCAGATACCGGCCCATTGCCGCTGGCAAGAACTAAAGGATCTGGTGCGCCAGACGGCCTTGCATATCCGACAGGCCGTTGTGTATGATGATAGCCATGGATTTCCCACCGGATTAGGGCAAATAATCATCAAAAATGAAGATGAAGCTTGGCGTACTTATCGTACGTTGTCCAACTTCCTCCAGCCGACTGTTCCGAGTCGCAGAGCTAACAAGGCATTCAGATCGTCTATCAACCAACGGATGGGAAGGACAGAGCTTAGTTGTAACTCTGGCCCGTACCAGCGCTCCTACAAAGCCCATCGCTGGTCCTACAAGAAGCCCTCCAGCCATGATACAAACCGGCTACGTGTCCGGGCAGTCAACTCCGCCTCGATCTCAGGACAACACCACCGTGCCCCCATCACCAATCTCGCCCGAGTGAGTATCCACAGACCCTACATTCTCTCTGGCATAGCCCTAATACCTTCCTAGCTCCGTTCAGCCTAACACCCCAACCTACAACTACCCGGACTACGGCTCAATGATGGGATCGGTTCCAATCTCACAACAACACTTCGTGCCCATGATGCCGGATCCAATGCAATGCTTCCCGCCCTCCCCAATGATGCACTGCTCCATGTACGACGCCCCAGGCTGGGGCATGATGCCCATGTACCCAATGTCACCAATCCAACCTCTCCCCGAGGCAAGAGAGGGCTACCACTACCACCCCCGCAAGCCCTGGACCAGCGAAGCCAACACCAAGACCCCTCCAACCCCACCACCAGAGCGGGCAATTCTGATCCAGAATCTCAGCGTTTCATCAACGACATCAGACCTCAAGAGTCTCCTCAAGGGCTCCGGCACAGTCGAACAATGCAACGTGACCATGGCCGATCCGCACGATAAAGCGCGCACACACGGCTCGGCCATCATGCAAAGCCCCGAGGACGCGAAACGAGCCGTCTCAATGCTAAACAACCTTACCTTCATGGGCTCCAGGATCCGCGTCGTGCTGGACACGAGATCCGGGATATCGCGTAGTGGTAGTTGGGACGGTGCAATGGCCGAAGAGGAGGCGGAGTCCATCAATGATAAGAACTCAGAGTGCAGTGAGTGTGGACAGGATATTTCTGCCACTTCGAAGAAGGCGCATGGCCCTAGTCAACCGCTCGTTGTTGATGGGTCGGGTCACCATAGCCGGTCATTAGAATTGTTGTCTACGTCTGCTCCGACTTAGTTCTTTTGAAGGGGAACGTGATTTATTATTGATGCATTTGATGCGTGACGTTGTTGATATTAATGTACTATGCCATATTATTCATTATATCCGAGTTCATTTGAAAGGATAGACTCGGATACTGAGGATATTGATCCAAGTTCCATGGTTCAACTTGAGTTTCCAACCAAGGTTGTTGGCATCCGTGAACTTCTAGTCCTACTAGTAGGTATTATCGTGGTTTTCATGAGATCCACGCCCAGCCACAGGAATCTGCTATAAACCCGCCGTGCAATTTCTTTAGGTCAAGTTACACGAACGTAAATTCAAGTTTTCTTAGGAATTTCATTGACTAGCTCCCGAACAAGATGGAAAAGTAGTACTAAAAATATGCAACCGTGAATCATCAATTCATTTCAGGCTATATCATAACACCTGAGAAGTCGTCCGATGTTATGCATCTTATCCATCCCGCAACCAAAAATCATAAAACAAAGTCATGCCCAGAACACCATACTATGGAAACAAAGTCAGAACATTAAGTACACATTTTAGAAAAGCAATAGACCCGAATTTCGTAGGGTAGATTGCCATCTTCCTATCACCCGCGGCCCGGTCATTTAGCGTGGTTAATCATCTCTTCGTAGAGATCGGCCGGGATTTTCGGGATAAAGGAGACTGCCATCGCTATGATGCCCTTAGCTTCAAGCGGGGGGAAGGATCGAAGGACTCTTCCGGGGCTTAGAAAAACAAAAACAAGTCAGATATGCCTATAGTCACATAGAGAGAGTAGAGTGTAGTGAGGCTGTCAACTTACCTGTCACTTTGAAAGATCGTATCCCGTATTCGGACCAGCTGGGCCACAATACAGAGAATATTGAGGTGCGGGCCATACGCAAACAGGAAGTCCCACAGATGCAGAACCTCCGGCAAAGGCGGCGTACAAGCAGAAAGCGTAAGGACGGACGCAAAAGCATACAACTCCGCGGTCAACGACTTCGATGCAAGATACGCGGCAAGTTTCGGCTCAACGATCTCAAGACATCGGTCGACTAACCGCAGACCTCTGTGAACGCCGTCCAGCGCGCCGCGGATATACCCGGGGCATTCTTGCGTAACGAAGTAGTGGAACAGGGCGAATGCTTCGACTTCGCTCCGGGCCGCGTATAAGAATGGTGCGCAGAGGACGTTCATTCCTTGGACGTAGATTGCGGAGTCGGAGGAGCCGGGTTCTTCGGCGATGCTTGGGGGTGTGTTTACTAAGAGTTCCATCTCGCGCCGTCGGGAGGAAGTAGGTCGGGACCGGGGCTTCACTTTTGAATCGTGTAGTTTCCATGCCACCGCGTTGAGAAGTCGGATTAGACTGGCTTCTGTCACGCGGCGCTTGAAAAGGGGGTCTGTAGCGAGTGTTCGGAAGGTGTCGTTGCGGATCTTTGTGTAGGCAGGGGAGCCGCCTCGGTGGACGAGAGTCAGGTAGTCGTCCGTGGGAACGGGTGGGATATTCAGGAGAACCAGCCACAGGTATATCCTGTAGGGCGACTATTAGGAAAAACGAACGAAGGGTTAGTCAATGGAGGTCGCAACGCGCTCATGTGTTGAATAGAATGCTCTTACCATGCCGTCGCCATCGGCATCGACCCTAGTCGAGAGAACTAGGTACTTCAACTCTTGCAGCGCCTCTTGAGTCTTTCCATTTTGCGGTCCGTCGCGAAGGAGATTCTCTAGAAGTGATCGCTTGAGTCCTATCCCCGAGCCGGTCTTTCTAGCAGGACGTCTGTGGTGTGGAATTGGTGCTGCCAGCGCAGCTTCACGGGCGGCCGCATCGCTGTTCGAACGAGCCCTTCGGTGGGTGAGGGTGCGCGTTGGGCCACCTGGCGAGTCTGTCGAATTGGAGTCATGAGTACGGGCTGGGGATGGGCGAGATTGGGTCTGGGCAATCAGGGCGTTGGAGGTGGTTAGGACTTGATGCGATTGGATCTTCCGGAGTGTTCGCATCGTCCGCGGTGATGCGGGAGTTTCGGGGCCAGCGAGACCCCAAGAAGGGTGAGGTTTGGCCATGTTTTAGGACAGCATTGGGGAGGCGGTAGGTTGTGGGTTGCAGGTTCAGGTCCAAATTCAGATCAAGTTCGAGTGTTTTGATGTGGTGGCTGGAGAGCTCCGAGTTGATTTTCTGCCGTTGGGGAATTGCGGAGCAACGCGCAGCATCGGATCGAGATGATGCAGCCTTAGCGCCGAGATCAGCTGCATTTTGATCGCCGGTGTCTCAGGTGAGTTTTATTCGGATCTGCTTTGGTCTCAATTAATATACAGCAGTGCTGCATTAGTTCTCGTATTGGAGTATTCCAAAAATGCTACTAGGCGGTCAATTGAACTATACAGCTATCAACTGGGCACAACACACACGCTAGGCGTTCTCTCTATATTACCTACCACCCCTAGTAACCATGTCTAACTTTCATATTTGCACTGGTGACTGGTCATACTGGCTCTGATATCAGATAACCAACTTCAAGTCGAAAATACACGCCCCGAGAGAGATCAAGGACCATGTGAAACTCCAGGGCTTCAAGGCTCTGAGTCAAGCTTTGTACACATTAGCATGGATGTTACATTCAAGTTGAGCAGAGTTTGTCCAGAATATCTTTGCTCAGGTGGAAAAACAGCTTATTATTTCGAAATTCAACTCAAATTTATATATTTGTGTTTCTGCCCAGCCGTCTGAGAGGGCCAGGTGCCCATTGCATTCAGTTCCAGTCTGTATATTGGGAATTCCAAGTCATTCCAAGTTGCTAGTACCTACTACCTACATCCATCCTACCTACATCCATCCTACCTACATCCATCCTACCTACTACTACCTACCTACTACTACCTAGAGATTCAAGTTGTTCCATCAATACCTAGGCATGAGTGATCATTTATTCACTAGAAAGGTAAAAGTCCTCAGCAAGGTGGAAACAATAGTCCCTATCATATCTCTAGGACTAATTGCAAGCATCATCATGGCCTTGCGATTCTATACCTATTTCTTCGTCTCCCGCTCCAAGTGTAATTCGGCACTTATCTGGGTAACTATTGCCCGGGTTAGTTGATTGGATTATATAGAAAAGCGTTAGGATATCAATCAATTGACTCTAACTGAGGGCTGGGTAAAGGTTCTAGTAATATTGAGCACGTCACTTTTTGGCATTGATCTCTGCCACAGCAGATCTGGCCCTGCGCCCTGGATCCCTCTCGTGGTAGAAAATATAAAGACTCTGGCATCAACATTTACGCAGGTTGCGATAACAATGTTTATCCTCCATATATGAGGTGTTGTATATACGATTGGGAAGTGGATCTTACTTACCACCATGGGCCTCAAGGTGAGTTCCTGAGATTCTAAAATACTATGTGTTCTGCAAATTTGACCGTGATAAATAATTGAGGAAAGCTTGTTTGCGCTATTCCGGTGCTTGTGATATCTGTCTAGGAGTGTCATAATTCATTTGATGCCCCTGGTTGCTTGAAGAGTACATCCTACACGCAAATCATAACATCAGGTACCAAAGCTCAAGTTGGATTAATTCTACTTCTTATACTACAAAAGCTAACTGTGGGCTTCAATTAGTCTTGAGTATCTTGACGGATATACTACTAGTACTTCTCATATATCCAGTGGTCATGATGTGGAATCGTCGAATTTCGATCCAGAAAAAAGTTTGTATCTGTATCTTGTTGGGTTTGAGGTCTGTAGGAGCCATCATCTCAATTGTCAATTGGGTGATCTGGTATATCCCACAAGGTTCGTATGAGCTACTTTTCTTGAGGTTACTATCGTCACAGCTATGTCCGGAGCCTCTGCTAGAGAACCTTTGAACTTGAACAATTTCGAATTTCTATGTTCACTAATGCCTCCTCCTCTGCATAGCGGATAACAGGATAATCTGGATACTCATGTTCTTACAGCCGTGGGTTGTTATTATTGCCTCCAGTGCTGCTCCACTTTGGTCATTCTTCAAGCTCGTCAACGGACAGCCAAAGATGAAGAAGTACGTTCAAATATTGCAGCGAAACGTCTTTTCATCTAAAGCCTGGAATTCAGAGCCTGTATAGTTTTCTATTAAGTTTTGTAAATGGTTTGAGAGGTTTTTATAATCTATAAAACCGTAGAGCTCTTTAAATAATAGAAGCAGAGATACTAGATGTCTTTGAATGTTTGTCTAGTAGAACTATAGAGGAAGCTATATCAACAGTGGAGATACGTGGGGCAGTGTGCATATGACGCGAGATACTACTATACTACCTAGGTAGTAATAGCTCGATGGCCATGTTATGAGCCGAAGAAGGAGCCTCTTTTCAGGGTTGTTGCCGGCACATTCGATTTTGTACAAGACTCAAACGCTACTAGTACTAATTAGTATGCCTACTCTACTATAAAATTTATAGTTTACTGATCATGAAATATCGAGTTTCTCGCGGATGTAAAATTTATATGCGTAACACGCGCTCAGCTCAGTATACATTGATCATAATCGGACCCTTCCAGCTGAAGTAAAGAGCCCAGAGACTACCTAAAGGTAAAGTAGAGCATAGTAAGAAAAGCCTCCCAGTAAGCACCCTCTCAACGCCATCCAACGTACAGACCAAGCCTTCCCAATCTAATTCAGAGCCACACTCGCCTCACGTCGCCCGTTATTCGGATTCTCGCTGCCCACGACGCTGCGAACAAAGTCGTGATATTGGAAAACATCACCTCTCTTCCCCATTCCCCCAGACATTGCGCCCCGTCCCCCAAAGGCTCGCCGTCCAGTGAATCCGCTAAAAACCTCATCAATCTGTTGCTCCGTCAACGGCACGCCTCCATCCTCTGGAGCGGTATGCAGAAGCGCATCCCGGAGCTCTGCCACGTCGACTTGACCATTGTCGTCGTCATCAAATGCCGCGAGCGCATTAATGAGCTCTTGAGATGATGACATGGGGGCCATTAGCTGTGATAGTGTGTTCAAAAAGGTTGGGAAATTCATGGTCTGCGGGGAGCC